CATCCCTTTCTGGTGGTCGAACAGGTTGCTTGAGAGTAGCAGGCCCACAAACGAAACCATTTTTTTTAAAGATTTATTTATTTTTATACAAGAACTGGGGTACAGTCAGAGGCGCAGGAGGGTGAGAGGATCCACCAGAGACAGAGCGGGGAGCAGAACAGGCAGACTGACGAAATCCACCGCTGAGAGGAGCAGCGGGGAGACAGGAGAGGTCTGCTGTGCCCTGGGGGCAGCTCCCTGGCCAACTGGGAATTGAGCCCGCACTTCAGAGGCTGTGGACAGCTTCACAGTGCTGCGCTCAACCTGCTGTGCCGCCGGGGAGGCCCAAAAGGAACCATTTTATTTTTTTGTTTGTTTACTTTTTTTTTCAAAGATTTATTTATTTATTTATACAAGCACTGGTACAGTCAGAAGCACGGGAGGGTGAGAGGATTTGCCAGAGACAGAGTGGGGAGCAGAACAGGTGGGTCCACTGCTGAGGGGAGCAGCGGGGAGACAGGAGAGGTCTGCTGTGCCCTGTGGGCAGCTCCCTGGCCGGCTGGGGATCAAACTCGTGCTGCAGAGGCTTACGGATTGCTTCATAGTGTGGTGCTTAACCCCTTGCGCCACCGGGGAGCCCCCGAAAGGAGCCATTTTAAAGCAAAGATTCCTGCACAAGGTTGTGCCCCCCCCCCAGGAGACCCCACCCCAAGGGCCTGCCTCCACTCACCCGCTCCTGCATCCCTTCCTGCTTTCTAAGTGCGTGGGAGCTGCTGTACCACCAGAGGCAAGTCCACAGGCTCGCGCTCTGGGCTGCTCCAGGCTGCGAGTGCCCCCACCCACAGCTGCCCTCTTGCCCTGTGCCTTTGACCTCTCCCTTTGACGGCTTGGTGACCTTGACCCACGATGTGGTCTCTGTGCCTGTTTTCTGTTCGCCAGATGAGTCCCCTGGGGCAGAGGAGAGGCGATGGGGAGACGCCCACCAGGCAAAGCGCAGCCTGTGGTGTGCGCGCACACATACACACACACACACACACACACACGCGCGCGCGCACACACCCAGAGCCCAAATTGCTGGGGCTGGGGTGTCACTGAGACAGGGACAAACCTGGCTCTGGGGCTGGAAGTGCTGCGGCTTCCCCAGCTCAGCAGGGGGCTGAGGCCGCAGGACCGGCTCTCATGGAGGGGGGTGCATGGAGGGCCCAGGAGCCAGGAGATTCCAGGCCAGTGGCAGGACAGGGAGCCGAGGATATGCTGGGAGGGGCACCCTGTGCCTCCACTGGCCCTGAGAGGCCACGAGCCAGCCTGGGTCCCCAGCCCAGGGGCCGCTCAGGAGCGGGGCCACCGCGGCCACGGAGAGGGGGTCAGGGCGGCCGCCAGAAGCACCTGCAGCTGTGTGCTGGGCCCAGAGCCAGACCCCTGCCTGGGCCCTCAGCGGCTCCTCTGGTGAAGCTGCCAGCTAGGTTCCTGTCATCCCCCTGAGTGCCCTCGAGTCCTCTGCGGAGAGCTGGAGCCGCTCATAAACAAGCCATTTAAATGTCCGCTTCCCAGAAGCACATTTGCGCCGTCCTAGAAGCCGAGGAGATGGCGCCCGCCTCCCGGTGGTTTCTGGGCAGCAGTCAGCTGGTCAGCGCCGCCCAGGATTCTGGCCGGGGATGGGGGTGCAGGAGGGTGCTCCGAAGTGTCCCGCGCTGCCAGCAGTGGGGCACAGCGCTGCTGGCCCCAGCGAGATTACCATTGAATGGCCAGCCTTAAAAATAAGGTGCACCAGGCCTCCCCGGTGGCGCAGCGGTTGAGCGCTGGGTTGCGAAGCTGCCCGCAGCCTCTGCAGCGCCGGTTCGATCCCCGGCTGCTCCCCGGCCACCGGAGGAGGGTCCCGCATGGCGCGCAGACCTCTCCTGCCGCCCGCTGCTCCCCTCAGCAGTGTCCTTCGGTCCTTCTGCCTGCTCTGCTCCCCGCTCTGGCTCTGGTGAATTCTCTCACCCTCCCGCGCTTCTGACTGTACCCAGTGCATGTATAAATAAAAAAAAAATAAAATAAATAAATAAATAAATAAATGAATGAATAAAATAAATCTAAAAAAAAAAAAATAAGGTGCACCAGGAGAAACCCTTCAAGCACCGCGGTTTGGAAAGCCGCTCTCCCAAGGCCCAGCCAGGTGCCTGCGGCCGCCGCGTCCACCCCGTGCCCACCCCGTGCCCCTGCAGCCTGCCCCCGCCCTTCCCTGAGGGCCTGGAGGAGCCGCTTTATGACCCAGCACACACGTCCTCCCAAGGCGAAACCTAGGGCCTCCCCCAGCGGCTGTGAGGGAGCCGCTTCGGCCGCAGTGACCGAGGCCAGGCAGAGGGCTGGGCGGAGGGTGGGCGCGCCTTGGGAAAGTCTTGCCACTCCCGGCCAAGCGGGAGGAGCTCACGGGCTATGCTAAGTGAAGGTAACAGTGGGAGCGAGAACTGGAAGGCGCTCGCCCTCGAGGTGGGTGAGGAAAGGGCAGACACGACAGGGACGGGGGCTGAGCCCGCGGCTTCTCTGGGTGACGGCGATCGGAAGGGGAAAGCCCGTGGCGCGGGCTCCGCTGGCCGGGGCGACGCAAGGATCGAGAACTCATGAGGTTCAGAGCTGCGTCTCGGAAACTCCGTGAGCCTCTTCGATGAGGCTAAGATTCTGGAGTAACTGGACCCAGGGGGCGGGTGGGGCGGGCAGCCCTTTGTTGGGGTGTTCGCAGGCAGCCCAGGGCCCCTGCTGGGCTGAGGCAGGCAGGGCTGCGGGCACCTTTGGGGGTGCTGCGGCCAGGTGTGTGGCGTCTGCTCACTGGCTCCCGAGTGCGGTCCCGGGGCTTTTACATCTGTCTGACCTGCTGAGGGGCGTACCTGTTGCTGCCAGAAGGAGCCCCTGGCCCCCCAAACCTGCCACCTGGGGAGTGGAGGGAGCACCCAGCCTGTTTCCTCCTCACCAGCGTCTGGACCGCAGGAGAAAAGAGGTGTCCCACTTTCCTTCCAGAGCGGACTCGGTGCGGTCCAGGCTCTCCGCTTAGCCCTCATCGGAGCCCAGCCACTTGCTGGGGGCCCCCCTCTGCAGAGGAGGGCCAGGGGCAGGAGGCACCCTGAGGGCGCTTCCCAGGCCAGGGCTGGCGGTGAGTGGTCCAGAGCGTGCCTGAGTCTGGCCTCACCGCCCTCACCGGCCACAGTCTGCCCGTCCCCAGGCTCCTCGGGAACCACCAAGCCCCCCGTGACCCACTCCCGCCCAGCCAGAAGTGCAGACCCTGAGTTCTCCACCTCCGAGTCTCTCCCCTCCGCTGCCCCGAAAGCCAGCACTTCCAGCTCATGTGGACATGAGCCTGGCCGTGAGCCTCCCACCCCAGTGCGCCCCCCGGCCCTGAGCTCTAGTGCCCTCATCCTGAACCCTGGGCCCACCCCTGCCCCACACCCTCCTTGGGTGCCCCCCTCGGGCCTGAGGTCCAGGGTTCTGGCCGGACGGTGTGCGCTGTAAGCCCCACAGGTCCACGCGCCTCCACCCTGGAGTGACCCCCACGTGTCCCCGATCTGGGGCTCTCTTGCTGGTCAGTAGGAGACCCTGGGACAGGTCCCGTGAGGGGTCGCCGGCCCAGGCTGTGTCTCCTGGGACACTGTGGTTTGGCCACAGGGTATGGGGTGGGCGCTGTTCTGGGGACCCTGCACTGCGGCCCTGAGGCGTATTTCACTGCCATTTCTAGTCACCAGGAGGCTGGCACCAGGTGCGGGCTGTCTACTGAGCGTCGCTTGGAGCACTGCCAGGGGCTCCTGAACACCCAGCCCTCCTTGCAAAAGGGTAAACTGAGGCATGGGTTAAGTGACTTGCTAAGCCAGCAACAAATAGGTGCTGAGCCAGGATTTGGACTTGGGGACATCCAGGCACTTGTGTCGAGCACAAGCCCGCTTACTCTCGGCCACCCGCCTCCTCTGCCCGCCGCGCAGGGCCCTTGCTGCCTCCAGACACACCCTGGAAATGGCTGCTTGTGCCTTTCGGACAGCATGGGGGTCTGCAGGGAAACCAGCTCCGTGGGGGCTGGGCATACTGCCTGGACACTGGGCTCCCTGAAGACTGGCCACGTGGCGTGTGGGTCTGGCCCTGAGCCACGGAGCCTCAGGCGTGGTGGCACCTGCCAGCTCTCCCTCAGGGCACATGGGGCATTGGGGACAGCAGATCTCCGCTGCCCTTGTCCTTGTCACCAAGCAGGTGCCCGGCTCACAGGAAAGGCCCTTCCTCTGCCCAGATGCTGAGTGTCAGGTGGCACTGAGGGGTCTTGGACGTTTAGACTCTGGGGCTCGGCTCCCTCGTCAGCTGGGGAACAGCCCTTCTCCGGGTGCGGGGGTAGGGGACGTTCATGGCTGTCCATGTGTATCCTCCTGAGTGAGCTGCTTCTGAGCCCTGGCCCCCAGTGCCTTGCCATCAAGCCCGGTCAGTCAGACTCCTCGTGTCCAGAGGAGTGGTCACCTTGGGATTCCCTGGCCAGGGCGTGAAGACCAGGAGAGGGGACCCGGGAACGTGACGTGCCCAGGACCCAGCTCAGCACCGGAGGGCTGTGGAGGGCAGTTCCCCAGTCCCGAGAGGGAGCAGGGGCGGGAGGGGCACGGCAGGAGCTGTGGCCAGTCCCGCTGCCGACCGGTCACGCTGCCCGCACTCCTGTGGTAGGGCAGGAGCCCCAGCCCTGCGTGGGCCAGAACAGGAGCACGTGCCTCATGGGCACCAGACATGCAGAGGGCGCAGCTGCCGGTCACCGGTCTCAACCCCAAGGTGTCCCGACGGCCTGGCTGCCTGGACGTCAGGTTGGGGTGGGGACGGAGGTGGCGAGCACCGAAGCTCCGCTGTCCTGCAGCACTGGCCCCACGCCCTCCCCGTTTGTGGATGGCCCCACGGAGACGCTGTTCTGGGCCCCGATGCCTGAGGAGTGGACATAGTCCCGGCTCTGACATGCAGAGGAACAACTCAGGAGCCGGCCCCGTTGGGGTGCCCACTGGCTCACACCTGTGCTCTCTCCTCCGCAGCGGTCAGACCCCCAGCTGCTGGCCCAGTTCTACTATGCGGACGAGGAGCTGAACCAGGTGGCCGCGGAGCTGGACAGCCTGGACGGGCGCAAGGACCCGCAGCGGTGCACACTGCTCGTCAGCCAGTTCCGCTCCTGCCAGGTGAGCGGCACCTGCCCCAGCCTCCGTCCTCAGCCGCCCACCCAGGGAGGTGCTGGGCCCTCGTCCTGCTGAGAGGAGGGAGAGGCTGAGGGGACGGTGAGGGCAAGTGGGGTTGGACGTGGCATCGTCACCAGCCACCCTGGAGGGCAGACCCTGGGAAAGGCAGGTTCCCGGGGCCCAGCAGGGGGGCACAGCCAGGGAGCAGCACTAGCCAGGGAGCGGCTAGTCTGGAGGGGTGTGGGCCTCACTCAGGCCTGGCCCACATGTGGCTTTGAGTCCTGAGTGACTGGCTGCCCGTGGTCAATGCTGGGGGCCAGCAGGGCTGCCGCAGAGGCCTGTGAGCAGGGCGTGGTGGACCCACCGTTGCGGACCCTGGCCGTGGCCATGACAGGTTGAGCCGGCGGCTGCCCCTCCGAGTCTCTGCATCAGGGTGCTCCCTCTCTAGCTGCTTCTCCCTCTGCCCCTGCTCCCTGGCACAGCCCTTGTCTCCTGCTTGTTCTTTCCCTCCCGCTGGCCGGGGACGCTGTGGGGGCCGTGCTCTTGGCTCTTGGCCCCGAGCTCTGCGCTTGAAGCTGAGTCTGTCGTGTTACTTCTGGGAAAACTTGGCCCCTGTTCCTTTAAGGCGTCTCTGCCCCGTGCGCCCTCTGCCCAAAAGGGTCTTGCCTCTGAGGTCCACATGGCGTCTTGGGGCTGCAGCCCCTGGCTGCTGTCGCTGGGTGGTTTGCCCTCCCGCTTGTGCGCCTCTCAGCCGCGGTGTCCTCGGCTACTCAGAAGTGTCTGGCGAGGCCCGCCCCGGCTGCCCAGGGGACAGCCCCCCTCCAGCCCTGTCTCTCCCAGACCTCCTGGGTCTCGACCTCAGGCCCCCCAGGGGGCCCTCCCGCTCTCGCTGTCCTGCAGGGCTGGGGGCTGGGGTTGGCCACACTTTCCCCCCATCACGAGCATTTCTTCCCCAATTCCCGTACCTGGGGACTTTCATGGATGCCCAGGCCGCGATCTGCTCTACCTTTGCCGCCTAGACCTTCTGGAGCTCTGTTTTGTGCTGGAAGCAGCTGACTCTTGGGGCGCCAGGCAGTGTCAGCTCCTGTTCTGGCCCAAGAACTCTGCTCCCTGCTCCCGGGAGTCCTGCCCTCCGGCGCCCACAGGCAGGCCTGGCCGGACACACCCCGTGCTCCGGGTCTGCTCTCCTTGGTTCCCTGTTTCTGGCTCTTCCACTCGGGAGTTTGCTGGGCTCCGTTGGGGCTCCTGGCCGTGGCTGGACCTGGAGGCCGGGCCTCACTTGCATTCGCTTCTTCAGGGGTCACCTGGGCAAGAGATCCACCCCTGTGCTTTTCCACGGCTGTTTTTACTGGAGGGGGGATTTGGCTCCGTCACTCAGGCCCCGGGGTGGCGGGGGCCGGATCACCAGCAGCCCCTGAGCGCACACGGGACGCACTGGCCGGTGACTGTCCTGAGCTCAGGGCTTCCTGTCCACCCGTCTCTCCAGCTCTGTCCAGAGAGGTGTGGGTGCAGGTGCTTGCAGAGGGGGTCGGGCGGGGGGCCAGGGCCAACACCAGGCAGCCAGCTCTTGTGAGCTGCAGCTGCCCAGGGGAGGCCAGGTCCCCGCAGTCGTAGGCAAGCCCCCAGGCCGGAACATAAGGATGTGGCGGCCACCCTGAGTGGGAGGCCCAGACAGGGCGAGGCCTCTCACTCTGCACCCTGGGGCTCGGCCGCTGCCCGGGCCTGCTGTCAGGCGGCTGCTGACCGGCCCCTCCCCGGCTGCAGGACAACGTGCTGGACATCATCAACCAGATCATGGATGTGTGCATCCCCCAGGACCGTGCCCCGCGGGACTTCTGTGTCAAGTTCCCTGAGGAGGTCCGGCACGACAACCTGGCCGGCCAGCTGTGGTTCGGCGCCGAGGTAGGCGCGCGGGCTGGCGTGGGGGTGGGGTAGAGGACCCGGCCGCCCAGTCAGCAGTCTTCTGGGACGTTGGTCTCCTGAGTGGCCTTCACCCTCAGAAGGTGCTGACCCAGGAGCCCCCACCCCTCAGGCCTGGAGCTGGCGCCGCCTTGGCTGCAGGCAGGATACACGGGAGCCCATGCGGGTCCCCCTGGTCCCCCGCCTGCCCTGGCAGGGTGTGCGGCCACACCACCCATGGGCCACGGGTTAACCGGCACTCAGGGTCAGGGGTCGTGGCCGTACACCACCTCCCCGACCTCCCCTGCAGTGCCTGGCCGCTGGCTCCATCATCATGAACCGCGAGCTGGAGAGCATGGCCATGCGGCCCCTGGCCAAGGAGCTGACCCGCAGCCTGGAGGATGTGCGGGGCGCCCTCCGCGACCAGGCGCTGCGGGACCTCGGCACCTACACGGAGCGGATGCGGGACGCCCTCCGCCACTTCGATGTGCTGTTTGCTGAGTTCGAGTTGAGGTGACTGTGCCACCAGTGCCCTCACCCCGGGAGGGGCCAGGGCTGGGCGGTCAGTCCCTGGGGTCAGCTGTGATTTGGGGGTGTGGCGTCCTGCAGGCACCAGAGGCAACCCCAGCACCAGAACTGGGGGTTCCTGCAGGGAGAAGCAGCCACAGGCCAGCTTCCTGCCCCCTCAGCCTCCCACTGCCCTCTGCCCAGGCGCTCGCCCGTGCCCGACACCCCGTCCACACTGGCCCAGACAAGCTCCGCTGGGCCCCTGGCCCTGTGCTGGCCCTGCCCAGCCAAGGGCTCCCCACCTGTGGCCTCTGGGCCCCGCTGCTCCCCATCCTGTGTCTTCACCCATAGTCCAGAGGACAAGGGTGCAGCACTGGGGCCTGGGCTCTGCAGAGCCCTGGGTCAGGGCGGGCACCGGGACCTCAGAAGGGGGAAGGGGGTGGCGGCTCAGGCCCGTGGGCCGCCACCAGCCTGTGGTCTTGTGCTGCGCCCTGAGGGAGGGGCCTGCAGGCGTCAGACACGTCCAGCTGTGTGTCTTCCTCCTGCTCCGCCCAGGCTCCCCGGACAGCCCGTCCCACCGGGAAACTCAGGCTTCGTGCCGAGGAGCAGGAAAATGTCCTCACCTGGGGATGGTTCTTGAACTCTCACGGCCTGAAGTCCATCAGTGCTCGTCCTGGGACCCCGTCCCTGGCGGGGTCACCCACAGGCGTGCTGGCCCTCCCTTCCCCTGGCCCTCCCCCTGCTCCCTCCTCCCGCCCTCCCCTCCTGGGCTCATCCTTTAAGGTGGACACAGTGGGCAGGGCAGGTCCAGCCCAGGCAGGTGGAGGGCCAATCCCCAGGAGCCTTGGGCCTGCTGGTTGCCGCCCCTGCAAGTGCTCCCCTCCCTGCAGCTACGTGTCGGCCATGGTGCCCGTGAAGTCCCCCCGGGAGTACTACGTGCAGCAGGAGGTCATTGTGCTCTTCTGCGAGACAGTGGAGAGGTGAGCGCCTGCCCGCCTGCCCCCGCCTGCCCCCGCCTGCCCCCGCCTGCCCGGGACCCACAGGAGCACCTCCCGCCTCAGCATCCTTCAGCCCAACCCTTTCTCAGGCCCAGGGCAGGCTCCCAGGGGAGGCCACCGGGAGGACGGAGCTGCCCACAGCCTTGCCCCTCCCCCCACTCCCGCCACGCTCACCTCCTCCTCCCGCATCCTCACCCCGGCCCCTCTCACCGGCCAGGCCGGGGTCCTCTCTTGGGCCAGTGTGCCGAGCAGGGTTGGGGGCAGCACTGTGTTCTTGCCACGCTGTGCGCGGCACCTGGGGGCGGGTTTTCTGCCAGGACTCAGGCCTGAGTGGCCGCAGGCTCCCTCACGTGCCGGAGCCTTTCGGGCGTCGGGAAGCCGCCTGGCAGGAAGTGAGATGACGGGGGGGGGGGGGGGGGGGGGGGGGGCGCCGTGGCAGTGCCCGCGGTGTGGTCAGGGCCCTGGGGTGGGGAGGCCCTGCCCGCGTGGACCCCGCGGGCCGGGGCTACTTGTGCTCGGTTCCCTGGCTTGGCACCTATGGCCGGGGCAGCCTTCTCTGCATCTGCGTGGCCCCCCACAGCCCTGGCCAGCCCCTCCAGACCAAGCACCCCGCTGACTGCCTGGCGGGGTGGGGGGCCAGGCGCCCCCCAGTCCCCACACCAGCCCCTCTCAGCCACCCCCACCCACAGGGCCCTGGACTGCGGGTACCTCACCCAGGACATGATTGACGACTACGAGCCGGCCCTCATGTTCACCATCCCCCGCCTGGCCATCGTGTGGTGAGTGCCCGCCCCGCGCACCCCGCCCCAAGGCCCAGGGAGCCAGGGCTCTGCCTGAACTCCCAGCCAGGGTGGGAGGGACCCCCAGGCGCGTGCCTGACACCCAGCGCTGGTGGCAAGAGTCGGGGTCCCTTGTGCCCTGCCTGGAGGAGGGCCTGCTGGCCATGCAGGCCGGGCGTGTGCTGGGGACAGAGCGAGACAGGGCCGAGAGGAGCCTCCAGGTGACGGGACCAGGGTCCCCGTGGGGGGCAGTGGTCGTGGCAACTCTGGGGTGGTGGGCACTGAGTCCAGCTGGGAGCCCTGGTGCTGGCCCCCGGGGCTCAGCGGAAGACCTGGGGACGGCGAGGGCCCCAGGAGGGTGAGGGAGGGCCGAGCTGAGGAGCAGGCGGCGTCCGGCGGCTAAGGAGGCTCCGGCCCGCTCCAGCTGCTTCACTCAGACCCAGGCTGGGGCCTCGCGTCTCAGTCCCGGGCGTGAGCAGGGAGCCGCCGCCTCCTGAGGGTGCTGAGCGTGAGCAGCTGTCCCAGACTCGCTGCCCTCAGGGACGCTCGGCGGCCCTTGGGACTCCACAGCCTGGTACCAGCCACGCGCCTCACTGTCCTTCCTCACTGTCCACTGCGGCCACACACGGGCCCCTGCTGCCCAGGGTGCCAGGACCCCTGCTCGCAGCCCAGACCGGAGCTGGCACCTGCTGCAGGTGTCCCCACCAGTGTCCCCGCCAGCGCCCTGACCGCCCCCGTGGGCTCCCCACCTCCCTGCCCATCACTCCCACTCACCCCAGGGCCTGGCCACTCCTGGTCTGGGTGCAGCAACCAACTTCTCCTAAAACAGGGTGTGACCCACTCCCTGGTGCTCCGTCCCCAGAGATGCCCTCTAGTGCCCCCACCCCAGGGTCGCCCCAGGGTCTGCCGGCCCCGCGACCTCGGGGCGTCTGCCGGGTGCGGGCACGGCTGTGTGGGGCTGGTGCTGCTTCCTGGCCCCCCACGCCCGCAGGCACGAGGGGCAGGCCATTCCTCTCCGGGCCCGCAGGAAGCACCACTTGCGGTGACCCTGAAAATCTGAGGGGCTGGACCCCAGCGTTAGGGCATGGAGCCGCAAAGACAGTGACCAGGGAGGGCCCAGCGCCCGGAGTCTGCGGACCGGAGCCCAGGGCGGACAAAGCCTCCTGTGGGAGCCGGCCGCCCTGGCACGTTCCCCCCACCCTGCGAGGGCCCCAGGCTGAGCAGGTCCCCTGCGGCGCAGCCTGCCCAGTCAGCTTCCTCACGCGCGCGCGCGGCCTACCTGCCAGCCGCCACAGCCTCGCCTCGCCCCGGACGGTTCCGGCCTCTGCGCGTGGGGCTGGCACCGCCCGACCATGGGGCTCCCTTCACAGGCACGTTTCCCTGGTGCCGGTGCTGCCTATCACGGCCCCTGTAGGGCTCGGTGACGCCCTTGTGTGGCATTAAGTGTCGTATTAAAGAAAAGGTTTACAAGAACACCCCGAAGATGAGCTTAACACAGGAGGTGAAGACTTGTGTGCTGCAAGCAACAGGATGTCTGGAGACATCACAGGAGGCCAGGAGAGCAGGGGCCTGGCGTGGCGCCTCTGGGCTGCTGGCCACTCTCTCCACGACCCCCTGGCCGGAGCTTTCCCGACCAGCTACTGGCCCCTGTGCAGAAAAGATGCCCCTCAGGTTCCCACAGAACCACAGCTGGTCTCGGTGGTCAGGACGACGTCGAGGGGTAGAGCAGAAGGACACGCGGGTCCTGACTGGGCACCTCCGGGCAGCAGCGGGGAGAACGGAGGCCAGACACAGCCCAAAGCTCACGGGGAAGGACAGTCCTCCTGGCAGCTGGCGCCCGGATGGCCCACAGGAGCACCTCCCGCCTCAGCATCCTTCAGCCCAACCCTTTCTCAGGCCCAGGGCAGGCTCCCAGGGGAGGCCACCGGGAGGACGGAGCTGCCCACAGCCTTGCCCACACACAGATGGAGGTCAGACCCCGCATTGGTCCAGTCTGAGCCCCACACGGCCAGGCCAGCGCCCCGGGGCCATCAGACTCTGCTGCTGTGCGACAGTCCACAGCCTTCAGCACGCGTTTGAGATCGACTGTTGCTGGGCAGACTTTGGAGCAGACGACCTTCCCGTCACAGGAAAGACTGGGGTCCCCGGGTAGCCCGGCCTCCCGTCTCCGCACTCGCGCGCGCTGTCCCTTGAGGTCAGTCCCACGCGTTCTCAGCCAGGGGTAGAGCTTCACGTCTGGCTTTGGCAGCGGGTACTTGGACTCGACACCAAAACAAGAGCCACAAGTGAAAACAAAGACGGACCGGACACAGTCCAGGGCCCATCGGGAAGGGGGTGGGATGTGCCCGGGGGTATGCCTGGGCCCTCCGGCTCTGACCGCTCCAGAGAGCTGGTCTGGACGTGGATGTGGGCAGGGCCCTGCTGGGTGCTGGCGCGGTGGTGAAGCGGCCCAGCGTGGCTGGGAGGGGGCTGCCTGGAGGTGGAGTCGGAGCAGAGGTGGATGGGTCCAGTGGAGCGGATGGGGCCACGCTCGAGGCCCTGGGTGCCCTGAGACAGGGTCTGCCCATCCTGCTGCACAGGATGTAGGTGCCAGGGTACAGGGGGCTGCTGGGGGACGGCGGGCTCCGGACGGCCTGGGCAGTGGCTCGTGGGGCTCTCACAGGCTCAGGAGGGGCCACCTGCGAATCCAGGGGCAGCAGCTGGCCTGGGGTTGGGCAGAGGTGTGGAGCTCCTGGGGGCATGGCCTGGAGCTTGTATGTGAGGGCCTGTCCTGTTGTCCAGGCCCCAAGATGCTGCACCTACCTGCAGACCCCTCGCCCACAGGGTCTGCGCTGGTGGGGGGCTGGCACAGCTCCAGCCGGCGTGGTGGCCACTCCTGCCTGGGCGGTGGGCTCTCTCCTCTACTGCGCTGCCCGCGGAACCCTGTGGGACACAGGTCCCACCCAGGCCCCATGCTGGCACAGGGTCAAGCACAGACTGGGATTTGCCTCGGGCCGCTGTGCCAATGCCCAGGCGCCCTGCAGCCCCGTGGCCGGACACCAGCTGAGCAGCCCCTGGGGTGGGGCCTGGCGGGGTCACCGCTCTTCTGTGGACGTGGCTGAAAGTCAGTCACAAGCGGGCGCTGCGCCTTGACCCTGCCTGGCCTTTGTGTCTCCAACGCAGTGGCCTCGTGGTCTACGCTGACGGCCCCCTGAACCTGGAGCGCGAGGCGGAGGACATGTCGGAGCTGTTCCGGCCCTTCCACACGCTGCTGCGGAAAATAAGGTGGGGGGTGGGGGCGGGGGGGTGGCGGGAGGGGTTATGGAGACTACGGGGGATGGGGAGGGACCTACGGAAGGGCAGGGGCGAGGGGCAGGGCCTGCGGGCCCGTTCGCCCCTCCCGCGCGGTGGCCAGGACCTCAGGCTGTTCCTCTGGCTGGTGTCGTGTTCCTCCGCACCTCGGGGCAGTGGCTGGTGCTGGGGCGGCCTAGCCTAGCAGATCTCGACGCCTGGACTCCTGAGGCCACACCACGCACTGCGGACCCTGGCTCTGGCCGTCAGCTGCCCAGTGAGGCACTGCTTGGTCTTGGCAGGTCTCCCACACCTCAGGCCCAGGCGGAGGGGCCCTGAACAGCCGAGCAGGGTGCACCCGGGCCATGCGGAGCCCTGCCAGCCCAGCCCCGTATGGGCAGCAGCTGAGGGCCACCTTCACGCATATCCCTCCCACCTCCGGGCTCTCGCCGCTTGTCAGCGGTTCCTGGCAACGCTGGGGAGTGCTCCTGGGCCCGTGGCAGCCCATCACCCCACTCTCTGCAGCCGGTGGCTGGGTGGCTGCGGACCGTGCCCCAGGGTTGCCGGCCCTCAGCAACTGCCCCCCAGCCTCCCCTGGAAGCCTCAGGAAACCCACGCTGCCCTCACTGCCAGAGGCCTTCCTGAGACGGGCACCCAGCGCGGCCTCCTGCAGGAGTGAGGCTGATGCCTGCCCTCTGATCCCTCCTTGGCCTGGTGGGGTCCAGGCCTGCCCTACACTGCCCACACATTCCCCTGGTTGTGCTGAGAAGCCTGGGGGCCCTGGGACGCCCTCCCTGAGTCTGGGGGACCCCAGGCCAGGGCAGCCTGAGGCAGAGAGCAGGGGCAGGTTTCCTTGGCTGCTCCTGCCTTTCCAGGGGCCCTGGACAGCACCTGCTCCATGCCGCCCTCTGCCCACGAGGAGCCACAGGTGACACAAATCCAACGTGACCAGCAGGATGGCCACTGGTGGGCCAGTAGGGTTGCTGGTGGAGCCCAGCCAGTCTGTGGTTTATCTGAGGACAGCTGGCTGCCTCCCTAGACCCAGAAGCCACAGCCTCTGTCCTTCCTGGGCATCCAGCTGGGAGAGGGGACAACAAACAAGGCCCTGGACTGTAGGGGACAGGACCCCGTAGGGTGGGGAGGGCTGGGTGTGGAGTTGGAGGAAGAGGTGTCCAGCGCGGAGGACGTAGGTCGGGATGGTCCGGATATAAGAAGCGTGTGAGTGACCTACTGTGGAGTCAGAGGGTTGGGAGAGAGAAAATGGACAGACGCCTTTTCTAAAACTACCTGCAGTTCTAGGGGCTGAAGAAAATAAGCGAGACAGGTACAGTACACTCCCAGCGCATCCTTTTAACAAGAAATCGTCAAACAGCCAGGGAATAAAGGGCGTCTTACTTTGAAAGGAACTTAGGATGGATGGTGTCTTCTTGGGAACAGCGGCCGCAAGGTGATGCTTAAGACGCTGAGACAGAACTGCCAGCCAGGATTTTATAACCAGAAAAAATGCCCTTCAACAGTGAAAGATGGATTATTCAGAGGTACAGAGCTGGGTGACTGTGTTACCAGAGCCCGCTTGTAAAGAGCGGCTAACTGGAGCTCTTCAAGCAAGAGGAAAGGCGCCCACGAAACATGGACATGCGAGAGACCAAGAGCCTGCAGGGCAGGGCCGGGCGGGCGGGCGGGCTGGCGGGCACAGGGGGAGTCGGGCCAGCGCAGCTTAACGCTTGAAAATAATATCCGTGTTTTGCTATATTAATTTTTAAAAGGAGAAAAAAACAAATTATTTTGAAAGCTGCAGAAGAAAATTCTGAACATTTGAACACCGGTTTTGTGATGACGCTGTGATGGCAGCATCTCCTAACAAGTGGAAGGGGATTTGCTCAACCCGATGAAAGACTGTGTATGCGCGTGCGCACACGCGGAGAGGCAGGCCCTTTCCTGAGACCGTGCACCAAAAATCAACTCAAAGTAGACCAAGAACATATATAGAGACCCCGAACAGTAGAACTCTCAGAAGAGAACGCCTGGCAACACTCGCGACGTGGCCTTGGCGATCAGCCTCGGCTGTGGCACCAAAAGCTTAGAGAACAGCCACAAAGATGGACAGGTCAGACTTTGTGGAGACTGTAAGATCTTGAATGTTGAAAGATGCCGATGACCGTTAAAAGCCAACCCACAGGATGGGAGGAAATAGTTGGAGATGTACCCCTGCTGAGGGACCGGTAGCCAGGACCTAGACAGAGCCCTGAAAACTCAACAGGCAAAGCACAAAGGACTTCAACAGGCCTCTCTCCAGGCGGACACGGCCAGCAAGCACACAGGGACGCTCAGCGCAGGCGTCCCTGGAGCAGTGCCAGTCAGCGCCTGGGGGACACGCGGGCCCTGCTGCCTGCAGCGGCCTTGAGGATGACACTGAGCAGAAGGAGCCATTGATCCCCATGGGTGATCCCCTCTCCCGGGAATGGAGACCAATCAGGTCACAGGGCAACCTTGGGGTCGCCCACGGCCTGAAACAGGCCCCAGCTGTGTTGAGCAGAGAGGAAACGTGGCCGTAGGTCTGCGCGGAAACACGCAGTGGGCGGGCGGAGGCCAGCCAGGGCCGGGCGACGCGCGGCCAGGATTGCAGGCCCCACATATGTCAGCTCTGTCGAGCCACAGGAAAAAGACCACAGTCCAGGTAACAATGGCCAGAGCAGAGGGGGCCTGGGCTGACCACACGTCAGGGCTGGGCGTGGGCAGGAGAAAGCACCCAGGATGCGGGCTGCGGCCGGGGCTCCCCTGCGTGCCCAGCACCTGCTGCAGGAGCACACACCACTGGGCAGAGCCTGTGGGCGGGCGGCGGCGGGCACCGGCCATCTCTGCCCTGAGAGCCAGGCCGGGGGTGGGCGCTGCGCAGAGAGGCCCCAGCCCCGGGGCTGAGGCACACCAGCTGTTCTGGCTGATCCCAGACGAGTGACACCAGCCTTGTCAGAATGCGTGTCCCCATCCTGGGCTATTCTGCCCGGGCACACTTATGAAGTACCTGCTGTTTGCCTGGAATTAGGACTTGACCGTGCGTCCCTTGCAACATCCGTAAGTGCTGCGGGCAGATGCCGGCCCTGGGGTGGGTGGGCTGCGGATTCGGCCATGGGGCGTGAGGCCGGTGGGCCCAGACACGGCCGGCGGGGCTGATGGCCTGGGCGGCCGCCGTGCCGTCTGCAGGGCCTGCGGCGTCCACCAGGACCCCTGGTCTCACCCCACCTGTCTTGGCCTTGCAGGGACCTGCTGCAGACGCTGACGGAGGAGGAGCTGCGCACACTCGAGCGCAGCCTCTGCATCTCCCAGGACGCCGAGTTCCCCTCACGGGCTGACGCCCAGGGGCCCCCCGCCCTGGCGCCCGCCTTCCCCGCCCCCCTGCCCCCCGAGGAGCTGCTGTCCACCAAGGCCAAGCACCCAGAGGCGGAGCTGGCCTGCTCAATGCAGTACGACGACCAGGAGCTGGAGCAGCTCAGCCGCATGGTGCACAGGGCGGGCGACGAGATGTCCTCCCTGCTCTCCCCGCCTAGCGCCAGCCAGTCCCCGGCACACAGGCCGGCGGCCGAGGGCAGCCCCTGCCGGGAGAGCTCCCCAGGCAGCACGCGCCCGCAGCCGGGCGGCAGCGAGGAAGAGGGAGCCGTGTTCTTCATGGATGACGTGGAGGGAGCAGCAGAGACGCCAGGGGGCCCGTCCGGATGGGGCGGCAGTGCCGGGCCCCTGGAGTGTGGGCAGAGCAGGGACACCAGGCAGGAGGGGGCGGGCGAGCCCTCCGCGGCCGAGGAGGGGGACTTGAGCAACAACAACAACGTCCAGGACGACAAGCTGGGGCCGGTGAGCCTGGCGGGCCCCAACACCTGCAGCTGCCTGGACAGCCGGGCCCCGCTGGACAGCTGGGAGGCAAGTGCGGATGACGCGGGGACGGCCGAGATCATCGCCCACCGGACCGGGGGCATGAAGCTCTCTGCCACGGTCATCTTCAATCCCAAGTCGCCCACCTCCTTGGACGTGGCGCTCGGTGCCCTGGACACCCCTGGGGGCGGCGGCGCCCCTTGCGAGCTCGCAGCCGAGGGGACAGAGGATGGTGCCCACAAGCTCAGCGCTGCAGCCACCAGCTGCCTCCTGAACTCCTGTGTGTGCTGTGGGGGCTGCGGAGGCAGCAGGGAGGAGGCCGTCGAGAGCCCGCAGGACAGGGCCGGCCGGGGGAGCGTCCTCGGCTCTGCCAAGGCCAGCACCAAGGGCCCGGCCGGCAGACTGGAGGAGGCCCTGCCCGACCCAGAGGCGCTGCCCACGGGCTCCCTGCCTGCCCTGCCCCCGGAGGACGCCCCTGACACATCCAGCAAGTGCCTGGCACACCCCTCAGGTCCCCAGGTGGACGCAGTCGACAGGTGGCCAAGCGGGGACAGCGGCGTCCACCGGCAGAAGGAGCCCTCGGCAGGAGAGGACGAGGGGCGGCCCAGGGAGGCGGCCGGGGAGCAGCCCTCGTATCTGCCGGGCTCCAGGTAAGCGCCATCCCTGAGGGGGACGCTCTGCGACACTCCCTTGGTGTGAGGCCTGTTGGCGGCTCTGCCCGGGCCTGGGCCCCCAGGTGTAGCCTCTGTGCGAGGCAGGCGACCCCGGCGGCCTCCTCTCTGTCACCTCCTCCTCCCACCGGTGGGGGCTCCGCACCGGCCCTCGCCTGCCCCTGTCGGGCCCCAGCGTGGCCCACGTGCAGGTGGACTGGGCAGTGGCCCGCAGCAGCAGGGGGGTTGCCGGGTCCTGAGACCCCGGCCTTCCCATCTCCCCGATGTGGGCCACACCTCCCTCCGCCCCGCCCTGGTCATGCCTTGAGCCAGCCGGGTGGCTGCTCTGCTCTGGGCTGCAGGGAGGAGGGTCAGGCCTGCCCAGGTGGTCCTTGCTGGGGCCCTTCTTGGCACCCTCCCGGCCTCAGCGGGTCTGACTGGAGGTGGGGGGACAAGCCTGTGGGAGCTGGACGCAGAGCAGGTCAGCTGGGCAGGCCAGGGCCGAGCGGGTGCGTGGCGTGAGAGCTGACCTGTGGGGACCTTCACCCTGGGACGGGTGTCTGGGCTCAGGCACCTGCTGCTCCAGGCCATCCGCTGCGCAGACCCAGCGCCGTGCTGGCCGGTGGAGGCCCAGCTGCCCTTCCTTCTCCCACCAGGGAATCCGAGCCCTGCGCCGGCCGGGACGTGGGCCCTAGCCCTCCAGCTCCCCGGCCACGAGCCAGGCTGTGCCCACGCGTCGCCTGCTCTGACGCTTCATGGGCCATGAGGGAGCTGGATTTTCTTTTAAGAAGGAGCTTCTGTCTGTGGTGTGGGCTTCGTGTGTCCCTCCTTCCTGTGGGCGGATCGTGTGCCCGTGTGGGTGGACAGCACCTGCTGGTGGGAGCACATGGACGGGGTGCGTGGACAGGGCACGTGCATGGGGGCACAGAGGACGGGCTGTGTGGACAGGCACTGTGGACAGGGCACTGTGGATGGGGCCCCGTGCTGCTCCCACACTTGGGGCCATGAGCGGAGCCACGTGGACACTGGGTAGGGGTGTGTTTCCTGCTGCGGGTGTGCCTTGAGGGGGTGCTGGTGTGGGCACTGGCCACTGCCCACCTCACGGCACTGCGGTCGCCAGGATCTCTGCCCACTCCCCTATGCTCAGGGCCTCCCTCCAGTGTCCGCCACGCTGGCCTTGGACTCCGCCGCGGCTCGGTCAGTTTCCTTTGGTGGGTCAATCTGCCCAGCACCCCCACCCTGCTCCCCAAAGGCGACAGTTTAAAATTTGCATGACTAACCCTTCAGTGGCCAAAATACAGGCAAAGGAGCGTGCACGCGCGCACACGCACATGCACACAAGCGCGTGCACACGCACCTCGCCTGCCTCCTCCCGGTAGCTGGGACCTGTCTGTGGTGATTTCCAGAGACCCCCATTGCCAGTGGGGCTGCGGGCCCGCCGTGGGCCCTCAGGCGTGTCCTCAGGCGGGCCGGACCCTTGCGATCCCAGCTGGCACCGCGCCGACCAGCCTCCGCTGCACGTCCTCTGCTGCGTGGGTGAAGCCATCTTTGAGACGCATGCCCAGCCTCACCAGCGGCGTCCAGCGGGATGAATTGCTGTCCAAGCCTCCTGAACACGCCTCTTCCTTGTGCCCGCGCTCGGGGACTGCTGGGCAAGTGAACCGTTCTTTGCAAGGCTGGCATGAGACCGTCAACAAATTCCTGGGCAGGATCCGGGGTTTCCGGCTTTGACCTGCCCCCTCTCTCGCCATCTGTCCAGGTGACACCTGCCCTGTCTGGGGCCTTCTGACGCCCCCTCAGGGACACTGGACACAGTCCGCCTGTGCCTCACCACTGGCTTCTCGGGCCTCGTCGGCCACACAGACGCTGCAGCTGGGCCCAGGGAGGAGCATGGGCCCGCACCCTGGAGGGACGGCCCCATTGTCCAGGAGGGCACTGCCTGTGCATTCGGGCCAGGCCTCAGGCAGCGGTGCGAGGGCCGCCGTGCTGGGGCCGTGGCCAGCCCTGTAGACCCTGTCCCATATACACTGCACGGGCAGCGGGGCGCCGTCCACTCATGTCACAAGCCGGCTCCCGTCCAAGGCGGAGACTCACCCAGGACCAGCCTGTAAAGCCTGCCCTGGAGGTGACCGAGCAGTGGCCACTACGGACAGACCACTCCTGAAGACCAGCCTCCCCGGCAGAAAGGCCGCAGAGCTCAAAGACAGGTGGCTCCACAGTGGCCAGCTGGGTTGTGGGGCTGCAGGCGCCAGCCCCACTTCTGCAGTGGGAGCCAGAGCCCGAGAGGCAGCTCCAGGACCCGGCTGCAGTCCGCTCGTCCCCGGCCACACCCAGCAGAGCCAGCGCCTGTCACTGTGACCCCGCAGCCCCGCCAGGCCCAGTGCGGGCACCAAGGGGACGGTGGCCGCCCTGGCTCGGGAGCCTTGGTGGCCACAGAGGAGGCGGAGCCTGAGGGCCACTCTGGCCAATCCCCCAGTGCTCAGCCGACCTCCGTCCAGCAGGGGCTGCTTGGGGGCGTTGGGAGGCTGGCCAGGGCCTCGCCAGGAGCCCTCGGCACCCACCACCTCCCACAGGTGCTGTGGGCAGGGTTCTCGGCAGAATGTTCTGGAACCATGTGCCTCGTGCTCCTTTTATTGGCTCTTACCTTATCAGTGGTCGCCGGTGAACCTCTTTTTGGAAAAGGTCTTCCTTGGAAGGCTTGTGGCTACTGCCCGCGCATCTAGGCTGCCCCTGGAGGTGGGCACGCCTGTCCTGGCGCATCCCCCACTTCTCCCGAGAACTACACGGCTCTTTGCTGTTCGTAAACGTGGTCCCTGTTCGTCGTAGAAAGCACTGAAAACATAAAGGAATAAAGGAAGGATCGAAAAATCACCCCAAATCCTACGAGCAATTTTTATACTTTTGCTGAAAGCCATCTGATGATTATTTACCCACAAAGGTCACTGTGACAGCGCTGGCTGGCTCCTCCTGCCTCGTGGGGGGCTCCCCGCAGCCTCCCCAGCAGGTCATTGCCACTCTTCACACCTTTGCACCCTCTGCAGTGGGGAAGCACCCCAGGGAGGGCACGAGGCTGTTCCCCCAAATGTGGTCACCCTCCCAGTGCATTGCTCAGCAGCACCACTGGCGGCGGGTCACCCTGGCAGCGGCCCTCCCGCCTCCATGCCTGGGAGGCGACATCCCCCCTGGCAGCAGCTCTGGGGGGCCAGGAAGGGGTGCGCCTTGAGGCTAGGAGTGCTGTGGGCGATGGGGAGGGCTGGCTTCCACCCCACCCCAGGCTGGCTCCGCCCATCAGGACCGCCATGGGCTGTGCACAGGTGTCACCCCACTGAGCCAGGAGCCCCAGGCCTGGCTGTGCCCCAGGAAGGGCGAACAAGGCTGATTGAGCAGTAAAAAAAAAAAACAGAAGAGGAGCTGGAATGAATTGGGCTCTTGAAAAGCAGGTCGGGCGTGGTGGCTGTCCCGGCTGCAGGCAGACGGCAGGGGCCGGCCTCACAGGGTGACCCCTGGGGCGTCCCCGGCAATTCCAGCCCCTTCTGCTGACTCAGCTGGGCTGGAGCTGGAGCAGCCCCGGCCGGCCAGGGCAGCAGTGACTGTGGTCGAGGCTGCAGCCTGGCCTGCGCCCCTCGGCCCCCCACCTCGAGACCCCACCCTACTGCACTGGCACCTCAGGGGCCCGCAGCCAACGTACCAGGCTCCCCTTTGCCACCACTTTCCCTTGCCTCCTGGCCCAGCCCCGTCCAGGGCAGATGGGGGCGGGGGCGGGGCCGCGCCACCCCTGCTGACCCCCAGTGTGACATGAAGGCAGGAAGTGGTTTGCGGCTTTGCCTGTGAACCCTGGCACGGCCAGGCTGGCCCCCAACCCATGGGCGCAGCGCTTGTGGGTGGGCGGTGCCATCGCGTCACATCCTTGCCCGACATGCACACAGCTGCACGCGCAGGCACACTGATGCAGGCACGCACACTCGCGCGTGTGCACGCACTGACACGCCTGTGCTCTCAGCTGCGCGGGCTCGGGCGCGTGGGTGTGTCTGTGAGTGGGACTCCAGTTCCCTCAGCGCTGAGCATCCTAGCACAGCAGGGGGCCCCAGCTCCCCACTGTGGGTGCCAGGACAGGGTCCAGGCCCGTGTGGAGCTCCCCTCCCCTGGGTGGGCTGAGCCCCAGCAGCCCACGTCTCCCTGCCAGCATGGGGCCCCTCCTGGCCCCGGGCCCTGCCGCCCTGGGGGCACCTGCGATGCCCTGCGCGGAGGGCGCGGCTGTGCCAGGAGGGTTGCAGTGCGAGCGTGGACGGCGCAGCAAGCAAGCACTCCCCAGGAGCTCGCGGCGACCGCGGACTCTGGACCCCTCCAACAGCTTACGCCCGGCTGACATGTCCAGCAAGACTGCTATGTGACCTCATGCTGGCCCGAGTGGACCCCACGCCCCAGAGCCCATGAACCCCTGGAACCCCCAAAATCAAGAGCCCCCAATCCCTCTGAGCCCATGAGCCCTCATGTGCCCTCAAGCCCCTGAGCCCCAGAGTCCACTAGTCCTCTAGCCCCTTGTGCCCCCAAGCCCCTGAGCCCCTGCGCCGGCTGGGCTGGCCCTTCCTCCCGCCCTCCAGCTGGAGCCTGCGCCCTGCGGCGTCTGCCTGTGTGGCCCTGGCCTCTCCCCGGTCCCTTTCTGTGCACGAGGGAGCAGGCGCGGGCCGGGCAGCCCTGGGGTCGGTGTCCTGGGGCGGCCACAGCACGGGACCCAGCGTCGGAGCCAGCCTAGGGTCCCAAGCCAGCCCGTGCTCCCCCAGGCCCAGGGAGGCGCCCTTCTTATCAGCTCCCGTGGCGGCAGGCGTGGGCCGCGGCTGCCTCCCGCTCTCTCTCCTTGTCTCGGGAGGACCGTGTCCTCGGGTTTGGCCCGCCCAGGCTGTCTAGCAGGATCTCGCCCGAGACCCCAACAGACTGACGCCTGCAAAGACCCTTCCCAGACAAGGCCGTGGCCAGGCTTTGGGGACCTGAAGTCTCGGGGGCTCCCCGCTCCTGGCGAGCGGCTGCCCGGCCTGTGTCAGGACAGGACAGCAGAGAGGAGGCTGCGCCAGCGCCCTGCATCCTTGCGCCCCTGGGGACGTGTCCCCCCTTTTTCCCCCAGACTGCACGGCTGGGCTTTCCCAGCGTCTAGCGGGGCCACTCGGTGGCTGACTGGGTGCGTGCTGGGTGGCTGGGGTGACCAGCTGTCTGGGTGCAGGGGACCCAGCGCAGAACAGACGGAGCTCCCTGCTACACCCCACTGTCGGCGCGTGTGCTGCGTCGGGGACTTGTGCCGGCCACCCCGGGCGGGGCGGGGGCTGCTGCGTGGGGGTGGCCGGCGGGCTGGGGGGTGGCCGGGTGAGCCGCAGTGTTTGGCAGGAGCTGCGCTGCGTGGGCCCTGGGGCCCAGGCTGGCGCTGGGGTGGGAACCTGGCCGTGCAGTGTCAGGCCCCGCTTCTGCGTGCAAGTGCTCTAGGCCCGCAGTGTCGCGTGCTGGGACTGGACGGTTTTGCTCCGGGGCTGAGCCTGCGTGGCCGACACGGCTGTCGGGTCCCCCGCCAGGGCCGGGGGTGAGGCAGGCTCACCTGTTGCTAGGCTCTGTCACCATGGCGCTGCATCGGCCGGGAGGGGTGGGCACACTTCCCTGAGGTCGGGGCCAGGCACCCCTGCACTCGAGTGTGGAAAATACCCCAACAGGCACATGGGGCCCCCCAAAAAGGGGAAACAGAGATCGCAGTCCATTGGGACAACTCCTAAAAGTTATGACAAACGTTTCTACATTATAAAGGCGTCTGCCCTCCAGCGGCAGGGGCTGTGACAGCAGGGGGTTGACAGCAGGGGGTGCAACCCGGCTGCAGAAATTGAGGTTCTCAGGGACAGGGGAGGGAAGTGAAAATTCCTCCAAGCTGGGACAAATGTCAAAGTCCCGGTGGCGAGTGCAGGCGGCTGGGTGGGCTCGCGCCTGCCCCTGACCGGCTCCGTGTGGCAGGCTGGCCAGGGCAGTGAGACCACGGTCACCGCCCGGTGGGCCCACCAAACGGCCACGAGGGGGCTTAGCCCAGCAGGAGTGACCCACGGCCTGGAGCCAGAGCCCCTGTGGACGAGACCCTCCCTGGGGTGGGGCGGGGGTCACGGCTGGGGTGTGTGTCAGGGGGTCCCTCCTGCCCCGGGGCCTCGGGTGGCCTCGGCTCCCTGGGAAGCGCCATGGGGTGGCTGTCACGGGAGGGGCGCGGGCTCTCTGAGATGACCCCAGCCCAATCCCGCTGCAGGGCCTGGGGGGTGGGCATGGCCTATCTGTGGGGTGCACTTAGCCCCCGCAGGGTGTAAGTGGGCACCTGCACTCCCCTGAGAGGGGGACTCAGTCATGTGAGGCCAGAAGCGAGGGGCTGCCTGAGCCACTCCGGGGGGATTTCTGGGCGGGGAGAGCTGGGAGGGAGCAGCAGCGAGGGAGCAGGAGGCCGGCCCTGTCCCTGCTCTTTACTGGCTCCGGGCCTGGACCGCCTGAGGGCAGGGGCAGTTCCGGGAGGGGTTGGGGTGGGGAGCCCAGGACACACCCCTGGCCATCCGGCTGTGGAGCCCTGGGCGCCCCCACCCATGTACATGTTCTCCCTCCCCGCCAGCGGCCCCGCAGCCACCTCCTGCCCCTCGGACCAGCCCGGGCCGGATGCGGGCCTCGTGGCCGCGAGAGACAAGATCCGCTCACGCTTCCACGGCAGCCAGGACCTCATCCACCGCCTGTTCGTCTGCATTTCAGGTGCCACTGGGCCCAGGTGGGCCGCACTGCTCGGGCCGCTGGCCGGCGTCCAGGCCAGGCGCTGCCGCGCGGGGGTGTTGGTGCCCGTGGAGTCCGGGGCGGGGCGCTGCTTCCCACAGAAAGGCTGACACCAGCCCGTGGGAGCAGGGGCCTCCGCAAGGGTGGGAGGCAGGTTCTCCACCTGGGCTGGAGGGGAGGCAGGGGGCGGGGGGTGGCGGAGAGGCACTGGACTCGGCCTGCCCGTGGTCCCCTGCTGCACAGATACCTTATTTCAGCCCGGGCTAGCAGTGTTTGTCCAGAGGTGGAGGGGCCAGTCCAGATGCCAAGGGCCATGAGGGTGACAGGGTGTGGGTGGGCAGGACGGGCCCCGAGGTCCTTCCACGAGGGCCTAGACTGTGTGAGCGAGAGGACTATCCTGCCAAGTGGGCTGCCCAGAGGCTCTCCCTCCCGGGCCCCTGGACTGTATCGCTGCCCAGGTGACTGACCCCTGCCCGCTCGACCGCACGCTGGCCTCGGCAAGGGCTGTGGCTGGATGATAGCAGCTGGCTGTGCGGGGCCCAGAGCAGCCGGCCTGACCGCCCTCCCACCCTCCTGCCCCAGGTGTGGCGGACCAGCTGCAGACCAACTACGCCAGCGACCTGCGGAGCATTCTCAAGACGCTCTTTGAGGTCATGGCCACCAAGCCAGAAACGGACGACCAGGAGAAACTAAAGAAGGGTGAGTGCCTCGCGTTGGCCAGGCCTCCGGTGCCCACGTCCCCAGGTGTGGGCAGGGCGCCCAGGGACCTGCATCTCCCAGCCCTGGGCCCACACGACCTGTTACACCCCACATGGAAACAAGCCCTGTGCCCTGCCTCTGCCAGCCAGCCCCGCGGGAAGGGCACCACCGGGCCCTGCAGGGGCTGCAGCCCCACCGCCCACCTGGGCCTGCACACACACTCCAGCAAGGAGCCGGGCCTCCTAGATCCAGGAGCACCCTGGAGGACCAGCCCCAGACGTGGGGTGCCTGAGCAGCCGGGGCTGCCAGAGACAGGACAGAGCCCGACCCTGGGCTGGGGCGGGAGGTGGCTGCGTGCCCAGCCTCGTGTGCTGTGCAGGCTCAGTGCTCACAGGCACAGGTGCACACTTGCCCACGCGCACACTCACACTCGTGCATTTGCACGCTCACGCACACAGGGGCAGCCCAGCCCTTGCGCCCACCCCATGCTGGCCGAGCCCCTGTCCTGGCCGAGCGCCCTCATCACAGGCCCCTGCTCCGCTGCCTGGCCCGTCTGCCTAGCACCCGAGCCTGCAGGCCCGCGCTTCCGACTGCCCGGGGTGGTGCAGGGATGCCTTCTGGAACATCACAGCCTGAGAGGCAGGCGCCGGGCCAGCTCTGACAGCAGGCTGACCACCCTCAGGCCACTTCTGGGCCCGGACCCGCAGCCACTCGGGCAGAATGCCCAGCCAGGGCGCACCAGCCTGCTGAGGTGGCCATGATGGCTTCCCAGCTGCAGAGCCCTTGGGTGGGTTTGGGAGCTGAGCCCTGCCAGCAGCGCCAGGTGCGCCCCCCAGGCCAGGCGGCTGATGACCCGTGGCTGCCCCCACAGTCACGCAGACCCTGCGGAGCGCGGCCCTGGAGGATTGTGCCCTGTGCCAGGAGACACTGTCGTCGTCTGAGCTCGCCGCCAAGACTCGAGACGGGGACCTGGAAGGTGCGTGGGGCTCAGGCCAGCACCAGCCCAGCGTGCTGGGCAGAGGACACGGGCACCCAACTTCTACCTCCCTGCCCAGGAAGACAGCCCTTCTCCCACGGGACCCCAGGACCTAGCTCCCAGGGGGCATGCTGGGCCCCTGAGCCCCCTTCCAGGGCTGCAGCCTGAGGGTTAGCATCTCAGCCTGGGGCGCAGGCGAAGAGCATGGCGGGCAAAGAGGTGACCGTGGCTGGAGGCAGCCACATCCAGGCATGGCCCCACACCTGAGCCCAGCACTCACCCGCATTGCCTTCCTCAGGGCCGCAGGCTACATGTGGGCCCGGCAGCTGGACACCCGCCCCCAGCAGGCTGGAGCTGGGCTGGCTGGAGGACTGGCCTGCGTCAGAGAAGGAACACCCAGGGCTGGTCGGGGCACTGGCCTCACAGCCATGGGCAGGGGTGGCCGAGGCTCGGGAAGGGCTGGAGGCCTGGGGGAAGGCGGGGCAGCCGGGGCATTGTGGCCCACCCTGCCCAGAGCCGCCGCCACAACCGGAGACTTGTGGGGTCAGGGAAGGAGACGGGGCTGTGGGCCCTCAGCAGAGGCGCCTCCAACCCCCACGCCAGCCCACCTGCCCCGTCGCCCTCACCGACATGTCCCCCTTCTCACTGGCAGACCCGCCTGAGTGGGTCCCGGACGAGGCCTGCGGCTTCTGCACGGCCTGCAGGGCGCCCTTCACCGTCATCCGCCGGAAGCACCACTGCCGCAGCTGCGGGAAGGTAGGCGGGGCCAGCGCCAGGCCCGACATGGGCGCAGCTGCCACTGTGGACTCACAGGGACACCAGCGGATGCCCGGGGCTGGCCACCCCTGAGCCCCAGCCAGCCAGGACTTGCCACCAGCCTTGGTGGGATGGTGCCGAGCCCGGTCCTGTGCCGTGCGGGAGCCTGCGGCCCGGTGTCGCCAGGGGGCCCCCACCAGCCGGGCCTCGGCGCCCCAGACTGTCCTGAAGGCCCGCCCGGGGAGGTGTCCGCTGGCCTGAGTGTGAGAGGGTGCGGGTGTGGGGTGCTGGGGCCCCTCTGCCTGTCCCCATGGGTGCGGCTGGTGGCAGGGGGCTGCTGGGGAGCCCCCCCTCACGCCAGCCTCACCCTGCAGATCTTCTGCTCCCGCTGCTCCTCGCACTCGGCGCCGCTGCCCCGCTACGGCCAGGCCAAGCCGGTGCGCGTGTGCACGCACTGCTACGTGTTCCACGTCACGCCCTTCTACAGCGACAAGGCGGGCGTCTGACGCCACCCGGGCCGGGCCCTGGGCTTCTGGAAGGGGGGGCTGGCGCCCCTCCAGCCCCACATGGGCCACTGCTGCCGAGGGCATCCCCAGACCCCAGGCGGTCCAGCACCGCGCCCCTCCTGGCCCCCGTGGCGACCCCCGGCCAACCGCAGGGGCCAAAGGAAGGAGGTCAGCTTCACGGGCGGGGTACGGGGGTGCCAGGTAGCTGCTGGCAGGGCGGGCTCCTCCTGCGGCCCTGACGCCCCTCCCTCTGCCCCCTCGGCGTCCCCCTGGACGGACAGAGAACCGTGGTCTGGGCTGCGGGCGGCCTCAGCACGGACCCAGGGGGCGCGGGGCCGCCTTTGGAACATGGGCTGCGGCAGACTCCTCGGAGGTCGGAGGCCAGCAAGGGGCTCACGGAGACCCCCAAGACCATGCCCCCTGCCCCTCCAGGGCTCCCCCCAGCGTCCCCTGCAGCACGCCTCGCTGGACACTGCGTTTCTTTCCAGAGGGCACGCGCAGAGGCGGGCCCAGCCCCTCTGCCCGCCTGCCGCCTGCGGTGGGGCCCAGGCAGAGGGTCCAGGCTGGGGCGGGCTCCCTGGGGCCAGCAGGTGTGGCCCGCCGCCCTCCCCTGCACCCTGGGAAGCCCCTCGCCCAGCGCCGGCGGCTGAGGGGCCAGTGGCCCAGCACGGACACTCCTCAGGCTTCAATCTCAGGCTTCACATGCAATGACGATTGCAGTTTTATTTTTGGAGAGATGACACACCTACTGCTGCTTTTATAGGATAAAACCCGATTACTACTTACCCGTGTCCCAGTGGACACGGAAGTGGCCACCGCGGGGGGACGCGCAGAGCGGAGGGAGTGTTATGTATGGAGATTATTTTTATTTTCTAAACGCTGTAACTCAAAACCACGTCCACGGCTCTGTTTCCGACTCGCCGGCGTGCTCTGCTTCAGCAGGTGGTGTTGCCGCGAACACCAGGGGTGCCGGGCCTCTGGACTGGGGTGATGGAGGCAGGGCTGGGGGCGCCCACCTCCCGCCGCCTGCCCACCCCAGCCCTCTGCGGAGGCTGCAGCCGGGGCGCTGACCTTGGGGGTGTTCTCGGTCCACCCAGCTTGGGGCCCACCGGCCTTGTGGCCCTAGGCTGGGGCTGCGCCGCCCACCACCTGCCTTCTGGAGCCCCAGGGTTGCCATGGCGACGGGACCTTCCTCTGCTCTTGGAGGCTGAGCCCTTGGGGGCCAGTGTCCAGCCCGCGGGGTGGTCACTGGCGAGATCAGAGGGTGCGGGGGCTGATGTCGGCAGGTGAGGAAGCGTTTCAGAGTGAGGGGTTCCTGAGTGTGCTGCCTGGGCCGGCCCCGCCTGGGTGCCCTCTGGAGGGGCAGCTGCCTGGGGTGGGGGGCCCTCCTCACAGGCACCCACAGCTTCTCCCAGGTCAGGTGGGAGAAGGAGACTGACACCCACCCTCAGCGCAGCCAGCGCCACCGCGGGGAGGGATCCAGGAGCGGGTGTAGCCTGGCCCCCAGAGCCCCTGCGGCGTGGGCCAGCCTCATGCGGGGGCGGGGCAGCCCACCCAGCACCCTGAACCTCCTGGCAGAAGGGTGGCTGGGCCACCAGAGCCCGAGGGACCGCTGCTCGTCTGCCTAGGGCTTGGGGCCTCCTGGGCCCTGGGACTTCCCACGGCGCCTGGGATGTGTGGTCACTTCACGCCTCACAGGGCTGCTCACCCCAGGGCCACGCCAGGACCCGGGCAGGGAAGGTGAGTCCAAGGCAGTTTCTGCTCAGGAAGGATCCAGGAGGAGTTGTCTCCGCCCCCCTCACCCCCCACAGCTGGAACTCTTGCGGGGGGGGGGGGGGGGAAGATCCTGGGGGGCAGGGGAGGTGCCCAGAGCTGGGATTGGAACCAGCCCTGTGAGCCAGCCTCGGCGCCTGAGGGGGCCTTGAGCAGAGACCACTGCCCTGGGTGGGGATGCACAGAGCAGCGAGAGACAGGTGGGAGGGAGTCTTGGGGGCCCCTCTGAGTGGCTGCAGGCTGGGGTCCCTGCTGCAGCTGCTAATGGCCACCAGGAGCCACCCGCCCCAGGCCTGGCCTCCAGGGTGTTAAGGACAACAGGAGCAGGAGCACTGCTGTCGGGGTCTCAGTGGTGGGTGCGCACCCCAGGCCCGAAAGGGCCCCCAGCACGCCACACCCAGAGCCCAGGCCCTAATCTTCGGGACCCGGCAGGGGGAGGACAGTCTCGGGAGGGTCTGGCCAGCAAAGAGCACTGGCGCAGCGGAACACTGGGATGTCTGGGGACCCGGAAGAGGGGCTCCCGGTCAGGGCTGGGCACAGTGGGCCTCCAGGGCTGGGGCGGGGATGACAGCGGCTGAGGGGGCCCTTCCTGGCCATCCCAGCTCTTCCTGCTCTCGACTTTGCAGTGGGAGCTGGGGGAGGTGCAGGACCCAAGGGGCCCACCCCGCACCACCCAGCCCTGCGTCCTGGAGAGCCACCTCCTCCGGGCAGCTTTCCCAGACAGCAGCGCCCCCGCCCTCCTCACACATCGTCAGAGCAGAGCCTGGCCCCTTGCAAGGGTCAGTGACCCTCTCAGCCTCTCCTGCCTCTTCAGCCGGCACCAGCGGCCGCTCACGAGGTGACCCTCCCATAAAGACTGGAGGCGGGAGGAGGCTCCAGAGGCTGATGGTGTCCTCCCCGCTACCGGCAGCCAGGCGCCTGCAGCCTGAGGCCCAGTGGGCCCTCCAGCCTGCCCTGCCCAGGCCCTGGCCGAGCCCTGGGCCCGCAGACAGCACAGGGGGGGCACTCTACCGGGAGCACTCTACCGGGAGGGGCAGCAGGGCAGAGCCTGAGAGGTGAGAAGTGTGGGTGTATGGGGGGGGCCACACGCTTTCTCCCCAGGTGCCGGGAGCCACAGGGGGCGCCCACGGATCCGGGTTTGGACACCCTGTGGGGTGATGGGCCGGTGGGGCAGGGCTGGGCTGCACAGCTGGGACCGGAGCTCACTTAGCTGCAGTCACAACTTGACCTGCTGCTACCCCTCAACACACACGACCCCGCTGAGCAGCATGTGGCTGCGACCCCCCAGTTGTGGGGTCAGAACTGTCAGCCCCTGATCCGCTGCCCTCTGGGTCTGCGGAGGGCAGTGTCTGGCGTTTCCTGGGTCAGACCTGAGGCTCTGTCAGGGAGCAGGGCAAGGCCCTGTGCATGGGGGGCCCTCCACTCCCACTGGTCGCCCCGGGCCCAAGCAGAAGGGCCGCGGCCTCAGTGGCCCCTGCAACAGCAGCCCGCCCGGGAGGGAGGAGCCTCGCCACGCCAGACACGTCCTTCCCTCCAGAACTTCTCTTTTCCTCGAAAAAACTTCATTTTAAAAATTTTTTTAGAAGATTTATTTATGCACACAAGAACCGGGGTACAGGCCAGAGGTGTGGGGGTGAGAAGATTCGCCAAAGACAGAGCGGGGAGCAGAACAGGCAGATCGACTGAAGCACACTGCTGCGGGGAGCAGCGGGGAGCCAGAGAGGTCTGCCGCGCCCTGTGGGCAGCTCCCTGGCCGGCCGGGGATGGAACTGGCGCTGCAGAGGCTGCGGGCCGCTTCATAGGTTGCGTCTTCACCCCTCGCGCCTCCAGGGAGGCCCCCTAAAAAACTTTTAAAAGACAGTTTTATCCTTTTGCTTTGGACGTTTTTGGCGATAAGAAATTCAGGGACTCTACAGTGAGCTGAGCTGTCCGCGGTCATGCAGCGGGAAACCTCGCCACGGGAGGAGGCTGACCCGGGAGCCGCTCACAGACGCGGACAGCGGCATGGGGTCCCGCGCCGCCTGAGCCTGCTGTCTCCTGTGCCATGCGGGCAGCGTGTTCTGGGTGTTAAATTCTTTAGAAGCCCCACCCCCCACCTCCCACCCCCCAGCTCAGAGGTACCCCGGACCAGCCGGGCTGGGCTCCCGCTCTGAGGCTGTTCACTGCCGCCTGCCTGCGTGCAGGGCTGGGCTCGGGGTGCTTGTGACCCTGCCAGGGGCCACCACTCCCAGGCCCGGCCCACTGCTGCCAGCGCATCCCTCCTGAGCCTCACAACCACCTGAGAAGCAGGAACAGTCACCCCTTCTGTAACTGGGGAAACTGAGGCGCAGAGAGATTCAGTGACTTGGCTGTGGTCTTGTGGTCAGACTGGAAGCTCGGGGGGAGCCACCCAGGGATAGAAGCCCCTCATGACCTTCCCTGGCCTGGCCCATCCCAGAAGCGCCCATGCAGAGGTCGGGGGGTGCCCCAGGCTGGGGCCCCACGCCAGGCTCTGTCTGTCCTGGGTCCCATCCATCAAACCTGCCATTCCCCTGCCCCTTCCCCAGAGACCCTGTCTAGAAGCACTGGGGCAGGGGGGCTCCCCAAAGGGGCAGTGGGAGAGAACAATCTGGAAGGATGGGGCTGTGAGGGCAACTGGGCTGGTCTGAGTAGAGGCCCCTGGGGCCTGAGTGCACTGGGAGGGGCCGGCGGCGGCAGGAGAGGTCCCGGCTCCCTGTGCAGGCTCTGCATGCAGTGGGGAGGAGGCCTGCAATGTGCACCCTGCCCCAGAGAAGGGGCCAGAGGGCAGGGCAGGCCTGAGCTGCCTGCAAGGAGGCAACCAGGAAGGCTGCCTGGAGGAGGCGACGTGGCCCTCTGGGGACACCTGCCCTACAGAACTGGGCCTGGGGCGGCATGGAGCCTGTGTCCTCCTGCCCCCACCCCCAGGCTGGACCTTGCCAGGTTCAGCTCCAGGCCCACCTGGGGTGCCAGTGCCCCCAGGAGAGAGGGGGCGCGAGGTGTGTGGGTGTGGAGGTTGGCCAGGCCCGCAGTAGGAGCACCCCTCCCCGCCCCATTCCCTCCCCGGGCTGCCCGCGCCGCCCCCACCCCTCCAGCCCTGCCTCCAGGCCCACGTGGCACCTCCTGGGCTGCCCCCTCGCCTGGGCCCTGGAAGCCTCTGCCCCTGCCAGGCCCGGGCTGCTGCCCAGCCCCTCCCCGTCACGCCACTCCCGCCGGGGCGCCCGGGCAGCGCAGCGGGATCGGGATCGGGATGGGCACCGCGCCCCTCTGCGCGGGCTCGCCGGGGCAGCAAGGGGTGGGGGCCCACCAGGTGCGCTCACACGGGCACCTGCACTTCGGGGGGCTACCCCTCACGGAAGCAGGGTGGAGGAGCCCCACAAACCCTGACCCACCACCGGGTGGTGAGGCCGGGGTCCCGCCTCCCTCGGGTGCCCCGAGTGCGGGACGGCCGGGCGGTGGGGGCGGGAGCTGGGTCCCGGGGCGCGCCGGCGGGCGAGGGGGCGGGGCGAGGGCAGCGTCGCGGGGCGCACGTTCGCGGCCGCGCCCCCGCGGGGCCGGGGCTGGGCCGGGGGGCGGCCCGGCGCTGCGGGGCGCCGCGGGGCGCTGGGGTCCGGCCGGGGTCCCGGGAGCGCGGCGTGCGGAGAGGCCGGGCCGGCCGGGGCGCGCCCGGGGCGCGCGTGTGCGTGCCGCGCGGCAGGCGCCCCCCGACTTCCGCAGGGCGCCGCCTTCCGCGCCGCGCGGGGGGGCGCCGGGCCGGCCAGGGCCTGTCCGCGGGGCCCGCCGGCCGGACGCGGGGAGGCGGCCCGCCCGGGGCGCCCGGCCCGGGCCGCGCGGGGCTCGGTTTCCCCGAGGGCCGCCGGGGCCGGCCGGCGGGGCGTCGCGCAGCCCCCGGGAGGCCCGCGCGCGGGGCGACTGCCCGGCCCGACGCCGTCCCGGGCCGGCCCCGCGCCCCGCTGTCCGGCCCGGCCGCCGCGCCCCCGCCGCGGCCGCCGCCGGCCATTGGCCCGCGCCCCCTGTTTTACATAGGCCCGGCCGGCCAATGGGCGCGCGGCGCCTGCTGACGCGCTCGCGGGCCGCCAATCAGCGCGCGCGGGGCCGCCCCCACGTGCTGTTGCTAAGCTCGGCTCGGGCCGTCGCCCGCCGCCCGCCTATCCGCGCCCGCGCCCGCGTCTGTCAACATTCCCGGCCGGCCCGCGGCCCGGCGGCGCCCATTGGCCGCGGCCCGGCCCGCGCCCGCCCCCCGCCGCGAGCGCGGCCCCCATTGGCTGCGCCGGCCGCCGCTCGGCCGTATGTGTCAATTTGAGGGCCCGAGGCGGAGGGTGGCGGCCGGGCGAGGGCCGCGGCGGCGGAAGCGGGCCCGGGCGGCGGCGGGCGGCGGGCGGCGGGCGGCGGGCGGCGGAGCCGGCCGGGCGGGCGGGCGGGCGGGCGGGCAGCGGCCGCCGCCGGCCGGGGCGCGCGGGCGGAGGATGGAGCTGAACTCGCTGCTGCTGCTGCTGGAGGCGGCCGAGTACCTGGAGCGCCGCGAGCGGGGCGGCGCCGCGCCCCTGTGCGCGCGCGGGGCCGGGGCGCGGGCGGCGGGCGGCCGGCTGTCCGCGGAGGCCGAGCACGGCTACGCCTCGGCGCGGCCCTTCGACGGCGACCTCGCCCGGAAGAGGACAAAGGCGGCCGGCCTGGCGCGCAAGGCCCCGAGCAACAGGTACCGCGCCCCGCGCCGCCCCGCGCCGCCCCGCCCCGCCCCGCGCCCCGGCGGCCAGCCTGGAGGAGGCGGCCCGCCCGCCGCCCGCCGCCCGCCGCCGCCGTCGCCATCTTCCCGGCCGCGCCTCCGGCTCCGCGTAAACAGTGCCACGCGTACAGCCGGCCGGCCCCCGCCCCGCCCGCCCCGGCGCCCGCCCCGGCGCCCGCCCCGGCCCCGCCCGCCCGGCCGGCCCGGACGGGGCGGGGGCGCGCGCGGCACCGCCGGGCCGGCCTCGCGCCGCTGGGCCGCGGAGGGGGCCCCGAGCGGCGCCCCCTCCGGGCCGGGCCGCTGCAGCCCTTGCAGGCTGCGCCCCCGCCGCCCGCGCTCCTTTGTCCCGCCGCGCGCGCCCGGCGCCGGGGTGCGCCTCCCGCGAGCGGGGCGCCCGGTCCCGCCGCTCGGGGGCCGGCGCGGCGTCTGCTGCGGCCCGGGCCCGCCGGCGCCCTCAGCCCGCCCGGGGAGGAGCGGGGTGCCGGGCCCCGCGTTGGCGGGGGCTCCGCCGGCCCGTCTGGGGCACGTCTGGCCCTGGACACGCCGCGGGCCCAGCCCAGGGGCGCCCTCGGGGGCGGCCGGCGAGGACGAGCGGGGGCGCTGGCAGGCGGCGGCTCGGGGTCCACCGCCCTCGGGAGCCCCGTCTGTGAGGGCGCCTCGCAGGTGCCGGCACCACGGGGCCCTCCCTCTCCGTCCGCGGCGGAGCTCGAGCTGCTGGGAGCCCTGCCCGCTGAGAGCGCCCGGAGGGCCCCGGAGGTCTCGCCGGGGTGCCCCTCCCCGCTGCTCCTCCGCGCAGACCCCGAGCACCCTGGTGCCTGTGCCCAGCGGGCCCTTCCTGGGAGGCCCCGGCCTGGGTCAGCCCCGCACCTGCCTGGCCTCTGGGTCTTGCCCAGGGGACGGGGCTGGACACAGCTGGGGCGAGGGTGAGGGCTGGGGGGGCAGGAGGCCAGCAGGCGTCCGGCGCGGCCGGCCTGCAGCACTGGCTGGAGAGTGGGCAGAAGCCCTGTGGAGGTTAGGTGAGGAGCCGGGCAGGTGATTCTGGCTAAGTGCTCAGCAGAGCCAGGCCCCGATCTCCGTGCTCGCCATGGCCCGGGATGCACACTCCTGGGAATGTGGGGACCCTGGTGGAGGCCCAGGATGGGCTCTGGGCACCCCTCCATCCCCCGGGGCCCAAGGGCGTCCCCTCCTAGGCTGAGGGAAAGACAGTCACGGCCCCTGCGTGCCCAGCTGCTTGGGGAGGGGACCTTGGGCCCCGCTGAGCTGTGGGGCCACCAGCTGAGGAGGCCCAAGGAGGGGCGCTTCTGGAAGGTGTGAGGAGGGGGCACAGGGTCGCCTGGGCTCCCACTCGCAGGGAGGCCTGAGACCTGGCTGGCCCGAGGGAGCCCCCGGACCGCGGGTGACCGGTGCACTGCCCCTGTCTGAGTGGGCCAGACCTGCAGAGGTCGCCCCAGGGCACCAGTACACTGAGCCACATTTCAGGGGGAGGACAGGGCCAGTGTCCAGCACTCCTGCCCAGGCACCCAGGGCAGTGAGAACCCGGTGTGGGCTGGTCCCTGTGGCCCGGGATGGCTCTGTCCTGGGTGTCCCCACTGCGCCAGGGACTGGGGCAGCATGGGGACGCTGATCTGGCAGGCCGTGTCAGGACAGGACTGGCCCTTCTTGAGGCCTGGCCTCTGCCCCTGCCCTGGCTTCTGTGCCAGCCCGCGAGGTCGCAAGGACATAGCTGGCCTCGGGGCACGGGGAGTGGAGTGGGCAGGTGGCTGGACGCCCAGCAGCCCGGGTGCACTGGGTGGGGCAGCTCTCGGTGAGCTAGATGACCTGGGCACCTGGACCTGGCACCCTTGGGTCTCCCAGCCTTGTCCCTGGGCGAGCAGCAGGTCCCTGCTGTGCCCTCCCCGCCCTGGCCTGGTGCCACCTCCCAAGGCCAGTCCCCTAGGGGCTGCTGTCCCCTGTGCCCTGGCCTGGGGCAGCGGAGTGAGCTGTGTCTTTCTGTCTCTCTAAACAGGTCGTCACACAATGAGCTAGAAAAGCATAGGTAAGTGCCCCTGCCCGCCCCATCGCCGGGTGAGCCCCGAGGTGAGCCGCCTGGCTCGTCCCACCCCAGCCCGGGCCTGTGACCGGCCTGCTGTAGGGTGGCGCCCTGTCCCAGGAAGGGTCCGTCCCAGGGAAGGCAGTGGCCAGGCTCTGCCCTTGGGCACTCGGTGCTGACACCAGGGGTGGACGCTCATGGGGCTCTGGGGGCGGTGGAAGTCAGGAGCTTGGGGCAGGGTCCCTGTGCCTGTGGCCAGCAGGGCAGGGTCCCTGGAGGACGAGGTCCATGTACTTTGAGCCCCAGGGGGCAGTCTGTGGGCCCATGGACACCGGTTGCCACTGGAGCGGTTTGATCTTCTCGGTCGGGGGCCTTCGCCCTGGGCCTGCCTCAAGGGGCTGCTGTGGTGTCTGGTAGGACACTCTGGGTCAGGGCAGCACCCGGGGGCACCCATGCATGCCCATCCGACAGCCTTCCTCTGAGGATGGTGGAAGAAGCGGGAGGGGAGCACGGTTGCCTCGGCTGTTCCCACGGGCTGGCGCCCTGGGGCCTGTGCATTCTGCTGTGGCCTCTCCTCCGCTGGTGCCCCACTGGCCGCGGGGCTTGTGGAAGGCTTGCACCTGCACTGCCAGTGGGGCCTGGCACAGGCACGCTGGGCTCTGTGGGCAGTGCCCTTGAGGCTGACCTCAGCAGGGCGGGGCCAGGGATGACCCTGAGGCACGCTGGGCAGTAGCTCTCTGCTCACCTTTGTGCCCCTCTGTGAAATGGGCCCGTTTTCTCCTTCCTGGGTCAGAGTGGGGTTTGCACACAAGTCGAGCCCCCGCCCCAGGCTGCTCTGGGGAGGTGCGGTCAGCTCCCCACCCCACCCCATGTCTGTGCCGCGGCAGCGCCCACACCCACTGCCAGGCACTCGGGCCTCCCTGGGCGGTGCTGGGAGGGATGGAACACCTGCTGCCGGAGGGGCTGCGCTTCCTGTACTGCTCCGAGTGTTTGAGGGGTTCCCGAGAGGCCGTGGGGGTGGGGCGGGCCCAGGGCTGCTGCCAGGCCGGAGGAGGACAGGCCCTGACTGGGAACCAGGAGTCGAGGCCGGTGTGGGTGTTCTCGGGGAAGGCTTCAGGCGGGGCCCCTCGATGAGGACTGAGGGCCGCGTTGGAGGAGGGCGGCGAGGGTAGGGCTGTCTGCAGAGCAGCTGTAACTGCCTCGAACCCTGGCTTTGGCCTCAGCCACCTTCTCCCTGAGCTCGCTTCCCAGGGACCCTTCTCAGGCAGGGAGGTGGGGTAGATGGGAAGCCCCAGATCTCTGTGCCCCCCCAGCCTAGGCAGGGGTCCCCATTCCTGGCTGCCGGAGAGGCAGGTGTGAATGGCCCGAGGAGCCCCAGCTAGAGTTCGGGCCTGGGTCACACTGTACCTGTCCCGCCCGGCACTGATGCCGGATGCCCGCCACTGCCCGCGGGAAGGGCTGTGTGCTGTCCCCGACGGGAGGAAGCACCTGGCTGGGTCACCGGCCAGTCCCCTGGGAGGCAGGCCCTGGACATCGCCTTCCCTGGATGCGTGCCCGAGCCAGGCCTGCCCCGGCTGGGGCTCTGAGCTGCCTGGTCAACCTTGGCCTGCCTTCTCCCTTCCGTCCTCCGTCCAGGGCGCTGAGGTCAGGGCTCTCACGTGACCACTGGGCCTGAGATGGTGGAGGCCGCGCCTTCTTTGCCAGCTTCCCCAGCCCAGCTCCAGGTTTTCACTTTGGTGTGTATTGGGAGGGGAGGCCACAGACGCTCCTCCAGTACCTGGCACCCCATGAAGGGCGGCCGGGCCCTGGGGTGGCTCCTGCACTCCTCTCCCGCATAGTGAAGATGGCCGGTCAGGCTCTGGGCTGATCCCCTCAGGCAAGGCTTGCAGCCCCCACCCCCACCTGGTCCCAAGCTGCTCGACAGGTCAGGCTCCCCTGAGGCCCCCCATGTGCCCCATGCAGCCGAGGCGGCCAGGAAATGCAGGGGACCCAGGGGAGGGTGGGGCTCGCCCCCCCATCCTGTGCATTTCCTCACCTCCTTCCTAGAGCCGAGGCCTCTGTCCTTGGGGAGTGTCAGTTCAGGGTTTCTCAAGTAGCCTGTTCACCTGCGCCCCTCCCGGATACCCTGTGCTAGGGGCTGGGGGCCCCTGCCGGTACCCCTTCTCCTCGCACGCCACCTTCTCCACATGCCATGAACTGGGGTCATTACCTTTGTTGGCCAGCCTGGCCAGCCTTTCCACCCGCGCCCCTCGCCCAGCCCCCATGGGGTGTGGTGCCCCGCAGCTGCCCAGCAGGCCCGGTGCTGCCCCACCTCGGTAACCCCGTCTCTGTGCACCCGGGGTGGTCGCGGGACAGAGCCTGCGAGCAGCGATGCTGGTCAGGGCTGGCCTCCTGCGCCGGCCTGGCCGCACCCCGCCTGCCCACTGCCTGGGAGTGGTCTGGCCGCCCCGCCCGGGGGCCCTGCGCTGGCGCCGCCCCCACCCTGCCGGAGCCCGCCGCCGCCCGCCGGCTCCCGTGCCTGTCTGTGTCCTTGCCCGTGTCCCCGAGATGTCCCCCTGACCTGGATGTGTGTGCTCTGCGGTGTCCCCAGACTGACCGTTTGTCTTTTCTATGTATCGCGAATATTTCCGCTGTTATTTGTCTCCAGCTGTGTTTTTTCTTTCTTGTACAAATGTGTCTATTTTCTGATTGTTAAAGTAACGTGTGGGTTCTTTAGCATAGAAAACCTGGAAAATACGAAAAAAGCACAAAGCCAAAGAAATAAACGCTGCCAGCGCCTCGCTGGAGACCGCTCGCGCCTCTGTGTGTCTGTCCGTCCCGTGTGCGTCCGCTGTCTCGGGTGCTGAGCACGAAGGGGCCGTCGTCACCGGCCCCGGCCCCGGCCCCGGCGCTCAGCCTCGTGCGGCGAGGGGAGGCTACGCCAGGAGCCAGGAGCCGGGCTCTCCGGGGCGGGGCGGCCCTGGGGCCTTATATCTGTTTCTCCTTTCCGTTGATTGGCGTTTTCTAAATTTCCACAAAGATCAGGTGCTGCTGTCCCCCAAGAGCGCTGCTCCCCTGCTCCCTGCCTGGCTCCCCGGCCCCGCCCCCAGGGCCTCTCTCCGCACCTTCTCGCTGGGGGGCGCGCCCAAGCGGCAGGCCGAGGTCCGCAGCGCTGAGCGATCACGCAGCGGTGGCCTGGGGCCCAGGGGCCGCCCGTTCAGCCCTTCCCAGCCCCGAGTTGGGGAGCGGTTGGTGTGGGCGTGGGGTGGAGACCCTCCAGCCTTGAGGCAGGACCGGGGTCTGCTGGGCAGGCAGAGGCTGAGCACCAGCCCTATCCCATGTCCTGGGGGCTCTTTCTGCGCTCTCACTCAGGCTGGCCAGGGAGCCGCTATGTGGGGGCCGGGATGGGGAGGTGCTTCATCAGGGGGCGCTGCCGCCTGGGTGTGGATGGCCGACGTGGGGTCTCCTGCGGGTGGGGCTGGAGCGGCCGCTCAGCAGCCAGGCTGCTGCTGCCACCCAGTTGCCACCCTGTCCTTTCCAAGGAAATGGCCGTCCCTGCCGCTTTGCCCCCTGGGTCTCTTGAGAATGAGTGTGCTGGGCTTGCAGGGGCTGGGGCGAGGGGGGGTGGAAGTGTGGGTCCGCTCCTGGGGAAGGAGCGTGGGCCGGCATTGACGGGGCGGGCAAGCGGGGCCTGGGGTTCCTCTGCTAAGGATTTAGCTGGAGCCCCAGGTGGGTGAGGGGTCTGGCAGGGGACCTGCTCCTCATTGGGCTGCTCCCGCCTGCCCCAGTCCCCAAGAGCCGAGCCAGGAGAGGCAGGGTCTCTGCACGGGCACATCCGGAATCCACTTGGCGGAAGCAACCAGGTTTCTGAAAATCTGCGCAGGCACGGGGGCGGTCTGGACTGGAGCGTGTCCTCGGTGACGCCAGGCAGCCCGGGAGCCCCCATCCCTCCCGTGTGCTCGGGTTTCCCGAGAGAGGGGGACGGAAGGTCTGAGGCTCCCAGGTCTCGGGAAGCAGCCTGGCCTTGGCCCTATGCCACTTCCCCTTCAAATGGGTGTCAGGGTGACAGCAGGGCAAGGCCTGATGGTGCTGGGGGGCCAGCGGGCTGGCAGCCGCACAGACTTGGGGCCCACCGCTGCTCCTGGGGCCTCTGGAGGATGGTGGCTGCATCTGGGGCCAGGGAGACCTCCAGCCAGGCTGGGAGGAGCCTGGGGAGGGACCCTGGCCAGTGTGTGCAGGAGTCCCCCCCCAAAACACATGTCCGTTGGGGGCCTGTGCTGGGCTGTGCGGTCCGGCCTCACGGCTCTGTCCCCGGCTTTTTCAGACGAGCCAAACTCAGGCTGTATCTGGAGCAGCTCAAGCAGCTGGTGCCGCTGGGCCCGGACAGCACCCGCCACACCACCCTCAGCCTCCTGAAGCGTGCCAAGATGCACATCAAGGTGAGGCTGCCCCGGCCACTCCTGGCCTGGGGTCTCCTGTGCTCCCGGGAGGCTGCAGCGGGAGCTGTTGGGGCTGAGATCAGCTTGGGCGTCGATGGGTTGGGAGGTGTCTGTGCCCGCCGGGGAGGTGGGCGTGGGTCACTGTCCCGGCCCTGGGCTGTGAAGGCGCCGCCGTGGGAACGAGAGGAGGCTGGGCATGCGGGGGCTCCTTTGAAGCCCTGTTGGTTGGCCTTGGGCAGGAGGCCACCTGGCCCCATGGGCAGCTGAGGGGACGCAGCCTCTGGAGGGCCTTGCCGTGGGGCTGGGCTGGGCGAGCTGTCACCTGCGGGCAACTTGAGACAGATCTGGTTGCAGGATCCCCTGGAGGCCGCACGGGCAGCCCAGGCAGGGTGGCGGGAGCTTCTGGGAAGCACCTGTGCAGGGGGCCCTCCGGGGGCGTGGGGGAGGGAGGCGCCCACGTTGGCCTGGAGGGCTGGGTGGCGCTGCCCGGTGATCCGTGGCCTGCGCGAGCTGGTCAGAGGCAGCACAGGGCTGGGGGGCCCTCGCAGAGCCGCCCCCTTCACGGGGGCACGGCTGCCCCAGGCCTGGCGGCGGGGGCGGACGGGGCACCCCCAGCCCTGCTCACGGCGTCCCGCGCCGCGGCCCCCAGAAGCTGGAGGAGCAGGACCGCAGGGCGCTGAGCGTCAAGGAGCAGCTGCAGCGCGAGCACCGCTTCCTCAAGCGCCGCCTGGAGCAGCTGTCGGTGCAGAGCCTGGAGCGCATGCGCACAGACAGCACGGGCTCCGCCGTGTCCACCGACGACTCCGAGCAAGGTGCACAGGCGGCGGGCCCGCGGGGCGGAGCATGGGTGGCTGGCCCTGGCCGGCACCCTGCGCGGTGGCCGAAGGGTGGGACTCGGGGAGGCGGAGCTCCCCTCCTACCCTCAGCCTCTGCAGGCCTCCCTTTGGGGGGTCCGGGCTGCTGGCACCCTCCCGGTGCTGACTCACCGCCGCCCCCTCCCCCCAGAGGTGGACGTGGAGGGCATGGAGTTTGGCCCCGGGGAGCTGGACAGTGTGGGCAGCGGCAGCGACGTGGACGACCACTACAGCCTGCAGAGCGGCGGCTGCAGCGCCGGCGGCTTCGGCACCCCCTGCCGGAGGCCCAGCCGCCCTGGCCTCTCGTAGACCCAGTGCCTCTGCTCCTTGGCCCGCCCTCCCGCCCGGCCGGGTGTCAGCCCTCCGACCCCCGCCAGCCTTTCCACGGCCCGCTGCCGCGCCATTCTGGAAGCTCCGGCCACTGCCTGGGCCACCGCCTCGCCGTCCGCCGCCTGCTGTGCAGGGCCCCTGCAGGGAGGTGGGCCCGGCTCACACATCCTGGAGCGTAGCTGCCCCGCCTGTTCTCAGATTCCTAATCATTCCAGAAGTATTAAATATCATTGCTGCAAACCTCGGCGGGCGCCGTGTGAGGGGCTTAATGACCACAGAGGGGCACTCAGACCCCATCCCGGACCCCAGGAGAAAGCACTGAGGAAGGAAGGAAGGTGTGGCTCTCCGTCCGTCCATCGCCTGTCACTCTGCGTAGGCTCCTGAGCTGGACACGGCTCCGTGCAGGGCGGGACTTGGTGAGCACCTGGCCCTGGGCGGGAGGGGCCCTGGGCTGGGGGTCAGGAGCTGGGGCTGGGCCCTGGAGGTCGCGCCCCCCCCCCCGGGGGCTGGTGGCTTCTGCTGTCCTGGTCCCTCAGCTACCCGCCCACCCACACACAGACATGCGTGGCCACGGCCCGGAAGGCCCCTCCTGGGCAGCCAGCCTTCAGTGGTGACCGGGTGAGCGCTGAGCCCTGGCCTGTGCTGGCCCCTGCCATCCCCAGCACACCGTGCCTGCCCCCGTGGCCTGCCCAGGCTGCACAGGAGAGGGACTGGGGTGCTGGGGGGTCGCGGGGGCTTTCTCATCGCCCTTAAAGACAAAAAAATCCTGCTGCACCACTCAGCAGCCTGGGATGGGCCCGGAGAACCTGTTCCCCAGTGCAAAAGAGAAACGTTTTTAAAAAGAGAAAGCTGAGAAGACGCCAGCTCGCTCTGCACTCCAGATTTTGTACTCTATTTTCCTAGCCAGCTGCGTCCTTGTTTGCTGGGGGGGCGCCCCAGCGTCTCAGGGACTCGTCTGTCATGTCCTCCAAGTGTTCCTGCGTCCTGTGTCCCCCCAGCACCTCCCTCTGACCCCCGGGGTGCCCCCACCTGCCCCACAGCAGCCCGCCTGTCTCTTCCCGGGTCCTGGGAGTGGAGACTGCCCGACCAGGCCCGGGGCTGCTGGGCAGCCCTCGACCCCTGGACATTGTCCTCTCCGGCAGCCTCCAGGTTGGGGACCCCGCTAACCAGAGAACGGGTTCTCAATGACCCTAGCTTGACGCCTCCCTGCCCCCTAGTCTGGACCGGGGGCTGCAGACTGCAGACCTGGACGGCCGAGGAAGACACTGTCCACCCTGGGGTGTAGCCTGCGTTGGGGGGTTCCTGGCCTCTGGCTCCCGAGGTGCTTGTCCCTGGGGGTGCCACAGCAGTACTGGGCGTGGTCTGTGGGGCTGACCGTGCTGTGCCCCTCGGTGCGCTGCGGCTGACTCCAAGGTCGGGTGGGGGCAGCTGCGTTTGTCTTTGGTCAGCCAGGGCCACCCAGGGTGGGTGGCGCTCCAGACCAGGAAGGGCTCCCGGAAGCGGCTCTGGCACAGAACCTGTCCTGGGGCAGCAGCTGAGAGCGGGGGTGCAAGAACTGCCTCGTTGGCACCCCCTTCAGTCCGGGGGCAGGTTGGGGGTGCCCGGGAAGGGTTTCCCTCTGGCTGCCCAGCATGCGCACGCAGCGCCCCAGAACCCAGTGCCCCGGGACACAAGGCCTGTGCTCAGGAGCTGCTCTCGGAGCCCCGCTCCGGCCCCTGGGTGGGCTGTGTCCTGGATTCTTACAGCCTCTGCACCCCGACCCACCCCACACCTAAGAAGTTCTGCTCCACCTTTGCGGGGGAGAGTGCCCCCAGGTGCCCAGCTGTGCCCCGGGCCACCTTCCTGGCAGCTTAGTCCTTGATTTTGCAAACTGCACACCCATGTGGACCAGGGAGTTGCCCTCACGACCACCGAGGGGTGCTGTGGCCCTGATACCTCCCCACCAGAGTGAGGGGCTGTCCGGCCTGGTGCTTGGAGTGACACCCTCACCCCGCTCCCCCGGCACCCCACCATTTGCACAGGTTGGCCGGGACCCAGCGGGGGCTGCTGAGGCTTCACTGGCTTCAGTGCACACGCTGGTGCTGCACACTCTGGGAGAGCCAGGGGCTGCCTCTGCAGTGCCTGTGCCCGGTCTCTGGGCGCCCTCCTGTGCCCCGTCTCTGGGCACCCTCCTGTGCCCCGTGGTGCTCAGTGATTGAGATCCTGCAGTCCTGGGCTCAGGCCTGGGTCCCCATCCTCACTGAGAGGTGCCCCTGCCATAGGCCCCCAGCCTAGTGCACACACAGAGGGCTGGGGAGGGACAGGAGGGCTTGCCCTCCACGGCCTGGTGCCCGGCCACCTTCCTGGGTCTGTGGCTCCATGGCTCCGGCCCCGGGCCTGGCCTCCTGTCTGCCTAGACCAGGCCCCTCTGCTGGGCCAGGCCAGCATCCCGAGCCCCGCCCCAGCTTCCCCCTGTGCCAGCTAACTTGGGCGCCCTCCCCACTGCCATGCTCACAGGACTGACCCCGGCCACATGTAGGGCTCTGGGGCAGGTTCCGTGCCAGAGTCTGCGCCCACCCTGGGGCCAGGGCTCACCATCTGGGCTGTCACAAGATCCGCACTGGAGATGGACAACCCACTTACCTGTCCACCGGGGACTGTGCTGTACTATTCTGTCTTTGTGATATAAATACAGATTTTTATACCTCACCCAGCTGGCTCCCAGTGCTTTCTGTCTCGCCTGGCGCCCCTTCCCTGGCCCCTGACTAGGGGGCAGTGGCCCTCACCAGCCTGACCACAGCCTTTGCTTTCTGGAGGTCCAGCAGACAACGATCGTCCCCCACCTGCCAGCTGGCCGCCACTGAGATGCCGCTGTCACAGCCGCCCTGCTGGACAGACGCTGGAGTCACGGCCAGTGGCTCTTGTGGTGGCTTCCGGTTCTGCCCCTAGCCTGGGACCGGGTGGCCTTGGGGACAGCTCATCCTCTCGGGTGCCCCGGGTTGGCCAGGTGTCCTCGGCCAGCTTCCATGTGTCCTTTTCACGTGGCACTACTCAGGCCTGCACCCCAAGAAACCCTTCTCAGGTGACCCCAGGCACAGCCTCTGCCTCCTGCTGCAGTCCAGCTGGGCATGGCAGGGGAGAGAAGGCATGACTGTTGTCTCGACGTGGCCAGGCCAGGGCCACCGGGACCTGATCTGTGTCCTGCCTGTCTTGTGGGGCAGTTATGAGGTGGTGGGGAAAGGCCTTATTCTTTTTTTTTTTTTTTTAAAGATTTATTTATTTATTTATACAAGCACTGGGTACAGTCAGAAGCGCGGGAGGGTGAGAGAATTCACCAGAGCCAGAGCGGGGAGCAGAGCAGGCAGAGGAACCGAAGGACACTGCTGAGGGGAGCAGCGGGCGGCAGGAGAGGTCTGCGCGCCATGTGGGACCCTCCTCCGGTGGCCGGGGAGCAGCCGGGGATCGAACCGGTGCTGCAGAGGCTGCGGGCAGCTTCGCAACCCAGCGCTCAACCGCTGCGCCACCGGGGAGGCCCGAAAAGCCTTATTCTTGTCAAAAAGGCTGACTGGTCACCCCAATTCTGGACCCACAGAAGGCCCAGACCCATTGGAGTGAACCCCCTCTGGGAGCAGACAGCTCTGACCCTCTGAGTGGCCCCCAGGTTTGGGGCCTGTGAGCCTGCTACTCCAGTACCCAGAGAGGTACACCCGGGAGCCCAGCAGAGCGTTGTCAGGGGAGGCGCCAGCCCCCTCGAGTGACAAAGACAGGTAGCCAGAACAGGCTGTCCGGTGGACACGCAGCCGCCGCACGCTGCTGTCCGCGGAAGGGCCTCAGGAGGAATCCGAGGCTGCTCACCTCCACCCCAGCAGGCAGCCGTGTCTGCCCCCTTGAGCCTGTGTGCAATGTCCTGGGCACCCCAAGGAAAGAGGGAAAGGGAACGAGCTGGGGCCCGGGAGCCGGCAGGACATGGGTGTGAGCAATGGGGCGTTTGAAATCCAGGCATCGCAACAATCACCAGCATCCCGGCCATGGAGGAGGTGGCGCTCGGTGACACTGCTGCAGCCACGCTGGGCCCACCCCACAGGCAGAAACAGGGCTGGCGGGGGTGGGCCGGGCACCCACCTGGAACTCTGGGCAGCTCCTTCCTCCCGCTTCCGCCCAATGCACGCCTGGATGAGGGAGGGCTTCCCGGGGGACAACTCAGTCCCGCCCTCCCACAACCCCTCCTTGGTGCTCAGCCCTCCCCACGCCGTGGCCCTCGCACCAGCCCCTGCATGCTCAGGACGGCCCCCTCTGGGGCTGGCGGGTCTCGGGGCACGGCCAGCTGCGCGGGCTTGGCCGACCCTGACCAAGGCCAGCTTTCCCCCCCAGCCCCGGGCAGGCCGGGGCCCCGGGCCGCAGTCCCGCGGGAACTTTCTAGGCCTAAGTGGGGCTCCGCACTGGCCTGTCTGGCCCGCGGCGCCTGCTCCTTACAGCCTCCTCAGCCCCGTCCCTTAGGAGCCCCCTTGCCCCCACCGCTCTCCCAGGAACCCTCCCGGCCCCCGTCTCCCCGCCCCGGGCTACCTGGGGAGCCCCACAAGCCCCGCCTGCAGCTCTGAGCGCTGCCCCGCGGGGTGGAGTCAGCGGGGTGAAGACGCCCGTCCCCTCCCGCCGCCGGTGGGGCGTCTGCCTTCCGCGGACGGGCCGGGAGGAAGCCGAGGAAGAGGAGCCGCCGGCCCAGCGGGAGACGGGCGGGCGGCGCCCACACCCCCTGCGCGGGCCCCGGTCCTGGCCCCAGGAGGCGCGGAGCCCGCTCGCCCGCCTCCCCCGCCCCCCGCCCCGCCCCGCCCCGGCGGAGCCCCGCGGCCCCCGAAGCCCCGGCCCGCGGCCCAGCACCGGCCCAGCGCGCCCGGGCCTGCGACCAGCTCGGCGGCGCCGCGCGGCCCCGCTCGCGGAGTCAGCTCCCGGGCGCCGCTGTCTCTCGGCCTGCTCAGCCCCCCACAGAACCTCGCAGGCCGTGACTGGAGGGAGGCGCGCGTCCTGAGGGGATCTGTCTCCCGAGTGCCGGGACGGCGGGGGCGCCGCGCCCGTGCGCCCGTCCCGGGTGGGCTCCGTCCCGCTTCCCCGCGCGTTTCCCGGCGCCCGCCGGGGCCTGCGTGGCCCCCAAGCAGCTCGCGGACAAGCAACGGGCGCTCGCGCGCAGACCGGCTCCGCGGGCGCGGGCCACCCCCGGGCCCGGCCCCTCCGCCCGCAGCCGGGTCCCCGAGCGGCGCCTCCCCCCGCGGCCCGCCCGTCGCCCCGAGCGCCCCCGCGGCGCCGACACCCGCTCCCCCCCTCCGCAGGGCGGAGCGCACCTCCGCGCCCCGGCCCCGCGCCCCGCGCGTGCTCGGCCCGGGTCCGCGCCTCCGCGGCGAACGTCTCCGGCGCCGGCCCCCGCCGCTCCGCCCGGCCCCCGCCCCCAGGGCCGCCCGCAGACCCGGGAGGGCGCCCGGGCCGGAGCCCCGCGCTGCTGCTCCAGGCGAGAGCAACGCTGGAGCCGGCGGAAAGCTCGTGTCCGCGCCCCCGCGCACGGCAGGGCGCGCCGCGCACACCGGGGGCGCCGTCGGGCGGGGGCGCCGGGCCGGGGCGCCGCCGGGGGCTCTGCCGTCGGGGCCGCGCTGCGGGGGGCGGGCGGGGCGGACCACCCCGCCCGTCGGGTGGGAAGCGGCGACGAGCTCCGCCCCGCCCAGCGCAGCCCGCGGGCCGGGGGCGCGGGGCGTCGGCCAGAGGCGGGCCCCGCGCGGCCTCACGCCCCCCGCCCCCCCCCAGGCCGGCGCAGGTCGGGCTTCCGGCCCCGCGGGCGCGCGAGCTCGGCTTCCGCGGCGCGCCCCCCCCGCCCGCCCCGCCCCGCCCCGCGCCGCCCGCCCCGCCCCGCCCCGCCCCGCCCGTCCCGCCCCCCCCCGCCCTCGCCCCGCGCCGCCCCGCGCCGCCCGCCCCGCGCCGCGCCGCGCCGGGGGCCAACCAGCTCGCACCCTGCGCGCGGGCGTCGACAGGGGCGGAGCGGCTCCTGCTCGGCCCTGCCCCGCCTCGCCCCGCCGCAGGCGGTCCCGCGCCTGCGCAGACGGTCGCCGCGGCCCCGCCTCGGCCGTCTGCGCGCGCGCGGTGGCGGTGCTCCCGTGAGCCTTTGCGGCGCGGCGGCTGCGGCGGGCTCCTGAGGCGGCGGCCGGGCGCCCTGAGGTGAGCGCCGGCCTTGCGCGTCCGGGCGCCGCTGCCTCCCCTTTCCCGCGGCTGGGCGGCGGGCGTCCGGGCCACGCGCCGGGGCGGGGCGGGCTGCGGGCGCCGCGCCGGGCCCGGAGTGTCGGAGGCGGCGGCGGGAGGCCGGCGTGCGCGGGGCGCGGCCTGTGGGGCGTCTCGCTCGCTTCCCCGCGGGGAGCCCGGCCGGGCCGCGCCATGAGCGGCGGGAGCGAGTTCGTGGAGACGCTGCGGGCCCTGCGCTACCCCGGCGCCGGCCGGCTCTGCGCGGCGGACTTCGACTGGCTGTTCGAGGCGGCCGAGGACGCGGCCTTCCTGCGCTGGTTCTGCGGGCGCGTGGGCGCGCGGAGCGCGCTGTCGGGGGCGGAGCTGCGGGCCTTCGGCGCCCTGCGCGCGGCGGGCCAGCCGGTGCTGGAGGGGGCGGCGCTGGACGCGGCGCTGCGGGCCTGCGGGGCGCCGGGGCCGGGCGCGCGGGCCGTGCGGGCCGGGGAGCTGGCGGCCCTGGAGGAGCAGGCCCGGGCCCTGCAGAGCCTGAGGAGCCTGAAGCTGCAGCGGCGCAACCGGAGCCAGCTGCTGGCGGCCGCCGCCGCGCCCCGGGCCGCGCGGCTCGGCGCCCAGGAGGAGGCCGCGGCGGGGACGCTGAGGCGCGGCCGGGCCGCTGCGCAGGCCGCGAGGGCCGGGGTCGGCCGCGAGCTGCGGGGCGTCGCCGACGCGGTGGCGCGGCTCGGGCCGCTCTGGAGGCCGGCGGACGCGGGCCCGCGCGCGCTCTTCTCGCAGCTCTCGCTGGAGCGGTTCCTCGGCCAGGAGGAGCGGAGCACGGCCGCGCTCTCCGCCTACGCCCAGCGCCGCCTCCTCCCGGGCGCGCGGCAGGCGGCGGGGCGCGGCGGCGGCGGGGAGAGCGGCCGGCCCCCGGCCCCGCGGGCCCCCGACGAGCGCCGGCGGGAGATGGCGCGGCTGCGCCTGGCCTGCGTCTGCGCCCAGCACCAGCTCGCGCGCCTGGAGGCCGGCGCCCGGGGCCTGCGGGCGCGCGTCGAGTGGGCGGAGGCGACGCTCGGCGGCCTCGGCCGGCAGGTGAGTGGGCGGCGGGCGCGGGGCGGGCGCGGGCCCCGGCCTGGGGGAATAGCCCGGGGGTGAGTTGAAGGAAACGCGAAGCGAAGCTTCCGCCGCGGAGCACGGAGGGGCTTCGCCGGGGAAAAGCGGCGTGACGAGGGCGCCTGGGGAGCCGGGCCGGTTCCCGCGCAACGTCCGTCTCGGCCTGAGTGAGCGCCGCCCCCCCCCCCGCCCCCTGGATGCGGGAGGCAGAGCAGCTTCTCTGCTAACTTCACGGCGTGTGACACGGAGCTGCTCTCGCCGCGCAGGCCGCCGGCGAGGATGCTCTGGACACAGACGTTTCCAGCCTCAGCCGCGAGGTTGTCAGCCTTGAGGACGAGCTCGCTCGCGTGGAGCGCGCGCGGCTGCCCGCGGTGGCGAAGGAGAGCGCCCGGTGCCTCGACGTGCCGGTCGCGAGGGGCGACGCCGACCTGCAGCTGGCGGAGCAGGACGCCTCCACAGCCACCCAGGAGTTCGTCCTGAGTCAGCTGATCAAGCAGAAGGCCTCGTTTGAGCTTCTACAGCTGTCCTTTGAAGTAGAATTGAGGAAACACGGGGACATAAATCGGCAACTTGAAAATTTGGTTCAAGAGCTTAGTCAGAGCACTGCGGCGCTGCGCCGCCGCGTGGACCTGCTGGCCGACGCGGCAGGGTGGCGGCAGGCAAGCCCGAGGGATGCCATCGAGGCCAAGGATTATTCTGCCCACAGGTGCGTTTCCTTGTTTCTTTAGTGAGTCTTTTCTCTCTGCCCTCACAAAACGCTGGTGTGTGGAGTAGAGTCCTGGAAGTGTAAAACATTCTTTGCACTCTAATTTTGACTTTTTTCTCTTCTCTTTCACCTTTCTACGCCTTTTAAAAATGTTTTGGCTCTTTTTCCATTCATGCTAAATCTGGAAGTAGCTTTTTAGAATTGAGGTTGGTGGCATGAAAAAGCCTGTATATAGGCATTTATGTTTGTATTTCTCACGTTCAGTCACCATTATTTGATGCCTTGTTTTAGATTTGTGGCAGGAAGTTTAACTACAGCAGGAAGTTTGTTTTTTTTTTTTTTTTTAGATTTATTTATTTATATAGGAGCTGGGGTACAGTCCAGAGGCGTGGGAGGGTGAGAGGATTCAGCAGAGACCGAGCGGGGAGCAGAACAGGCACACTGACCAAGTTCTGCTGAGGGGAGCAGCAAGCGAGGCAGGAGTATTCAGTATCATTGTCTAAAAATCAACATACTCCTTTCATTAAACGTGGTTGTGAGCACACACTGTTGGGAAGATGGCAGCCTACACCTGCTTGACCCAGGGAGGGTTGCCACAGACCTTCATTTTGTCAGAGGTCCAATATCTGTGAAGAAGGGTAAAGTAAGGTGTGCTGTATAGTATAGATTATAATTTTGAAAACTACTTACTTGAGAATTTTTTCCTGTTTTTATTTTTACATTTTAGGCTTTCCGAGCTTTTAGAAGGAGAAAATAAGAAAAAAGAATTATTTATGACCCATGGAAACCTAGAGAAAGCGGCTCAGAAATTAAAACAGGCTGTTTCTTTAGCACAAAATCAATTGGAAATCTCTACTCGTGAACATTCTTCCTTTCTTTCCAAGCTGAATAATGATGTGGACATGCTTTGTGATGCTTTGTATCAAGGAGGAAAGCAGCTTTTGCTTAGTAATCAGGTGGGTGCTTGCCATAATAATTAAAAAATGCTTTTCAAAAGGTTCATTATAAAGGATGTCAAAGGGAATGTTAACATGAGGAAAATATTATCCCAAATTCTGTTGCACTGAGATAAACTTTATTTATCTCCTACTTTCTTTTCACATATAATTGTTTCTCGGGTAGTTTTAGATTTTAAAAGTCAATAAAATATTTTAGATGAGAGAACTTACAATATTTATGCTAAGAATGAAGAAATAATAAAACCACCCTTGAAATTTTTTAAGCTACCTTAGCAAATAAAGGAATGCCCTTATGGCTTTTTTAAAAAAAAAGATTTATTTATTTATTTATCTCTATTTGTTTATTTATTTATGTATTTATTCATACATACAAGAGCCAGGGTACAGGCCAGATGCGTGGGAGGGTGAGAGGATTCACCAGAGACGGAGGGGGCAGCAGAACAGGCAGACTGACGAAATACATTGCTGAGGGGAGCAGCGGGGAAACAGGAGAGGTCTGCTGCGCCATGTGGGACCCTCACCGGCTGGCCGGGATTGAACCCGTACTGCAGAGGCTGCAGCCAGCTTCACAGCACTGCACTCAACTGCCTGCGCACTCAACTTGCTGCTCCCCTCAGCAGAACTTGGTCAGTGTGCCTGTTCTGCTCCCCGCTCGGTCTCTGCTGAATCCTCTCACCCTCCCACGCCTCTGGACTGTACCCCAGCTCCTATATAAATAAATAAATCTAAAAAAAAAAACAAAAACAAACTTCCTGCTGTAGTTAAACTTCCTGCCACAAATCTAAAACAAGGCATCAAATAATGGTGACTGAACGTGAGAAATACAAACATAAATGCCTATATACAGGCTTTTTCATGCCACCAACCTCAATTCTAAAAAGCTACTTCCAGATTTAGCATGAATGGAAAAAGAGCCAAAACATTTTTAAAAGGCGTAGAAAGGTGAAAGAGAAGAGAAAAAAGTCAAAATTAGAGTGCAAAGGGAAGGCCCTGCCCTTATATCTTTAAAATCCTCTGTGTACACTTAGGGATAGCCTTTGTCTCTTTAACAGAATTCCCCTTCCCTTATGTGCTTGCTTTCATTTATAATTCTTTTACACATATGTATTCCTGGACTGTATGTTCATAATGTTATGCAAATGTGGACATTACACATTTCCAGAACTTTTTCATCATCCCAAACAAATTCTGCACGTTAAACAATAACTCCCCATTTCTCTAGGAGGCAGCTTCTGGTTATCTAACCTTTTTTTTTTTTTAAAGATTTATTTATTTATACAAGAATTGGGGTACAGGTCAGAGATGCGGGAGGGTGAGAGAATTCACCAAAGAGAGTGAGGAGCAGAACAGGCCGATGCATCAAAGACACTGCTGAGGGGAGCAGCGGGTGAGGCAGGAGAGGTCTGCTGTGCCATGTGGGTTTCTCCCTGGCCGGCCAGGAATGGATCCCGCGCTACAGAGGCTGTGGATAGCTTCACAGCACAGCGCTCAACCTGCTGTGCCACCGGGGAGGCCCTGGTCATCTCACCTATTGATCCGTTCTGTTTCTGTGACTTTCCCTACTCTAGGGGCTTCTGGAAGTGGAATCATTCTGTATTTGTCCTTTTGGTTTGATTTATTTTCACTTAGCATAATATTTTTAAGTTTCAAGCATGTTGCAGCACGTGTCAGGATTTCATTTCTTTTTGTGGCTTTTATAGTCTATCATATATATAGATATATGTTATCTGTTGATGGACACTTGAGTTTGATTTGTTTCCACCTTTGGGCTGTTGTGAATAACGCTGTTTGAACATTGGTGAATAAGTATTGGTTCATTTTTACTTTTTTTTTCTTAAAGATTTATTTATACAAGAACCGGGGTACAGGCCAGATGCGCGGGAGGGTGAGAGAATTCACCAGAGACAGAGGGGGGAACAGAACAGGCAGACTGACGAAATACACTGCTGAGGGGAGCAGCAGACGCAACAGGAGAGGTCTACTGTGCCATGTGGGACCCTCATGGCTGGCTGGGATCGAACCAGCACTGCAGAGACTGCAGACAGCTTCACAGCGCAGGGATCAACTGCCGGCGCCACCAGGGAAGGCCCCATTTTTACTTCTTTTGGACATATTCCTTAAGAGTGGAATTGCCAGATCGTGTAATTCTGTGTTTAACTTTTTTTTTTTTTTAAAGATTTATTTATTTGGGGCCTCCTTGGTGGCGCAAGGGGTTAAGACACAACCTATGAAGCTCACTGCAGCCACTACGGCACACATTCGATCCCCGGCCAGGCAGGTGACCCAAATGCCTCAGCAGACTGTTTCTGACTCGCCCGCTGCTCCCCTCAGCAGTGTATTTCAGTCGATCTGCCTGTTCTGTTCCCCACTCTGTCTCTGGTGAATCTTCTTACCCCCCCCCAAAAAAAGCCCTGGTCTGTACCCCAGTTCTTGTATGCATAAATACATGAATTTTTTTTTTAAGATTTTAATTTATTTATACAAGTACTGGGTACAGTCAGAAGCGAGTTAGGGTGAGAGAATTCACCAGAGCCAGTGCGGAGAACAGAACAGGCAGACTGACAAAATACACTGCTGAGGGGAGCAGTGGGGGCGGTAGGAGAGGTCTGTGGCCATGTGGGACCTTCGCCGGCGGCCGGGGAGCCAACCAGCGCTGCAGAGGCAGCTTCGCAGCCCAGTGCTCAACCGCTGTGCCACCAGGGGAGGCCCATAAATAAATGTATCTTCAAAAAAAAAATTTAAAGATTTATTTATTCATGCATACACTATCTGGGGTACAGGCCAGATGTGTGGGAGGCTGAGAGGATTCACCAGAGACAGAGTGGGGAACAGAATAGGCAGACTGAAACACACTCCTGAGGGGAGCAGCGGGGAGACAGGAGAAGTCTGCCGAGCCATGCGGATAGCTCCTGTTCGGCCGGGGATCGAACTCGCACCACAAAGTCTATAGATAGCTTCACCGTGCTGCGCTCAACCTCCTGCACCACCAGGGGAGGCCCTGTGTTTAACTTTTTACGGAACTGCCTGACTGTTGTCCAGGGCATCCACCCCATTTACCTCCGATCAGATCAGCGATCAGATCAGTGGTGGGAAGGGTTCTGGTTTCTCCACATCCTTGCCTGAACTTGTTATTTTGTCTCTTTTAATAATATGTATTGCTCATCCTCATGGGGGTCAAGTGATATCTGATTAGTTTAAGAAATCTTAATGATTTTGTGAGATAATTGCATAAAATCTTGTGATGGTAGTATCTGAAACCTTTTAGTTTCATCAGTTTTTCCTTTAAGACTTAAAAATTATATCTAAGGTTAAAATTGTAGTGAATTATTATGGCGCATTTAAATTGCAATCATTTACCATTACATAATTACCCTCTGTTCCTGTTATGCTTTTTGTCTTAATGTTCTTTTGTCTGATACTAATATTCCTATGCCATCTTTTCTTTGATTAATATGTGTAAGATAATATGCTTTTTGCTTTCACTTAATGTGTCTTTTTAACTCTTTTTATTTAGAATTATGAAATAACCATTTTCAGTCATAGAAGCAGACAGAATGGTGGTTGCAGGGGGCTGGGAAGTAGAAATGTAAACTTGTTAATCAATAGGTAGAAAATTTCAGTCACACAAGATGCGTAAGTTTTAGAGATCCGCTGTGCAGCATTATCCCTTCGGTTTACAATACTCTATTGTAAACTTACAAGTCTGTTAATAGGAAAGATTCCATGTTAAGTGCTCTTACCACAATAAAATGAATCTTAGAAGAATATGTTGGCTAAAAGCATATCTTGTGTGTGTCTGGTCAGTAACGTCATGTGTTCTTGATCATAAGCATATTGATTTCAGATATGTTAAAATGTGAAAGATTGGATCCTCAAATCACTAAGATATGTGGTATCTCTAATATACCCATCATCTTATTGGGTATCTTTATTTACTGTTTTTCCATGAGAAATAAAATCCCATCCTTATCAATTTTAACTTGTATTTTACTATTTATGAAGCTGCATATTTTTCCACTATCTGTAAGAGTATTATTTTAGCAGTTGTCAAGATCTTTAGCATTCAGTTGCAATTAAGGGAAAGATAATTGTTTCTCATAGTGGTCAAGTTTTTCCAAGGGGAGACCACATAGCACAGCTAGAATTTTTTTTTAAGTTTTTTTTTTTTTTTTAAAGATTTATTTATTTGTTTATACAAGCACTGGGTATAGTCAGGAGTGTGGGAAGGTGAGAGAATTCACCAGAGCCAGAGCTGGAGCAGAGCAGGCAGAAGGACCGAAGTACACTGCTGAGGGGAGCAGCGGGCGGCAGGAGAGGTCTGCGCGCCATGTGGGACCTTCCTCTGGTGGCCGGGGAGCAGCCGGGGATCGAACTGGTGCTGCAGAGGCTGCGGGCAGCTTCGCAACCCAGCACTCAACCGCTGCGCCACCGGGGAGGCCCTAGAATTTTTTTTTTTTTTTTTAATGTGGTTTAAGAAGATTCGCTTTCTGGCCTTTGACAGGTGTTAAGCAGTCGTTGTTGAAATCATACATGTGAATCACCAGGAGCCTTTTGAAATGCTGATTTCTGCTCCTTTTGAAGAGATTGAGTAATGTGAAGTGAGCCCCAGAGATCATCCTCCTACTATGCTGAGAAGCTGTGTAGTCTGAAGTAGTTGGAGCTAGAGGGTTCCTGAACCTCTTTGGTAACACTGGCTGAAAAATTTTAGGAGTAGAATATTTGGTTGGAAAAACATGATACTCAATAATAAGCTACTTTTAATGTTAGATAATGAGACACTGGAATTTATTAAATGTGAGGGGTCTGGCATGTCGGTCCTTTTTTTTTTTTCTTTTTTCTTTTTTTTTTTTTTAAGATTTATTTATTTACGCACACAACTGGGGTAGAGGCCAGAGGGGTGGGCGGGGGGTGAGAGCATTCACCAGAGACAGAGTGGGGAACAGAATGGGCGGATTGACTGAAATCCACTGCTGAGGGGATCAGCAGGGAGACAGGAGAGGTCTGCTGTGTCCTATGGGTAGCTCCCTGGCCTGCGATCAAACTTGTGCTGCAGTGACTGCAGACAGCTTCATAGGTTGCATCTTAACCCCTTGAGCTACCAGGGAGGCCCCACAGGTCTTGGTTCTTAAGCAGAAAAATTACATGGTAAATCAGGATTGTTGAATGTCATGTAATTCTCCCTTTTGTAACAATGTGATAAAAGAGGGCCTTCCCTGGTGGCGCAGCAGTTGAGCGCTGGGCTGCGAAGCTGCCCGCAGCCTCTGCAGTGCGGGTTCGATCCCCGGCCGCCAGAGAGGGTCCCAAATGGCGCGCACACCTCTCTTGCCTCCCGCTGCTCCCCTCAGCAGTGTACTTCGGTCCTTCTGCCTGCTCTGCTCCCGCTCTGGCTCTAGTGAATCCTCTCACCCTCCCGCGCTTCTGACTGTACCCAGTGCTTGTATAAATAAATAAATAAATCTTTTTTTAAAAATGTGAAAAAGGAAAAAAAAATGGAGTTTTTGTTGAGGTCATTCTCTTTTGTTGCAAATTTATTTTTTTAAGACTTATTTTTAATTTATACAATAGCTGGGGTACAGGCCAGAGGCGCGGGAGGGTGACAGGATTCACCAGAGACAGAGTGGGGAGCAGAACAGGCAGACTGACTGAAATCCACTGCTGAGGGGAGCTGCTGGCGAAACAGGAGAGGTCTGTGGCCGTGTGGGAATCTCCCTGGCCGGCCGGGAATCGAACCTGCACTGCAGAGGCTGTGGACAGCTTCACAGCCCTGTTCTCAACCTGCTGTGACCCTCTGCACCACAGGGGAGGCCCTTTGTTGCTAGTTGTTAACATTTCAAGACTCCTCCTATGTCTAGAGTAAACAGATTAGGTTAAAATAGGGTTTGATTAGTAAAGCAGAATGTAAGCTTAGTGGAGGAGGTAGTGGTCATTCTTGTATATATAGTCTGTACAGCTGTGTTTGGCATATTTGTTGAATATATATGAAGATGCGAAACAGTTAACATACGAAGTATTCTTCAGGACGTAAGAATTTGCTTTGAGTTACTGAAAATTTCCTGTCAGAATTTATCTTATGTAGAATTTGTTACTAAACCTATGGATTTTTGATTGAAGTTTATTTATTGGTTAACATTGTGAGAATAACTATTAAATGATTTAATTCTTGTAAATTACATTTTTAAGTTTACAGTTGTTATTATAGATAGAACTTTTGCATTAAAAGCATTTTTATTTTCCTTTTAGGAGTTAACGGAGCAATTTCATCAAGTTGAGTCACAGCTGAATAAGCTCAATCATCTTTTTACTGATGTTCTTGCTGATGTGAAAACAAAGAGAAAAATGTTGGAATCTAATAAGCTCCTTCAAATGGAAAGAAAATTATATGTATATTTCTTAAAAGATGAAAATTACCTGAAAGATATTGTGGAAAATTTAGAAAATCAGTCAAAGATTAAGACCATTGGTCTAGAAATTACTAAAAACTGAGTCTTCACTACTTGTACTGTGTTATAAAGTTTTATATACTAGGAGGATACAAATAATAAATACTACTAAAGTGAAGTATTCTATCAGCTGTTTTTTCCTTACATAACATAACATTTGTTCGAAGTACCAGTGCTTTTTATGAGTTGATCATTTGCTTGGAGGTACATAGTTCTGATAACTTAGAGAGTAAAAAACTTTATATAGTGCAAGTATTTTTTAATGCAATTTAGCTATATCTCTCTTCTTTATACAATAGCTATTTATACTAGGTTTTTTAAATTCATGTTTCTACTGTTACATGTTTTAAAAATTTGTGGAACTTTGAATCAGGATTATTAAAGGTTACCTTAATATGGAATAGCCAGATACTTTGACTATAAAGTAAAATACTGCCACTCAAACTGTTTTCCCCCATAATTCTTACTCTAAGATTTGAGACTGTTTTAATGTTCCTATTTAAACCACAAAGAATGTCAGAGCTCAATTAACCATTGTTCATTTTAGAAACTGGATCTTGGGGACTGAAAATTTCTGCAAGGTAGATCTCAACAGTGCTTTGACTTTAGTCAAAGTGCTTAGACTTTAGACTTACACATTACAAATGACTTTAAAATGAAATTTTACAACTATGTAGAAGTGCTTGCTTACAAGATGTATGATGCAATTTTAATTAGTTTCTTGGAGTGAAAATACTTGAGTGATGGTTGTATTAATTGGGATAGAAGTATAGTATTTGGTTAAATAGAAATTGTTTTAAGAGTTGATATACAATAATTTAAAGTAATTTATCAGTCATTACATCAAATGCTTCCTGAGTTCACTTGTGGCCTTGTATTACCTATCATGTAAGCTTTGATAGAGGACAGAAAAGACATAGAATATTCCTGCTCCAAGAATATGTCACCTGCTTTTTTTTTTTTTGGGTGGGACCCTCACCAGCGGCCGGGGAATGAACCGGCGCTGCAGAGGCTGCAGGCAGCCCCGCAGCCCAGCGCTCAACCGCTGCGCTACCAGGGGAGGCCCCGTTAGCTGCTTTTAATATGAAATGGCAGTCTGAACTTCAAGTGGTCCATGGGCTTTTCCAGCTATAATGATCAGAAAATGGGTATGAGATGAAGTGTCAGATGAGCCTTGTTCGTTTTTGTAATCCATTGAACAAAATTTTTTTTTAAAGATTGATTTATTTATGCATACAAGAACTGGGGTATAGGCCAGAGGTGTGTGGGGGCGGGGTGAGAGGACTCACCAGAGACAGAGTGGGCAGACTGACCAAAATATACTGCTGAGGGGAGCGGCGGGGAGACAGGAGAGGTCTGCTGTGGCATTTGGGTCACCTCCCTAGCCAGGGCTCGAACTCGCGCTGTAGTGGCTGCAGATAGCTTCATAGGTTGCCTCTCAACCCCTTGCGCCACCAGGGAGGCCCTGAACAAAATATTTTTTGTTCATTACTGTTATTTGTACATTTATTCAAAATTTTATATTAAGTAGATCTTAACTTGACAATTTTGTAGCAGTAAATTTTGCTGTCAGTTCCTCAAGGATGATTTTTCCTTTTTTTTTTTTCCCTCATCTACCTTGGAATAATTTATTTTAAAATTTTCTCCAATAATGTGGTGTTTTTGCTCATGGTAACAAATTCTGTGTAAAGTAATGCCATATATTAATGTATCACCAACTGTTTGTGATTTCTACTGTCCCATGCCTTCACCCACTCAAACCCGGGGCCACTGTGGAGCCGTGGCCAAAGTCGGTCAAAACATTTTTTATTACATTTGTATATTAGATTATAGCAGCTGTTTTTCAAATTTCAGGAAGTGTTTGAGTAGATTACTTGTTTCAAAATCAGTTAACTAGAAGATAACTCTCTACTTTGTTTCTTTTTTACCATAATACCACAATTGTTTTGTTTTCCTTTTTTGTCTTACCTCATAATTGATAGTTATTTCATTCAATTACCAATATAGTATCAATTTTTATGAAAGTCTCAGTACATAAAAAGTTTCAAATAATCTGTTTTGAAATCTTAATATATGGGTATTATGTTTCTCTTACATTTAGGCTATTATGAAAATGGAAAATTATGAGGCATTTGTAGGCTTTGGTCTCTGTACGAAACCACTCTCCAGTGTTGCTCAGAAGATTATGTCCGCTATGCGTTCAGGTCACTTAGTGGAGTCTAAGAATTGGAGAGAGAGTGAAAAGAGTGAGTAATTTTTATGAGCTTTTCTATCATGTTAAGAAAATTATTCATAAGCCTAAGATTTGAAAATGAAGCGCAGCAACCTGCGTGGCAGGACTTTGTCTCGTGAAGGGGAAGTGCTGCCTGCGCACAGGGAGCCTAGGCCTCTTTCCCCTCCGCACATGTCGTGATCGCTGAGGTTCTCGTCCTAACTTTCACAGTCGCGCGGTTCTTACTGCTTTTAAAACCTAGCTCTGCCGTGTTCCAGGCATTTCTGGCAAGCATTTCCTTAGAATCTGGATCAACTTTTTAAACCAAATAAATGGGCTCCTTCCTGGTGCCCCTTATCTAGCCTTGTGTCATCGAAACTGAATATGGTGTTTGCTTCTTGTGCCTGGTGGACAGAAGAAGGGGCCTTTGTCAACAAGTCTATCATACACCACAGAAATAGACTCGTGGCAAAGATCAGGAGATATGTCTCTACGTGGTGATGACATATGCAGGAGCTGATGTGCTCACAAATGTGACCTCTCCTGCCGCCCATTGCTCCCCTCAGCAGTGTGCTTCGGTCCTTCTGCCTGCTCTGCTCCCCGTTCTGGCTCTGGTGAATTCTCTCACCCTCCCGCGCTTCTGACTGTGCCCAGTGCTTGTATAAATACGTAAATAAATCTTTTTTTTTTTTTTATAATAAATTTTATTTTTATATTCCCCCATACAATTGCAAACGCCCCATTCTGACCCCAATCCTTCCCCTCCCGTCCCCCACCCCCCAAAAAGTGTCTCTGGTTCATAGTTTTTTGTTGATTTTGATTTTCACTTTCTTATATTCATTTTCCTGGTCCCTTATTTAAGTTTTCTAGATTCCTGCTATGAGTGAGACCATCCGGTATTTTTCTTTTTCTTTTTGGCTTATTTCGCTGAGCATGATCCCTTCCAGCACCATCCATGTTGCTGCAAATGGCATGAGTTTATCTTTTTTGAATGCTGAGTAATATTCCATGGTGTATATGGACCACATCTTCTTGATCCAGTCATCTATTTTTGGGCATTTGGGTTGTTTCCAAAGCTTAGCTACTGTAAACAGTGCTGCTATAAACATAGGGGTGCAGGTGCTCTTTGGAATTGATGTTTCTGTGTCCTTTGGGTAAATACCTAGGAGTGGAATTGCTGGATCCTATGGAAGCTCTATGTTTAGTAGGTCCAGAAATCTCCACACAGCTCTCCACAGTGGTTGGACCAGTTTGCACTCCCTCCAACAGTGCAGAAGAGTTCCTTTTTCTCCACACCCTCGCCAGCATTGGTTGTTGCTAGTTTTTTTAATATGTGCCATTCTCACTGGTGTGAGATGGTATCTCATGGTAGTTTTGATTTGCATTCCCTGATGACAAGTGATGTTGAACATTTTTTCATAGGCCTGTTGGCCATTTGCATTTCCTCTTCAGAGAAGTTTCTTTTTAGCTCTTCTGCCCATTTTTTGACTGGATTATTTTCTTTGTTGTTGTTGAGTCTCATCAGCTCTTTGCAGATTTTTGTGATCAGTCCTTTATCATTAGTGTTGGGTGCAAAAATGTTCTCCCAGTTGGTGGGGTTTCTCTTTGTTTTTAAATACGTAAATAAATCTTTTTAAAAAAAACCAACCAACAAACAAAAGGCTAAAACGCTTCTGGTAGCTGTAATATGAGTTTCTTAGAAACTCATTTATGGCAGTAAGCCCATCACTTGAACTCTCCTGTCCTACTCCTAAATAGCCTGCAAAATCCTAGTTTTCAGAAATTTATGGAAAAGATAATGGGGGTGAAGCTATGATAGTACTTTTTTTTTTTTTTTAATAGAGGCATGTTTTTATTTATTTGTTTGTTTATTTGTTTGTTTTGTTTATACAAGCACTGGGTACAGTCAGAAGCACGGGAGGGTGAGAGAATTCACCAGAGCCAGAGCGGGGAGCAGAGCAGGCAGAAGGACCGAAGTACACTGCTGAGGGGAGCAGCGGGTGGCAGGAGAGGTCTGCGCGCCATGTGGGACCCTCCACCAGTGGCCGGGAAGCAGCCGGGGATTGAACCGGCGCTGCAGAGGCCGCGGGCAGCTTCGCAACCCAGCGCTCAACCGCTGCGCCACCGGGGAGGCCTGATAGTACTTTTTGTCAGATTACTTTCTGATACTGGAATTTGGAAAAATACTGGAGTTTATATAAGGATTCTGTATTACCTGTTGATGTAGAACAATACTGTTAGTACAAACTTAGTGACTTAGCACCTGTTTATTATCTCAGTATCTGCGGCTCGGGAGCCCAGCCACAACTCACCTGGGTCCTCTGCAGGCTGGGGTCTTGCCTGTGACTGGTGGGGGAGCATTCTCTCCCACGTTGCCATGGTCATGGGCAGAATGCAGTTCCTTGTAGGCCCCTGGACTGTAGGCCCCTGGACTGTAGGCCCCTAACTGGCCATTGCCTGGAAACCACCCACAGTTCTTGCATTGTGCTGCTCTCCAGAGTTGGCAAGGGAGTTTCCCTAGCAAGACTGCCCTTGGTCACACAGCACAATCACAAATGCCCGGTCTCCTTTCCTGTATTTTCTTTGTTAGAAGTGAGTCCAGGGCCTCCCTGGTGGCGCAGCGGTTGAGCGCTGGGTTGCGAAGCTGCCCGCAGCCTCTGCAGCGCTGGTTTGATCCCCGGCCACCGGAGGAGGGTCCCGCACGGCGCGCAGACCTCTCCTGCCGCCCGCTGCTCCCCTCAGCAGTGTCCTTCGGTCCTTCTGCCTGCTCTGCTCCCCACTCTGGCTCCGGTGAATTCTCTCACCCTCCCGCGCTTCTGACTGTGCCCAGTGCTTGTATAAATAAATAAGTAAATCTTTAAAAAAAAAAAAAGTGAGTCCATAAGTCTTGCCCACACTCAAGGGGAGGGTGTTACACAAGGGCTTGAGGCAGGAGTCTTGGGACCACTTTTGCGGAGTCCCACTAGTGGTAGTCTTCACTTTATGTGAGAGTAAGTCAAAGTTCAGTTGCTGTTGGGTTATTGATGAATTTGATGCTAGGCTTGAAACCTTAATTGACTCCTGGACTGCCATTCACTGAGCTGCTGTGTCAAATCCTTATTCCTTACAAGTAAAATGTTGTAAGTCAGTATTTATTTTCTGAAAGCATTTTATAACAGATACCACAACAAAGTATAGAAATCGATGGAACAATATTTGCTTTTACAAACACTAAACCAAACAGGGCCTCCCTGGTGGCGCAGGGGTTCAAGTTTCAGCGCTATCAAGCTATCGCCAGCTGCTGTAGCACGAGTTGGATCCCTGGCCAGGGAGCTACCCACATGGTGCAGCAGACCCCACCTGTCTCCCCGCTGCTCCCCTCAGCAGTGTATTTCAGTAGATCCGCCTGCTCTGCTACCAGTCTGTCTCTGGTGAAACCCCCCATGCCTCTAGCCTTCACCCCAGCTCTTAAATGCATAAATAAATAGAAATAAATCTTTTTAAAACTTTAAATATATAAATAAAAAATAAAACTTTAAAAAAACAAGCAGAATTAATGTCACTTTGGGATCTGATTTTCTGATCTGTTAGATACACATTCAGCCAAGACTAGACTATTTTCTTGCAGCAAGATCTTTGCTGTGAAAGTACAAAAGTTGAAAAAACTTAAAATACGCTTTAATTAACAGCAGGAGGAAGTCCATGTAACTGCCGTTTATGTTGCCAGCATCTCAAAATTGCCTTCGGAGTCAAAGCCCTCTCCCGTTTGAAGTAAACTTACCCTGATGGTTAAGGCTACTGCTTCTTAATCACGGGCATTTTAATTGCCCCAAAGATCTGTTTGGCAGTGGTTGCTCTTTGTCTGCCACACCCGGGGCTGACCTGATCTGACAAGCTGGCTACACCTCCTTGCGGCCAGCGGGGTGCGCGTGCAGCGGGGTGTGCCCTTTCCGGCAGGCCCGGGAACATCCGACTTGCTTCCGAGCTGGCTTCACGCTATTTGGAACCTGAAATGACTCCTCACCGACCCCGCGAGTGATACAGTGTCCCAGAGGGTGTGCTAGAGGCCGCCGGGGCTGGGAAGGCTCCATGAAACAGCTGCACCCCCGCCGAAACCACTTGCTTCGGCTCTTGGGGGGACGTGAGCTGGTGGTTACTGAAGCCGTCGCCGCGTCTTGTGGCCGTCAGTTCGGGTTTTATCTTAATTCTTCAGGCGCCTTTGAACTAGATTCAGAATTGGATTCGTCTGATTTAAATGTTCATGCTCATTTTATTGTCCGGTGGGAGCGCGGCGGCAGGCGGCGAGCTGGAAGGGCTCCGGGGCTGGCAGCGGGCCTGGTGTCCGCCCGGGACCGTGCATGTGACGGAGCGCGTTGGCGCGGGAATGTCGCTGCCTGTCTCTCCCGACGGGCGACAGCGTTCCGTTCCGGGTACACGGTCAGCGCAGTCCTTTCACTCCCAGAGCTCAGGCGTGAATGTGGTGTTTTCTAGTAAAACTGAAATATCTTTATGAACTGCAAAGCTTGGGGCCCGAAGGTCAGTGTCGGAGTGTTCGTTCATTCATGTGACGTGTGTCTCTTCCGACCGCCTGCTCGAAATCTTCGCTGTTTCAGGAACATAAACAACTAAATCTCTGTTCGCTGTGGTCGCGGCTGTCTGGATAAACGTCACCCTTATTTTCATCAGATCAACAAAGGCCTGGTGCCCGGCGGTGTGCCGGCCTGCTGCCCGCGCCCTGGCACGGGCCTTCATTCCCGTCACACGGCGCTCGCTGCAGCCGCCTGGCCACTGTGCCCCTTCATGCGGTCGCCGCTTTGGTCCGGCCTTGCGCCGTGACTGCAGTTAGCTCAGCTGCCGGCCTTGTTCTCTGCAGAATTGGTCTAGAAACCTCCCCCGTCCTCATGTAGTCACGGGGTTCACTTGGCGTTTTCTTAATTCAGGCTTTTTCATGCCTCGTTGCCCCCTCTCTGGCCGCCGAGCCACCCCCGGCTCCGGTCTTTCCACGGCGCCGTGCCGCTCGAGCCCTTCCTCCTGTGGGGCTGGCTGAGGCCGTTGCTGCGACTGTCACATTTCAGCGTTCCCCAAAGCCCCCCCTTCCAGTAAGCTCCCCGTGTACAAGCGCAGCCTGCTTCCCGGGGTGTCGAACCTGCCTCCGGGGGTCCCGGGGTCCTGCGGAAGCAGACGTGGGGCTTGGGTGTTGGGTTCACCTCGGGCAGCCTGGCACCGATGACCTGTCCGAGTTTGGAACAAGAACGGCCGCTGGAACCTGCTCTCGGACGGCGGTGCTGGCCTCGCCGTGGAAGCAGCCCCCGGGCTACCGGGTCAGTGGCGCGGGTCTGGGAGGGAGGGCGAGGGGACTGGGCGCCGGGGCTGGGGATAGAAGGTGCTTGGGAAGGAGACAGGCGAAAGGGCGAGCCCCGGCAGCCCACAGAGGAGGCCCCGCGCGTGGTCTTGACCTCGTGGCCTTCCAGAGAAGACGCGAGGCCTGACGCTGGCGGGCGGCCACCCCACAGCCAGCCAGAGGCCCGATCCAAAGGCGCGGGTGGGGACGGCGCCGCGCGATCAGATGGTGAACGCCAGAGACCCTCGGGGCCACAGGGGGCTGCTCTGCGTTGACCCCCGCCCCTTCGCTTGAGGACTGCAGAGGTGTCTGTTGACAATGACGCAGGCTCCCTAGGGACTGCCGTCTCTTCCCTCCTGCCATTAAGTCCCAGAAGTCCTGGGGCGGGGGGGGGCATGGTGGCGGGCACGGAACTCCTGGAGCGACGTGAGCAGGGGAGTTTTGACTGACTAGCCCTGGGATGAACTGCCAAGGAATAAAGAGAACCCCGAAGAAGGCAAGCCCCTGAGGCGGGGCAGGCAGGGCTCCCCTGGAACACGCTCCCCATCTCCCGAGCCCCATGCCTTGGTCTTCCGGGGTCACCCGGGGCGGGCGCTCGCTCACTCACGGGGCATGTGGCCGGTCTTCACACGACGGCCTGATGCACGTCCCTACTAGCGCACCAGCCTCGGAGGACAGGCCTCACCTAGAGCCCCTGGCGGAGTGTCACCACAGCCACCCCATGTGCCGCCCCCACTCCCGAGACCAGGACTGCAGCTGCAGGCCAGGCCGGCCCCTCCTACCTGCAGGGGCTCCCGGCTCAGAGCTGCTGCTCACGGGAGGGACTGCTGGGCATCACGTTGGACGCGGGGCCCCGAGAATAGCACAGCTGTGGACATGGGACCCCCAGGTTGCCTCACAGCCGTGGACCCTGAAGCCAGGCTGCGGGGGCGCAGGGTGGCCTGAGGCCGGGCCGGCGTGAGGGCAGATCCCCGGGCACAGTCTGCCACTGTCCGCCCGTGGCTGGTGTGCGCGCCCAGCGTGTATCGTCGGGGGCTGGCAGCAGAGGGGGCGGGACCTCCGGCCCAGCCCGGGTCCTGCAGGGGAGGGCCTGGCTTGGGAGAGGAAGCCCCAGGGACGGGAAGGGGCCCGGCAGGCAGGTTCGAGCTGTTGCCGCACCAGTCAGTCGAGTTCCTCTGGGCAGGCCGCAGGCTCCCTCCTGCCGGGCGGCCTGCTTGGCGGAGGTCAGGACTGCCGCTGTGTGGTGGGGCCTGGAGGTGCATCGACACCGGCCTTGGGATCCGTTGCCTTGGCCCTGCCCAAGCTTAATGGCCAGGGCAGCGGCCAGGGCCTGAGAAGAGCATGGGGCCCGGGGCCCTGGGCTCGGTCGCCTCGGCAGGCAGGGGTGCTCAGCCTGGGAGGCGCCTTACAGTGGGGGGGGCGGGGGAGACGAGTGTCACTTGCCGTCTCGGGGCCGCCGCAGCCACGAAGGGAGGCGTTTGTCCCGTCGCCCTCCTTTCACGCGGTTGTCCCGAGGAGGCCCAGCTCATCCTGAAGGAGCCGCCTCAGCATGTAGCCAAGAGTCGAGACTCAGCTCCGGCGCCTTTGCTGGGCGCGGGCCCACGGGGGCAGTGCTGTCGGCTGGCCACTGCAGTGCCTCCGAAGGCTGACCCGTGGTGACTGGCGGCCCCGCGGCAGACTCTGCCCGGGAGCACACCCTTCCTGGGGCGAGTGTGGGCGCCGCTGGGGCAGAAAGGCCCAGCTCTCGAGGCCCAGTTGAACACTGCAGTTCCTGCCAGGGCCGGAGCCGACCTTGGAGTGCCTGATTTGACCCTGTCCTTCCCTCACTGCCCCAGACGGAACCCCAAGAGCCTTCACAATGCAAGCCCTCACCTGCGTCAGACTCTGGGGACCATGCCTGCACGTGTCCACATGTGGCCACGCACACCCGGAGAGATTCATCCTTGTCTTTTTTTTTTTTTAAGATGTATTTATTTATACAAGAACCAGGGTACAGGCCAGATGCGCAGGACGGTGAAAGGATTCACCAGAGACAGAACAGGGAACAGAACAGGCAGACGGACTAAAATACACTGCTGAGGGGAGCGGGGTGGGGGGAGACAGGAGAGGTCTGCTGCGGCATGTGGGACCCTCGCTGGCCGGCCGGGATCGAACCCGCGCTGCAGAGGCTGCGGACAACTTCACAGTGTGGCGCTCAACCTGCTGCGCCACCAGGGAGGCCCAATCCCTGTCTTTCTTTTTTAAGATTTGCTTATTTATGCTACAAGAGCTGGGTGCAGGCCAGAGGTGCGGGGACTCCCCAGAGACAGAATCGGGAGCAAAACAGACAGATCCACTGAAATACACTGCTGAGGGGAGCAGCAGGGGGACAGGAGAAGTCTGTTGCACCCTGGGTAGCTCCCTGGCCGGGGATCAAACTCATGCTGCAGTGGCTGCCGACAGCTTCGTAGGTTGCGACTTAACCCCTGCGCCACCAGGGAGGCCCATGGCCAGACTTCCTTCTTTCTCTTTTTTTGAACTTACTTTCCTTGTCTATATTCAAATAATTGGTATTTCATTTGTAATTTGAAGTTGTATTTTTTAATTTAAAGAGCCCTGTAAGTGGGCCTCCCCGGTGGTGCAGCGGTTGAACGCTGGGTTGCGAAGCTGCCCGCAGCCTCTGCAGCGCCGGTTCGATCCCCAGCCACCGGACGAGGGTCCCACGTGGCACGCAGACCTCTCCTGCCGCCGCTGCTCCCCTCAGTCACTCTGCCTGTTCTACTCTCCGCTCTGGTTCTGGTGAATTCTATCACCCTCCCGTACCTCTAACTGTACCCAGTGCTTGTATAAATAAATAAATCTTTAAAAAATAATAATAAATTATTTTAAAAAAATAAAGAGCTCTGTAGGGTCTCCAATTGAAATTGCATTAACTCTGTATTTGGCAGAATTAAATGTGTTGTGCATGCTCCAGTGCTATTTGCTATTTCTTTCCTTTTGTAAGGATCTTGTTTTATGCCATTTCATAAGATTTTTAAGTTGTCCTCAAGTGCCTTTCTTGTTAAATTTAAATCCTAAGTATAATTATTTTTCTATCATAACCATGAGACGCCCCCACATAGCATTTTGTGGTGATCATGGGCACTGTACAGGGTCGCGTTGGGGTTGTGAGCATGCACCCCCAAGTCGTGTTCCTGCGTTGGGCCGGGGCTCCTTCACTTAACTGCTCAGCCCAGCATTGTGCCAGCTACTCTAACTCAGAAGTCTGTATTAATGACGCCTCACTGCACCGGTGCATTGCAGTGTCACTCAGTCTAGAATTTCTTCAAATCTTTAATACTTGTAAGGTTTCTGTAAAATGCTGACCTTGGATTTTTCAGAATCAAGTATTCAGATGCAAATACTAATTTGTAATGAACATTTTCATGGTCTGTCTCCAGTTAATTTGAAGCTACTTTACGTAAATGTTTATTGCAATGGAAATACACATTTTGGTTGTGACTTTCATTACGTTGCTTTATGTAAGTAAATTAGCATGATTAGAGTCTATTTTCAATATCTAGCCAATCATGACTTAGATTTCGAAGTTTCTTTAATGCCTCGTGTTTCTTTTGCATGTATTTAAAAGCTGCAGAAGGGGCAGACATAGCCAGTGTTCAAGATTCAATTTTACTTCAAGATGGGCAAAACCAGTTACTTGAAAAAAAGGTAAATTGTTGCAAATACAAACTATTCTAAACAGAATCGACATGGTTCCACAGGTGCTGTTGTCTGCTATGTGCTAGCAGCATGGGTATAATGGTGGGGAAGGCGTCCTCAGCTCCAGGAGCTTCCTTTTTTTTTTTTTAAAGATTTATTTATTCATACATACATACATACATGCATACATTTATACAAGCACGAGGTACAGTCAGAAGCGCGGGAGGGTGAGAGAATTCACCAGAGCCAGAGCGGGGAGCAGAGCAGGCAGAAGGACAGAAGTACACTGCTGAGGGGAGCAGCGGGCGGCAGGAGAGGTCCACCGGTGGCCGGGGATCGAACCGGCGCTGCAGAGGCTGCAGGCAGCCTCATAGCCCAGCGCTCAACCGCTGCGCCACCAGCAGAGGCCCGTCCAGGAGCTTCTTGTTCAGTTGTAGAGGGGCGGGCAGGACAGGACGCACAGCAGAGCCCAACAGACGGCCTGCTAGGGGCTGGTCGATGCCGGTGCCTTGGGAAGCTCGGGAGCTAGTCTAGTCTAGCTCTTGCGCTTTTCCTGGGTGGTGAGGAGAGGACTCTGATGCCTTTCCACAGTGTGAGAGTTACCTCTGAGTTGAGATCTGAGAGATGCTTAGGACGTGATCAACCCAAAGAGGCCCACTGTCGGAGTTAAGGAGGGGCTTTGAGACCATTTTCAGGTTAAGGGAAGAGAACGTGGAAGCACAGAGGGGAAGGGTACAAAGTTCACATGAGTGAAATATGTGGTTTGGACTGGAAGGGAGAGAGAGGAAGGGCTCCTATCACTCAAGACCTTGTACATGAACCAGTGGGGGCAGCAGCTCAGGGGTTGCAAGTGTGGATTCTGCAGTAAACTACTGTGATCAAATGTAACCAGATGCACCTTCCTCTGAATTACCTCCCTGTGGCCAAATGGGGGTGGGTGTGGGGCTGGCCACTGAGCGCTCAGGGCGGGCAAGGAGAGGCCCCTTTGCCCTTTGTCAGGGAATGAAAATGACTTCTCAGTGCTGTTCCAGCTGCTCAGATCCCTATGGCAGGAGTTTCAAGCTTTTACTCCCTTTCTCACAAAAGAATATGGAAAAACATTGTGCTTCCTGACATATTTTAAGGTGACATTTAAAAAAAGTTTCGTAGGGTATGATTTCCGGCATATTAATATTGACATCTTGAAAATTATATCATCGTTTAAAACATTTCCACTAAAGTCTACTTGATACCCACAGCCGTCCCTTTAACAAACTCACCAGCAAGATGTGCACCCCTGACGGGACTGAGGAAAACCATGCTCTTGAAGATGATACCTGGTTTCGTTAGAAAGTTCGATCATAGACAATATGTCCCCATTTTGCCTTAGGGGAATTTCCCCAGAAATTAGTTTGGTTTAAAGATCTGTTTCATAAATCCATATCCCAGTGAAATAGTTTTCATTTTCCTATAGAATCTTAATTATTTTACAAGCCAGACACTTAATTATTTTCCTATAGAATCTTAATTATTTTACAAGCTTCCATCAAACTCTCTCCTCAGGACCCCAATATCCGACCCACAGAGCAAAACCAGAAGAGCCTCAGCTCATTGGCTCCCTCCAGTTGTCTGACTCCACGGCGCAGTCCAGAGGCTTCTGCTCTACAGAAAATGGAGCGTGAGAGCAGGCGTCTCCTAAAGGAAGATACAAGTGGTGTGGCTAGAGACGGCGTGAATCTTAAGAGAAAAAGTGTTCCATGGAACAGCCCATCGGAGACAGCCAGCCGGCGTGGGGCATGGAATGGGGACGCCGACATGGTGGATGCCTCCCTCGGTCCTGGGGACACAGGAGCACCCGAAAGCCGTTTCTGTGATGTCAGACATCTGGGCGAGTCTGAGAGGAGCCAGCTGATGGGCAGGCTCCAGTGCGCCGATGCCCTGGTGGTCACGCTGGTGTTCGAGGACGGCTCCACCCAGCTGGGGGCCCCGCGGTCGGTGAGCAGCGCTGGCCGCCGGCCTCAGTGTCCCCTCCCCCGGCAGGCGGTGCCTGGTCATGCGGGGCCTCTCCTGGCCTCTTTGAGAAACTACCAAGATGGTTCTAGAGCAGCCTCACCGTTCCCGTTGTGGCCGCAACCATAAGAGGCCTCCACCCCCACCTCCCGGCCTCAACGCATCTTTCTTTTTTTTTTTTTTTTTTTTTTTTAAAGATTTTTTTTTTTTTTTTAATAGAGGCATGTTTTATTTCTTTCTTTCTTTATTTGTTTGTTTGTTTTGTTTATACATGCACTGGGTACAGTCAGAAGCACGGGAGGGTGAGAGAATTCACCAGAGCCAGAGCGGGGTGCAGAGCAGGCAGAAGGACCGAAGTACACTGCTGAGGGGAGCAGCGGGCGGCAGGAGAGGTCTGCGCGCCATGTGGGACCCTCCTCTGGTGGCCGGGGAGCAGCCGGGGATCGAACCGGCGCCGCAGAGGCCGCGGGCAGCTTCGCAACCCAGCGCTCAACCGCTGCGCCACCGGGGAGGCCCTTTTTTTTTTTTTTTTAAAGATTTATTTATTGATACATATGAGAGCTGGGGTACAGGCCAGAGGTGCAGGGGGTGAAAGGATTCCCCAGAGACAGAGTGGGGAGCAGAACAGGCAGATCCACTGAAATCCACTGCTGAGGGGGCGCAGCGGGGAGACAGGAGAGGTCTGCTGTGCCATGTGGGCAGCTCCCTGGCTGGTGATGGAACTCGTGCTGCAGTGGCTGCGGACAGCTTCATGGTCTGTGTCTTTACCCCTGTGCCACCAGGGAGGCCCCATTTTTCAATTTTTAAGTGTCTTTTGAAGCATGATTTTTTAAAATTGGATGAACTTTATCGACGTTTCCCTTTGAGTGCAGGTGCTTTGCCTGTCCCAGCTCGGGAGGTGTCACTCATTTCCCTCCAGAGCTCACCGGCTCAGTGCGCACAGTTGGGTCGGTGACCCATGCTGAGTTAATTTTCGTGGGTGGAGTGGCATAGGGCTGAGTCCGCCCGGGCACACGGCGGGTATTTTCTAAACCCCAGAGAAAAAGTTCTTCCGTTTTGCACTTCCTTCTTTGCACTCGGATCAAAACTCGATGGACGGTGAACATGAGGCTGGTTTCTGGGCTCAGTTCCTTTCATTGATGTGTGCGACTGCCCCCGCATCACGCCGCGCCCTCTGGTGGCCTTCGGCTTCGGGAGTGGGTTTCCAGTCAGCAGGTGCAAACCTTAGAACTTTGACTTTTCAAGACTGTTTTCTGGTTCCTTTGTGTGTCCATACAAATTTTGGAATCTGTTTGTCAATTTCTGCAACTATTCAGCTGGATTTTTGACCCATTGTGTGTTGAATCTGTGGATTAATTTGGGATGTTTACCGGCCAGCGTGAGGGGCACCCCAGGACCCCCACACCTGCCTGCTCTAAACAGGTTCTCCCGTCCAACACGTCAAGTCAAAAATACGGTTTGTCTGTACTCAGGTCTTCTCCAGGCCTTCCGCAGGGTGTCATAGTTGACAGACGCTGTGCACGTCTTGTTGATTTGTGTCTTTCATTTTGGGGACTAGTTTGTATGTGGCAATTTGGTTTTTTAGGTTCATTTTTACATGTTTGTTGCTAATGCATAGAAATACAGTTGTTTTTTGTTGATTCCTTTTGGCTTCTTACGCAGACTTTCCTGACTTCTGCAAATCAGGGTGGTTTGGGTCTTCCTTTAAGATTTATGTGCCTTTCTGTCTATTTCCTTCTGTATTGCATGAAGACATCTGTTATGATGTTACTCGGGGAAGGGACCCAGTGGAAAGCAAGATCACAACTTTTTTTTTTTTAAGATTGATTGATTGATTGATTTATACATACATGCACAGGGTACAGTCAGAAGTGCGGGAGGGTGAGGGAATTCACCAGAGCCAGAGCGGGGAGCAGAGCAGGCAGAAGGACCGAAGCACACTGCTGAGGGGAGCAGCGGCGGCAGGAGAGGTCTGCGCGCCATGCGGGACCCTCCTCTGGTGGCCGGGGAGCAGCCGGGGATTGAACCGGCGCCACAGAGGCTGCGGGCAGCTTCGCAACCCAGCGCTCAACCGTTGCGCCACCGGGGAGGCCCAGAAAACAATATAATTCTTAGAGTAGTTTTTGAACTATACTACCACTGGCTAAATGGGAAAGATGGTAAATTTAGATTTTTTTAAAGATATATTTATTCATGCATACAAGAACTGGGGTACAGGTCAGTAGTGCGGGAGGGTGAGAGAATTCACCGGAGCCAGAGCGGGGAGCAGAGCAGGCAGAAGGACCGAAGCACACTGCTGAGGGGAGCAGCGGGCGGCAGGAGAGGTCTGCGCGCCATGCGGGACCCTCCTCCGGTGGCTGGAGAGCAGCCAGGGATCTAACCGGCTCTGCAGAGGCTGCGGGCAGCTTTGCAACCCAGCGCTCAACCGCTGCGCCACCGGGGAGGCCCCAAGATCACGACTTTTGGCCCCGATTGTCGTTCCAAGAGCTGTTTATTTACAAGCTGAATTTCAGACCTTTTTCCTCTCTGTGCAATTATAAAACATGACATATTTTCTCTAATACGTTATGCGTTTGATTCTGAAAATTTATTGTGTGTTCGCAGGCTCCACTCTCCTCTGTTGAAGGAATTGTGATGTCAGTGCAGAGCCGCACAGGAGGGAGCGGGCCCCTGGGCGCCCCAGCCTCTGGCCGTTTCCTGCAGGAAGGCCTTGCGCTCTGTGACTCATGTTTCTATGTGAGGACACAGCGCGCTTCTGCTTGGAGCCAGGAACAGGAGGCACGCGATCGGTTTGCCAGGTAAGAAATCCTCCCCTGTCACCTTCAGTCCTGCTTACATGCCTGCCTTACCCTAATTTAAAGTTTCCCACGCTCCAGTTTTAGTTATTTGAACTCTAGAAAAGGGCCTCCCCTGGTGGCGCTGGGCAGTGGTTGAGCGCTGGGCTGCGAAGCTGCCCACAGCCTCTGCAGTGCCGGTTCGATCCCCGGCCGCCGGTGAGGGTCCCACATGGCGCGCAGACCTCTCCTGCCGCCCGCTGCTCCCCTCAGCAGTGTGCTTCGGTCCTTCTGCCTGCTCTGCTCCCCGCTCTGGCTCTGGTGAATTCTCTCACCCTCCTGCACTTCTGACTGTACCCCAGTGCTTGTATAAATAAATAATCTTTTTTTAAAAAATAAACTCTAGAAAAATCTTCTAGAAATTTTCTATGAGCACATGAAAACAGGACGGCGCTAACTGGTGGAAACTTTGGCTAACACTGGCCCTTCTCTCTCCTGAGAGCTTCTGGGATGGAGGCACCTCCCTTCCGTGGGAGCTGGGATCTGCACCACCCTCTCCACGAGAAGTGGGCAGTGGGCCGGAGGCCGGGGGAGGCCCAGATGTGGCTCCTTGCCACACCCTCGCTCCGCGCCTCCGAACAGAAGGCGCCCAGAGCTCCGCGGCGCCTCTCCTTTCCAGGCTCGGCGTCCCCTTGGGCCTGCCCTGCGAGGGCTGCAGGGCAGGAGGACGTGGTTCTGTGGCCCCTTCCTTGACGACGCAGCAGCTCTGTGTGCTTGGCGGCTGTGTTCTCTCTGCCGCCTTTTTGCTCCTTTTGTGAGCCTGACTGGAGCTGCTGCCTGGGCCGGGCCATCCGCTTCCACTGGCCGCCTGAATTCAAGTCTCAGCTGCCGAGGGAGCTCCGTGAAGCTGCTGCCCTGAGGAGCAGTTCAGGGAGGTCCTGGGTGAGGAGGCAGAGCCCGGCCCTGACCCTGCCTGCCTCACAGCCTTCCTGGCTCTCGGGTCTGCCGTCGACAGCGATGGTCTCACTGAGAATCCTGAGGACCCCCGGGCCTTCGCCATCGTGAGCCTCCAGGACTACAGAAACCACCAGCGGCTTCGGGGAGTAGGTCAGTGCGATTAACGCCTGACAGAGCCTGGAGGGAGCAGAGACGTCTCTCCAGCTGCCGCTTCTCCAGGCTACCCTGGGCTTTCTGAACAGGGGCCTTCGCGGTGGAGCAGCGTGGTTCTGTGCCTGGATGTTTGCTGATAGCTGCGAGGGGCAGTTCGCGGAGTGTCTGCTCTGGCCAGCTGTCTGTTGACAGGGTTGTCTGGCCGTCAGAAGCTAATGCCATTCACTTACCCTCCCACCCAAGGCCTCACGTCAGGCGCTTACCCTACAGGAATTCCTGTCATGACAGGGACAGTGTCTGTCCCCAGGAAACCCGTAACTTCCTTTTTATATCATTTTCCTTCAGAAGAGCAGTGAGGCGGCCTCTTCTAGCGCCCGCCTCCGTGAGCCAGAGCCCTGGTATCTGGCGGCCACTGCGGACCCCGCTCAGGTGCCCGCCGCACCTCTCCCCGACGTCCAGTGGTCGTTCCTCACGCTTGTCACTTCCTCCTCGTTTATTGGCTATGGTTTTCTTTCTTTTTTTATTCAAAAGGGCAGGATTATTATAAAGAGGGGAAGGAAAGGAAAGGACGCTTGCACAGACACAGCGGGCAGAAAGAGCCGCCCCCAGAGGGACAGGTCTGTCAGCGGAGAGGCCTGCGCGGACACACAGGCGGCAGCCTTGGCAGCGCGCTGCCTGACTAAATGTTTCCACAAAGAACCTCCCTTCACCTTGTCCTTCATGTGCAGGCTCGGGTGCTCCCCTCTCGGCACGGCCTTCCCTGACACCTATGTGAGGCTGCCCGCCGCTCAGCCCCACCACCCGCCTCGCCCGCCGCCCGCCCGGCCCCTCCTGGCTGTGCTGCCCCAGCTCTCGCGGCGGGGCGTAGGTGTTGTACGTTTCTGTGTCCCGTGTCTAGAGCAGTACCGCAGAGTGCACGGGCCAGATACTTACTCGATGTTAGCATGCAGGATGTGAGTATTGAGAGCTAATGTAAGTTCCAGAGCCACCATGTGGACGCATTGCCTCAAGCACCATAGAATTAGAATCGGTGAATCCCGATCCCACGATAGTATCTTTGAGGTTCAAAGTACATTTAAATGCACCATGTTTAAGCGAATACACGATAAATCATTATTTGGACAGAACGTGTTCCATAACGTCTGTCAAATAGCTGTGCGAGCCCTTTTCACACACGGGCTCTCTTCACGCTCTTGCTTCTGTGTGCGAGGCCTCGTTAATGCCATTTCACAGATGAGGAGCGGGCCTCAGACATAGCCAGACCTGGGCCACCTTGAGATTCAGCTCTTCTCCTTTCTTGGACTCCGGTCTAGCTCCAACTTACGTATCGACTTATAAAACACGCTGATTCAGCTGCTTTGTCTTACAAGAAGTTCTTTTGGGCCTCCCCGGTGGCGCAGCGGGTTGAGCACAGCGCTGTGAAGCTGTCCGCAGCCTCCGTGTCACCAGTTTGATTGCCGGCCGGTCCTGCTGCTCCCCTCAGCAGTGTGTTGCGGTCCGTCTGCCTGTTCTGCTCCCCGCTCTGTCTCTGGTGGATCCTCTCACCCTCCCACGCCTCTGGCCTGTACCCCAGCTCTTGTATGCATAAATAAATAAATCTTTAAAAAAGAAAAAAGAAAGAAAAAAAGTTCTTTTGCTGCTGCTTGTCAAGACAGACTGCTCAGCCGGCCGCATCTCCGCATCTCACGCTGGCGGGAGAGCGGGCGCCTGGTGGCCTTCTCTGGGGCTTGTTTCAGTCCCGCAGAGCCAGGAGCCCGAGCACCATCCATTCTCCCTCCTCACAGGTGCTCTCCCCTCCCCCTGTACCGCTCCCCCTCTCCCATGCCCCAGGAGCCCGGAACTGCCCTCTGAGACTGCGCTCTCCCTCCGGACAGCCCCAGCCCACCGCCCTCGCCAGGGAAGCCGTGGCCAAGCACAGGCGCGGAGGCTGCAGAAAGCCTGATGCGTCTGGCGTGCCGGCGAGATCTGACTGTGGACGGGGCATGTGCGGCTCTCCTTCCTCAGCCTCTCCCGGGAGCCTCCCGGACCTGCGGAGGCCAGTTACTGCAAGGAGGTCTCGGTGGGGCCTGCCGGCAGCCGCACACCCCCTTCTGGCCACCCAGAACGTTCGCTCTCTTTTGTTTATTGTTGACAAAGAACTAACGGTTAGACGCAGAGACTTGGTTGGATTCAGAAACCCAGACTCCACCCCAGACCCTGGCTCAGCCCTCGGCAGTGCTGTGGCTCGGGAGAGCCATTTAATCTCCGGGCCTCACCTGAGCTACCTGGCAGGGGTGTGAAGGGTTCCAGGGCAATGCCCAAGTTCTGAAGGAAGGTCTGTCACTGAACTGCTTTTCCTCTCCAGGGCCCTGCTGCTTCAGATACTGAAATGTCCTGTCGTCTGTTTCAACGCGAAGGATTTTGTGCGCGCCGTGCTGCGGTTTCTGGGTGGCGATGGCAGTTGGCGGCTTGGTACGTGACGGTTTCTACCGCAGCTTAGCGGTGACCCCACCTGTGAGCCCACCTGGGCACGGAGCGCTCCCAGGGCCTGCCCCCCGCGGACACGCACCCTGAGGGAGACGGCGGCTCCCTCTGTGTTTTCGTGACTGGACTTTGCAAGTCCGTGGTAATTTAGTCTTTTTTTTTTTTTTAAAGATTATTTATTTATTTATTTATTTATACATACGTACATACATACGTACATACATACATGCACTGGGTACAGTCAGAAGCGCGGGAGGGTGAGAGAATTCACCAGAGCCAGAGCGGGGAGCAGAGCAGGCAGAAGGACCGAAGGACACTGCTGAGGGGAGCAGCGGGCGGCAGGAGAGGTCTGCACGCCGTGCAGGACCCTCCTCCGGTGGCCGGGGAGCAGCCGGGGATCGAACCGGCGCTGCAGAGGCTGCAGGCAGCTTCGCAACCCAGCGCTCAACCGCTGCGCCACCCGGGAAGGCCCGGTAATTTTGTCATTTACAATAGGAACGATCAACGTCCAGAGTGTGTGGTCAGGTAGGGCTTGTCGCCCTAAAGAGCTTATAAACTTTCTTAGCATTAAACTGCAGCCCAGAGTAATTAACATCAGAACAGCAGAGCACATGTCTTTACCTTTCATTTGAAACAGTCAGGACCTCCCGTGACCATCTGTGTAGGCGGTGGGCAAGCTGCCGAGGCCTCGCGCTCGTGGCAGGGCCTGGTGCGGCTGAGTGCGCCCCGCACGGTTCCTCGGGTTGTCTGTGGCTGCAGACGCCCACAGTGAGACATTGGAAAGCCCTGCTGACTGTCGAAACCCCCAGCGTGTGCAGAGACGCCTGTAAAACAGTAACAAATATGAGTCTGGTCTTTGTCCAGGATTGCTGCTCACGGCCCCGAGACACATGGGCTCGTGGGCGGCGGGGTCTTCTGTGCGCCGAGGCATGGCCCTGGCCGGCCAGGGGCTGCACCTTCCAGGTGCGCCGCAGGAGGAAGGGAAGATGGGTCCCGCCACGGAACTACGCAGACCCCTAGAGGGTTGGACTTGGAGACCGTCAGTGTGGGGTCACCAGGAGGTGCTGGGGGGGGCACCCGCCTCCTCTGCCTCGCCTGGGCATCTCCTCCCCCTGGGGTTCCCAGGCTGTACCTTTATAATCCACAGATGTCAGTGACATCTTGTTCTGAGTCCTGGGCTGTTACAGCAAGTAAGGGCACCCAAGGAGGTCCTGGGAACCCCCAATTTAGAGCTAACTGATGAGGCTCCAAGTCGCCCCCTGATGTCAGGGCTGGGCCCTTGTGGGAAGTGAACTGACTCCCAGCAGATGGTGTCGGGAGTGATGGAATGGGAGGGGGGCGGAGCTGGCCTGTGTCCTGAGGGTCCTGAGTTGGAGGACGGGTAGGTGTGAGGGATGAACCCCCACACTTGCAGGGAAGCAGCAGCGGGCCCTGCCTGAGCCGGCAGCTGTCTCCCTGGGCCGGTCTTCCTTCCTCTGCACTCCCTGCGCCTCCAGACCACCACTCCCGGGTTAGCTTGTGGCCCATCCCAGACGCGTGAGATTAATCTGTAAATGCTTCAGTTTCGTCACAAACGACGAGGATTTCACATTTAAGGTGACACCATCACCATCCCCCCCAAACTAGCAGTCATCCTGGCTGTCAGACACCGTCAGGGTTTGCTTTGGGACTGGGCCCTTGTGGGAGCTGAGCTGACTCCCGGCAGATGGTGGCCCTGGGTCAGTGCGATATTTCTTACGTGTCTCTGACCGGTTTCTCCTCCCCGCCATCTTGTTTCCTCGCGATGGTTCGTCGTCGAAGGTCCAGGCTGATGCTCCTGTGGGCCTCTAGCCCCTTCCTGCCATTCAGCACATTCTTCTCTCTCTGAATGTTTCTCACGGGCGAAGACTCGACAGCTGGAGCCAGACTTGGTCAGGTTTAGGCTGGATCTGGGGGGCAGCACCAGCTGCGAGCCCTGACCCTGGGCCTCCCCACGGAGGGGCGTGGAGACTGACGGTGTCCTTGTGCCACCCAAGCCCTGCTCTTCTGCTGCATCTCCTCTGGCATGTATATGTGTCTTTGCTCGGAGCCCAGTGTCCGTTTCCTCACATCTTTCAAGTTTCCCGTGATTTTTCTTCTCACTCACTGGCTCCTGCTCACCCGGCCCCTCTGTCACGTTGGTGGGCCCTCCCAGTGTGGGCTGATGGGTCCCGACAGGCTCCGGTTTCGTAACTGCCAGTGTTTGCAGGAACGGCCCCGGACCATTCTGGTGCTGTCGGCCCTTCCCCCGGGACTTTCAAAGATGTCTGTTGGTGACGCCCCTCAGTGCTGGAACACTAGCGCTTTGGGAAGGCAGGTCGGGCAAAATAGGGCACTGCCAGGCTGCGTCCTGGTGCCGCGCAGCCCGCTAGGGCAGCACAGGGCCAGCGTGCCTGAGGCTCCCTGCCAGCTGGGGCCCCAGCCCTGCTGACTCGGCGTCCCTGACAGCCGCCCAGAGGGGTCACGGCTGCACTGGTAAGCGGAAGTCTCTCCCACTGGATGCCAGGAAGGAAACTGTTCAGTGTTGCGTGCTCTGTAACCACAGCTTTGTTTAAAGGCAAACTCCATATTTTTGTCTAGCACAGTTCAAAATGTTGAGGTAACTCGAAATGCAGTCACTTGAGATTCAGGTCTCTCTCTGCCCTGTCACCTGCCCTGCTCCTCCCAGCCCCCACACGCTGAGGTGGGCCGCACCCTACCGTTCAGCAAATGTCTTTTGGGAGATGCCCTTCACGGTGTCTCACAGGCTCTCACGGGAGTGCCTCCCCGTTCTCGGACGAGAGGCAGGCGCTGGGGTGGCGGCCCCTCCCGCGGGGTGTTCTAGGGGCCTCCACCAAGGTGCAGCCCCAGCCTGTGCCCAGGCTCCCCGCAGGTGGCCGCCCTCACACCCAGCCTGCGGCACTCACCCCTGTAGGAGCCCCGCATCCCGCGTGCCCAGATGTGGGGTTGGGGGCGGCCGGGGTTCACAGACGGGATTGAAGAACCGGTGGGGACAATGAGGGGACTGGGCGCAGGAGGGCCGGGGTGGAGGCAGCTGCAGCGTGGCCTCCGTCTGCCCCACATTTCCCGCGAGCTCTGAATGCAGGTCGGCTGGCCCTGCCAGTGTTGGGCTCCGCTTCCACGGCGTGGACGGGGCCGGGTTTGAGAGCTGCTCTCCGCCCCTTCTGAGGCTCGGGGCTCGGGGCTGGCACCTGCCCTGTGACCTGAGGGGTGGAGGCACCTTATTGATCTGCGTCTTGGACGCTTGCAGCAGCAGGAAAGTGCCGCTGGCTGGTTCGCTTTGTCATCTGGCTGTGCGACCCTTTCCTCTGCAGCCACTGATTTTGTGGGGCTGGACCCCAGCATCGCTGCCTGGCTAATAGACCCCAGCGACGCCAGCCCCTCCTTTGAAGAGTTGGTGGCAAAGTACCTTGAAAACCCCATCACCGTTCAAGTGAGCAGCACGCGTGGAGACACCGCAAGAAAACCTGCGGTGAGCGCCTTAAGATGAGGGTTTATCAACTTTCAGCTAATCCTAATGCTTCTGTGGAAGCTTCTGCGTCACAGCCCCCCAGGAAAGGAGCACTCTCGGCTTTGTGCTTGCTCGCGCTACACCGCTACCACGCTCTGAGGCCGTCGGGGGCCATGGGCGACCTCCTTCCTCCGGGGCCTGTCCCAGAGCCTGCTCACAGCGTGGGCACCACTGCCTGTGCCTCTCAGTGCTGCTGACCGGCGCCTGGAAGGCATGTGGTGGCTACCCTCTGTCCACACGGGGAGCTTCCGAAGCTGCCCCGGGTGTGTCTCTCTGCCCTCCTAGAGGGCCCCAGGAAGTGGCTCTGGGCTCTGCCCACAGCTGGCAAGGAAAAGAGGCCCCCGCGGAGGCACCCAGTGGGAGCAGCGCAGGCCGCAGCCCGTGCCACCGTGGCAGCAGCCTTGGGGAGGCACTGCCCCCTGACTGACCATGCACAGAGGGCCGAGCCCCAGCGTGACTGGGCCCCATGCCAGGGGTGCAGCCGCCACCAGCTCAGGCGGAGGGCCCGCCCGACAGTGTGGGCCTGGCACAGTAAGGTGCCGGCTGGGCGGGGGAGAATGAGCCCGGTGCCAGGGCTGCAGTGGGCCTCTGCCCCTGTGGCTAGGCTACTCCCCAGGCCCCCGTCCCTGTCCTCTGGGCAGCCCATGGCCCTCGGCTTGCTCATGGTGGGCGGAGGCCGTGGGAGCTTGGCCACGTGCTAGACTGAGCATCGCGGCCTAATACTTCCTTTGATCTTTTAAAGAACCAGAATGTCTGTGCGAACCTGAGGATGCTCTACAGACTGGCCGTGCGCCTCTGTGCCCAGCTGAAGGCAAGCACTGGGGTCTGCTGCCCAGGGCTTGTCTCCTTCCCACGCAGCCCACTGGGGAGCAGCCTCTCAGGAGGGGAGGGGCTGCAGGACGGGCACGATGACACCCTCCTTACCACCCCACAGGCCCGCGGGCTGTGGAGACTCTTCTGCACCCTGGAGCTGCCTCTGATCCCGGTTCTGGCAGGTGGGCCGATGGGCGCGTCCTCCCGCGGGCATCTCCAGGCTGCCTGGGGCCACTGTTATGACTTGTGTGGCGGGTGGCACTGAAGCGCCCTGCTTCCCTCCTTTCCGTAACGGGTGCAGCATGTCCTCTGGGGAGGGCGGACACATGGGATCCCATCCTGCTGCCCGCTTCTGCCAGGAGCCCGGTTGGGGCACCTCAGCCTGGCTGCCACACTCCTGAAAGCAGCATGGGCAGGGAGCCTGTCTGGATATGGATGCTGGCACCGACGTTGGCCCTGGCATGTGGCCTCTTGTCCCTCTGCCCTCGTGCGGCTGTCCCAGGCTGGCGAGGCCTCCTCTCAACCGGCCCTGCTGGGCACCCAGGAGAGCAGATCTGTGCCCAGCACCCTGCAGCAGAGCTGGCCGGGCCCTGCCCCTCCAGGGCGAGGGGGCGCCACCGCTGCCACTGCTGGGCCCGAGTACAGGAGCCGAGGGGCGCTTGGCCAGGCCACCCAGCACAGCCCTGCCCTGCCCCACCCTGACTCAGACCTCGCCTGCTTTGGGCTCGCAGCCATGGAGAGCCACCGCGTGCAGGTGGACCGAGAAGAGATGGAGAGGATGTCAGCGCTTCTGGGGGTACGTGATCCTGCAGGCCACTTTCCTCTCTGTGTGACGGTCTTCCCGCAGCAGTGCGGGGTGATCTCCCACCCCCTCAGAGGACAGAGCCAGTGTTACCTCTCCTGCCCCGTGAGCACACTGTCCTCAGTGTCCTTCTCACAAGTTAGCTGCTTCTCGAAGGACACTGTCCTCTGTAGCCTGGTGAGGAGAATTCAAAGCAAAACCGAAACTTCCTAAGTGGAAAATAAAATCACAGAGGGATGCACAGCGACGCGCTGAAACGCCTGCTTCAGGTGGGGGACTCCAGGGTGCCCGCCGGCAGGGCCCGAGCATGGGGCTGGCCTTAGCCGTGGAGAGCCCTGCGCGGGCAGCCTGGCCCTGGCCTCGCCGCGTTAGTGCTGCTCTTCCTCACGGTCCCCTGGGGTCCAGACAGTCTTGCTCTCCTCGGGTGGTGACTGGTGGTGCTGCCGCCGTTTTCGCCCCCTCCACCCAGGCCCGTGTCCACCCCTGCAGTCTCCCCCGTGGGTGACGTCTCACCAAGCCGGGCCCCCCACCCCAGCCCCTGGCTGTCTCCTGGGCCCAGGGCACACGTGCTGGGTGCAGGTCAGGGCGTCTGCAAGGGCCCCACCTGGGGCTGCTCGCCAAGGTCGCACCTGCAGGGTGTGGGCGCTGTCACCGACGCCCTCACCTGAGGGCCGCAGACTTGTCTTCCAGCGCTTGGCAAGGAATCTTCTGGTTGTCTGTCTTGTTATGATTTTGTTTATTTCCTGAGCAGCGATGAGCTGGAGTGGCTCTTCCTGTCTCCCTGGCTGTTAGGTGTTCCTCGCTGGTGAAGCAGCGTCTTGCGCCTGTGATCTGGAGTTCTGTCCTTTCCTTCCTGGTTTATGGGATGTTTTCATCTGTTCGGATGATTGGCCTCTTCTCGCCCCTCCCCCACCTTTACGCACTCACCGTCTCTAGAGGCGCAGGAGGCTCAGCTGTCACCACCTGCTCTCTTCAGTGCTCCTGTGTCCTGCCTAAGAAATCTCCCCTCCTGCAGGCTGGGGAAGTGCTCCCACATCATATCAAAAGTCTTCCCTGGCCTTGGCCTTTAGGTCATGGTCCGCCGGGAGCTGCTTCTGCACTCCCTTCGCCTGGTTCGCTTTACTCCAGTTACAGCAAACGGGCATAAAACTCCCGGGAGAGATTCCACAGACAGAGCTTTCGTCTTACTGGAAACAGGACACAGCACCCCTGTCTCCACAGACCACTGCACTTCGACTTTTACCACATGAGGTGCGTTTGTGAGGCAGTCTGCAGACTCTCTTCACCTGTGAATTAAAGCGGACGTGACTGTCCTGAGCTGCTAACTGGGTAGGAGAGGGCTCTCCAGAGCAGCTTAGGCGCCGTGACGCGGGGTGGTGAGCGCTGCATGGTGAGGCTCGGGGCCCTGCCGAGACACCCCGCCCCCCCAGCCTTGGCCTACTGGCATCATCCCTGAACCCCATATACCCCTACCGGCGTCGTGACCCTGGGTTTGAGGGTCCTTCTGATACCTTGATGGGGTGGGTTGGTGAGAATAACCTCCAAAAATCTGTCTGTGGAATCTTCACCAGCCCAGTGAGAATTCAGGGCTCCCAGAGCCCCCAGCAGCCTGTAGCCGCTCCTCAGCAGTGGGCTGAAGGCTTCTGACAACGGGCAGCCATTGGCACCACGGTGGGCAGCTGCCACAGTCTGCGCTCTCTGCACCTGGACGTTTGGGCCACCATGGCACACACAAACTTGACGTGTACTGTGGCCTGGCCTGGCCTCCCAGTCTGTGCGCTTTGCCCAGCGGGCGGGTGGGCGCCCTGAGGGCTGGCTGTGGGCGGGCTCCTCCTTCCCCTGTAGTCCCTGCATGTGCCTGTGAGGCCTTTTGGCTCATCTGCTGCTGCTGCTGCATGGAGAGTGATTTTTTTCTTTTTATGTACTTTTTTCATTGGTGAGTACTTCAGTGACTATGCATTTTTTTTTTTTTAAACTGTGGTGTGAGTTCTGTTTCTGTTGTTTGGGATTTGCTGGAGTGTTCTTAAATCTGTGATATCACCAAGTTTGGGAGATTTTTCTAGCTGCTTTTTCCCCTCCAGATATTATTTCTGTCTCATTCTTTCCCTCCTCTACGTGGGTGGGAATGGGCTCTGATATTTTTCTGTATATACTAAGGCACTGTTCCCCCTCGCTTTTCAAATAATATCTTCTCTGTTTTCTAGACAGGGTAATTTTTACTGATCTATTTTCATAGGTAAGAGTTTTCCAACTCTTGTATCTATCATGCCATTAGGCCCGTCCAGTGATTTTTTTTTTTAAATCTCAGATATAGTTATAACATTAAAAACTATGGGTAAATATATAAATAAAAATACTTATATATATATATAAATAAAAATCTTTTGCAAAAAGATATATTTATTTATTTATACAAGAACCAGGGTACAGGCCAGATGTGCAGGAGGGTGAGAAGATTCACCAGAGGCAGAGTGGGGAGCAGAACAGGCAGACTGACTGAAATACACTGCTGAGGGGAGCAGCGGGGAGACAGGAGAGGTCTGCTGTGCCATGTGGGTTGCTCCGAGGCCGGTGGGGATCAAACCGGCACTGCAGAGGCTGTGGACAGCTTCACAGCGCTGCGCTCAACCGCCTGCGCCACCAGGGAGGCCCAATCCATGCTTTAAAATCCCTGTTTGCTTAAGGTTCAGTGCTGGAGCCATCTTCTGTTGCTTCCTTGTTTCTCCATGTTTCGTACTTTGAAGTTGAATCCTGGATATCGTGCATGAGGAGCTATAGACATTCTGGATTCTGTTATGTTCTCCTTAAGAATGTTTTTTTTTTTAATTGTGTTAAAATATACTTAATGTAAATGTACCCCCATAACCACTTTTGAGTGCATGTTTCAGCAGAGTTAGGTACAGTCACGTGGTGGCTGGTGGTGCAGCCTCACCACTGCCGCCCACAGCTCTTTCTTCTTGTCAAATTGAAGCTCTGTGCTACCTATTTTTTTTTTAAAGATTTATTTGTTTATTTATACAAGCACTGGGTACAGTCAGAAGCGCTGGAGGGTGAGAGAATTCACCAGAGCCAGAGCGGGGAACAGAACAGGCAGACTGACAAAATACACTGCTGAGGGGAGCAGTGGGCGCGGCAGGAGAGGTCTGCGCGCCATGTGGGACCCTCGCTGGCGGCCGGGGATCGAACCGGCGCTATGGAGGCTGCAGACAGCTTCGCAGCCCAGTGCTCAACCACTGCGCCACCAGGGGAGGCCCAAAACTCTGTACCTATTAAACAATAACTGTCCCCCCTGCCAGCCCCTGGCACCCTCCATTTTTGCTATCTATAATTTTGACTACTTTAAGTGCTTCATAAAAATGGAATCTTACAGTGAGTCCTCTTGTGACTGTTTTATTTCACTTAACAGAATATCCTCAAGATTGCTTAAAAATGCACCATTTAATCTCAAAAATTTAATGAATTTTCCTTTTGTTGTTGATGTCTAACCTCATCCCACTGTGGTCAGAGGTGTACGTCTTGTGGCCTGACGTATACGCATGTGACAGAAGACTTACACGTGGACTATCAGAGAAGTATCAATTTTAAAAAGCCAGCGAACACAATTAAAAAAAACTGCGTTAAATGGGCAAAATATTTGAAATAAATGTCATGGGAGAGGTGCAGATCTCTCTCCATGCAGCTGCAGGCAGCACAGGCACCCAGCTGGGCCCCCGAATTGCTGAGCCACAGAGATGTGAGCAAACAAAACTCGCCTCTTTGGGGTGACCTGTTAGGAACAGTAACTGGTCCAGCCTTCACCAGGAGGGGGCACGTCCAGTCCCTTCCTTGCATGAAGGGCCTCGTGCCTGGCTCCTGTGGGGCTCTGCCCTCAGCTGCCTGTGCTTCCTGGTCCTACCCTAGTTCTGCTCTGAAGAGATGTTTCTGTTTCGTTTCTTTCTGTTTGAAACCGTCTTTTGTTTTTCTCTGTAGTATCCACTGCTGCTGTGCTTTAACACAAGGAGTGCGTTCATGTGTGAATTTGCTGTGCTATTTTATCATACTCTCTCTTAAATTCTCGGAGATCCAGTAACCTGTGACTGAATTTTCTGTTTCCTGAGGAGCGACATTCCTGGCAGGGTCCATCATCTGCACTTCAATGCTTTCTTCCTCCTTTTCCTTTTTGTCATGTCCTGTCCTGACTGCAGGGCATACTCAAGCTGAGGCAGTTGCTTCTGGATTCTTCTTTTTTTTGTCTAAATACTACTTTTTGCATTATACGTGTCCCTCTGCAAGCTTCTCTGGACTCGTTTGTAAACATCTTCCAAAATTTCAGTCCCATTGTAACAGGGTGGTCCCAGGAAAGGGGGAGGTTCCCTGCCCCACCCAAGGGAGGGTGGAGCTGAGCAGGGAGAGGAGAAGCTGCAGAAGAGACTGAGGAAGGAAGCAGGATGGAGCCAGAAGGAGACCTGGAGGAGGCGCATGGAGCCTAGAGACACGTGAAGAAACTGCGCTTGTCTTTTGGTCGTGGACGGGGTGACACAGATGTGGGTGAGACCCGTGGGGAGGTGACAATGGCAGCTTTTATCTGGATGTTGATTTTGCTCTTTTCCTTCCGGGCTTGTCCGGTTGTTTGTGACCCTTTTCTGTGGGTCCCCACTGGAAGATGCTTTAGACTTGTGGCAGGCTTTGGGGCCTTGCTCTGGGCCAATCCCATATGGATGGACTTTTACCCACGGGGGGACGGGTAACTTTGGGTGCTTCATTTAGAAACTAGACTCTTTGCCTTACCTGTATTGTTTCCTAGTTTAATTAAAGTTCCTTCCCATTAAAGTCTCCTATGTTTTGTGTTGATGCGGCGGATGGCAGAACCCATGTAGAATAGGCAGGTTTGCGGGGTTTGGGCTGCCCCTTTCCCTGTCCTATAACACCAAGACACTTCTTGTCTGATGAAGAGTAGAAAGCAAATGACATTTCACAGAGTTGGTTTAGACTCTGTCATCACTCTTCTCTTAGGCTTAATTTCTTTTAATGCTGGCCTTCTACTTTCCTTTGGACCAAAGTGCCGAGGCGTGAGGGGCACAAAAACGCGGCCGTCCACTGCCGCCCAGCGCTGATTGGAGAAGCCAGCTCTTGGCCCCTGGACTGCGCCCCTACTCAGCTCGGTTCGGGGTTCGAGGACGCTGGCGCTCGTTTCCTCAGCTGCTGCCTCTGTCCAGGGGGACGGCCCTGCTTGGCTGTCCCTGTGGTCATGCAGTTTGGTCCTCACTGTTGCCTGGGGACACGTGGGACAGGTTGAAGTACCTGGTGCGCTGGCCACTCCCTCTTGCAGCTGCAGCGCTGATGGAGAGCTCGTCCCTCCCCCCCTCGTTTTGGTCTTTCATGGATTGTTTTTGCCTCTTGCGGTTTCCTTCCTTAAGTTTGAGGGAGAGTGATTCTGAGTGATTCTGAAGCTGAGCGTTCCAGCAGGAGTCAAAATGTGTATTTTAATGTCCATTTTGACAAATTATGGATTTTTTAACCCTCACCAGAGCTTTTGTTGGAATTGTTTGATGAACAAGTTAAATAATCTTTCATTATTTCATAAAACTGCTAGTGAGATTGGTCGTGTTTTTCGTATTCACAGACTCGCCTCAAGGAACTGGAGCAAGAAGCCCATTTTGTGGCAGGAGAAAAGTTCCTCCTAACAAGTAATAATCAGCTTCGAGAGGTAAATCTACATTTTGGTTCTCTTATAAAATCTGCTTTTATTCAGGGGCCAAAAGGAGACATATTCAGAATTCCTAAGTACCATTTTATGTTGATTATCTACATACGTGTAAGTTGTCCACGTTCTTTCACGCTGTGATGCGTTCCTTTGACATCTGTAAGCCAGAAGTGCGCTAGGACAGAGCTCTCGCGCGTTCCAGTGTCTAACCGGGCGGGTCCTCTCTGGCCGGTGCCTCTAACTCCATCGTGATCATGTTCGTTTCTCTCCAACACGGGGCTCCCCTCACACGGAACTGCTCTTGGTGAAGATCCTGTTTGGCAAGCTGAAGCTGCACCTGCTGGAGCCGAGGGGGACGCTTCCCGGAGCGGGGCCACAGCCGTACCCAGGCACATCAGAAGCTGTGGTAAGCCCCCGCGCCCCCCTGAGGTGACAAGGGGGCTGTGCACACCGGAGGGGCTCCTGTTGGGGGGCAAGCAGACGCTCCTGGTGGGCACCAAGACGGAGGCCGAGCACAGCTTCCTGAAGCGAGCCCCAATTTCCTGCCAGGGACAAGCGGATGGGGTTCTAACCAGCCCACCATCCTCTGTTTGGCTCCCCGCAAGTGCAGCCTTCTCACCTCCCCGAACTCAGTCTTTCTGCCCCCTCTTGCGTGGAGCAGAGCGAGGAGTAAGGAGTGCACTTGGAAAGATGGGCGGAGGGTGAGTCTGCTGGGGTGGAGCTTGTGTAGCTGCAAGGGCGTCCCTAAGCCAATGGGTGCAGAGGTGAGAATAGGCCCAGAGCACCCTGGAGCGGCAGCTGTGGGGCTGCAGGGAGCGCTTCCTCTCTGGCGGCGTGCACTTGGTGGCCGGGCACGGGTTCCCACCAAACCCTTCTCTGCGCCCGTTGCCTCTCCTGCCTGGGCCTCCAGGCCAGTCCTCATGGGGCCCCTTCCCCGCTGCCTGCCCCACCCCTGGCCTGCAGCGGAGACGACCCACGGGGAACCCAGATGGCCCTTCCTCAAACCACGCCGCCTCAGGGAACAGCCCACTGAGCCTGGTCTGTGGGGTCCCTGCTGGACTCGAGACTTAAGTGTGCGTGTGCATGCCTGTATGTGTGCGTGCGTGTGTGTGCGTGTGCCCGTGAGACAGAGGAAGGGAGCACTTAGGATGGTGCCTGAAACATGCACTTTTAAACACGTGAGTATCCTAAGTTCACGCCACGCCAGGAGTTACCCGGATCATCTCTCGCCCTCACCCCACAGAGCTCTGCTGGGCTAGTGTCTAGCGTCGCTTGTTTGTCTTCACCTTCACAGCCCCTCGGTGCTCCCAACTTGGGCCGCTGCGCCCCATCTTCCCAGCCCCCGTGGCCGCAGCCAGGCCAAGGGCCCTTCAGAAGCGTCGCCAGTGCTATTGCCTCCCACCTAGCCCAGCAGCAGCGGTTTCCATGACACTTGGGGGAAAACCCCAGCTCGCAAGCGGGAGCCCCGGCCCAGGCTCTGGCCCTGCCCTTCCCACCTCCCCGCTCCTCTGCTGCACCGGCTCCTACCGCACTGACTGCCCCGCGGCTTTCTGCGCACTTGTTCCTCTGGCAGGAGACTTGCCCGCAGGCCCGCATGAGCATTGTTTTCAGAAAGGCTTCTCTGGTCACTCACAGCAGGGACGCCCACAAGTCAGGGCCTCCCTGTTGCTCACTGGGTTGGTCCCCGCACACGGCTTGCGGTCGCCTCACACTCCCGCAGTCGCTGGTGCTGCTCCACTGGGCAGCCAGTGTAGACCCCAAGAGACCTGCGCCTGGGTTCCAGGCCCTGTCGGGCTAGCACCGCCCCAAGGGGGCCAACGCGATGCGTGTCTGTCCATGGCACCGGGTCAGCGGGTGGCAGGGCCCACCCGGGACCCTGGCTGGACTCAGCGCCTGCCCGCCTGCGGTGAGGCCCCGGCTCCCCCCGGGCAGGGCCTTGGACACGTGGTGTCCCTCCTGCCGCCCTGAGCTGCTTCTCCGCTCCCACCTGCTCCCAGACAGCACCGGAGGTGGGAGGGAGGGCGCCTCTTCCGTGCTGACGGGCTTCGTGTGCACAGACGGACACGACAACCTTGAGTCTTCCCAGACGCCACCTGCACAAACCCTTTCTTGCTCTCTTGCCCACACGTGGGCTCGGCAACGTGACCTGTCATGGACTCAAACTCAACATGGCCTCTCTGCGGTTCCCTCACGCCCTCCCCGCCCTCTTGGTGATTCCTAGCACCCCTCAACCACTCCCCAGCTGCAGGGGAGTCTGGCGGGGCTGGGATTTCTCTTCGTCCAGGGTGTTGCCTGTGCTCAGGGCGTGCCTGAGTGGGCGCTCGCAAGCCCCCCGAGTTCTGGCGTGTGGCATTTTCTTTGGTGTTTCAGCACGAGCCTTCCCTCATGTCCACAGTGACTTCCCTGACCCCACATTGTTGGAGGGTCCTAGCTCCCCAGCGCGGGCTCCCAGAGACGCGTCTAGTGTGTGTGGCCCTGCGGGCTGAGGAGTGGGCGCTCCTGACCCGCGGCATCAGCCCGGAGGGAGCCCCGGGGGCTCAGTCCTGCAGGGGAGCGATGGGGGTCCCTCCCCTGCAGCCGCACTGGATGGAGAACAAGGGTCCCTCCTTCACAGCAAGCCCAGGTGGCCTCGGTGTCTCATCGGTGCTAGAAGGTGGCTGCGCTGACCTGGGGGCTGCTGGTCGCAGGGCTGGGCTCAGCGCTCAGGGGGCTGGACAGCCCTCGACAACTCTGCGTCCTGCACAGAGGAGTTCACTGGCCTTGCCCACCCGGAGGACATGTCCTGTCACACGCTGTGCACACTGCTGGGCCGTGGACACGGCCACAATGGGGCCAGGCCTGTCCTGCCTTGTTCCACACCCCTGCAAGTGTGTGTCCGCGACTGGGGGCGGTCAGGATGTGGCGACGCCGGGCTTCTTGGCTCTGCAGCTGTACTCACAGCCACCACAGGGAGTCCTGGAAGTCGAGGCTCATCCAGAAGTGACCCCGAGACCTGAGCCCAGAGATGTCCCATGGGAGGCTGTGTCTGTGAGGAAGAGCCTGGTACTGAAGACGCAGCCTGAGGTGTCAGCCTGGACGGTGGCCTCTGCCAGCAGGAGACGGGGCCTCACGCCCAGAGCCCATGGCCGCCTGCCAGGCCAGTCTGGAGGCTCTCCAGTGTGGATGACTGGAGGCCTGGACTCTTAGGAGCTGCCGAGCAAGGGGAGGTGCCGGGGGCAGGGGCGGGGAGGGGGCTGCAGAGGGCGCCTAGGATGGGGAGAGTGTGGTGTGGGGAACCAGCACTGGGCTTGTCCGAAACGCCAGCAGCTGTGACCGTGCCTGGCCCTGTGAGTGCTGGTGGCGGCTGGTCATGGGTGAGTGAGGTCAGGCCCAGCTCTCGCCTCGCTCTTACACTGCTCGAGTCAAGACAGACGGGGCTATGGGGAGATTTGGGGGTGAGGTGTCAGGGTGGGGAGAGTTCACTGGCCCTCGCGGTTGTCTTGGCCGCCCTGCACGCGCGTTCGTGCCCGGACGCTGAGGACGCTCCCCACCTGCCGTGCCTGGGCCCTACCCAAAGACCGGCGCTTTCTGTGGGTCATGCGATGGCACAGAAATCACATCGCTGCTTCCCGAAGCGGACTTACAGATGCAAAACAATCCTAAATAAATTCCAAGGAGGATTTTTTTTTAGAAGTTGGCAAGCTGATTCCAAATTTATGTGGAAATGCAAAAAACTAAGAAAAGCCAAGCTACCCCTGGGGCCGGGAGCAGCAGCTCCAGGGCTCAGTCTGTGGAGCGTCGCGGCTGGATCTCAGTCACCCACCCGTCGGGCACCCCTGCGTGCGGGGAGCTGTCGGGCGGGGGCAGCCACCACGGCTCTCTGCGTGTGCGCCGCAGAGCACGCTTCTGAGGGCGGCTCCTTTCACGAGTGCCCACTGCCTGTTGACCCCCATTTCCACGCCAGTCCAAGGGCAGTGGGCGTCTAAGTAGGCAACTAAATGACAGATCACGGAAGCTCCCCTAAGGAGTGTCTCGGGATCTCAGGGCAGGGCAACTTCGCAAACGGGACAGAAATTCATCCGCTGTGAAGGAAACGGTGGGTAACTCGGGCGTCAGTAAAGCTGGGAATCTCTGCTCCTGGGAAGACGCCCTCCAGCAGGGGAGCAGGCAGTCCACGGAAGGACGGAAGGTGTCTCTGTCTCCAGGAGGCATGACCGGCTGGAGAAAACCTTATCTGGGGAAGGGAATGCCTCCAATCCAGAAGACACGCGCACGCAAGCCAGGGTTCCAAGCCGCGTGCCCAGGGCCGGTCGGAGAAGAGCCGCGATCGGCCAGGGAGGCGGGTGCGGGCAGACGCCCAGGGTGCGTGGCTCGGTGACCTCGCCACCGCGTCCTTGAGCCATGCCTGCTGTCCTCCGGCCGCGTCCTCGGGGAGTGCATGGCAGCCCTGAGGGGGACGCCCCTCTTTCCCGGGTGGCGGGGAAGAAGCCCGAGGGTCGCCGCGTGGGGGGCTGACGGCACAGCGGGGCCGCGGGCTGCGTGGGGAACAGGCTGGTGCTTTCTCTGCTGCTGGTGGCCAGCGAGCTCGCTCTTGGTGGGAGGGCTGTGGGCGTGAGTTTGTGGCCCAGGAGCCCTAGGGTGGAAACAATCCCCGGGGAGGGGGTGGCCGGGTATTGCGCGCAGAGCAGCCACTCATGTCCCACTCACGAGACCGGCAGCAAGTCCTAAATCCACTGTGTGGACGAAGCGCCTATCCTGCTCCCTGCCCCCGAGTCAAAGGCTGGGAAAGGGGCCTTGGTGACAGGCGGGGTTGTGCCGGGGGCGCAGGGCCTCTGCGGGCCTGGGCTGTTGCATTCCTCGGTCTGGCAGTCGCGTGGGCCTTGGCTTCCTTGGCTGCGTGTCTTGTTCGGCTTTAGAATCAGCTCGAAGCCCGGGGCTCGTCCCGGCTGCGGAGGCTCCCGAGCATCGGGCAGCACGTGCGGGGCCTTCTTGTCCGCTGCGTGGCTTACACCCCAGGCTCTGGTTTTACCACGTGAGCCCCAAGAGGACCCTGTTTCCAGAGTCTGTGCCGTGGCTTTCCTCGCTCCCATGCGGACAGCAGCGGTCCTGAGAGGGACTCTGGTTACGACACCTGACAGACCGAGTTTGTTGCGGGTCTTCATTTGGGAAAATCTGTTCAGGGCAGGATACACGTGAGTTGAAAAGAAGGGTTTGAAATGTTTAAAATGGAGGAATTTATTGGCGCTGTTTATTTTGGTTTTCTAGTTAAGCACACTGCAAGACCTTCACCCATTGCCCAAGATAATTCTGGAATACAGGCAGGTAAGTCCATGACCGAGGGGATCCGGGTGCCAGCTGTTAAGAGGAAGTTGGAGTTGCTGGGCGGCCCGACCTGCCCTGCTCAGCCCTGTGACTCCGAGGGGTCATGAGGGAAGGACCTAGCGGGAAGGAGCTGCTCCGCTCGCTGCGTTAGCTCCTACTGGCCGCACGTCCCCTCCCGTCCGGCTGCTCTGCCCACACACCTGCCATTGCTTCGGGCTCAGGACTTGCGCGGTCTGGCCTTGCTAAACCTGCCCCTGCTGACCCTGGCTCTTGAAGTCACAAAAGGGTTGAAAGAACCAAAACAGGGACACGGATGAGTGGGAACACCTGCCTCTGTAGCTTTTCTGTAAAAGTAATTTTTTCACAGGGCAGAGGATTTCTGTCTCTCTGGGTCAGTGTTAGCTGACTGGGCACCGCACAAGGCCATTTCAGGGCCTCCTGGAGTCACCTGAGGTGACCACAGTAGCACTTGCCCCAGACTCTCTGAAACTCGGCGACACTTGTTCCCATTTAAATACTTAACCAAAGAAAGTGATTGTTTTTGTTTCTGTAATTTAGGTTCACAAGATCAAGTCAGCCTTTGTAGATGGATTATTAACTTGCATGGAAAAGGTAATTGAAACCCAAAAAAGCCTGTGGTTGGGGTGTGCTTACACACGAGTTCAAATACCCGCAGGCTTCTGTGCAGTTTAGTCAAAACAACACTCACGACTCCGGGGTGGGGCCGACCTCTTTCCTGTTCAGGTCTCTGGGGCTCAGCCGGCTCTACCCCAAGCCACAGGCTCAAGGCCTGTCCCAAGGCCGCCCTGCGGTGGGGTGCTGGGGAGCCGTGGAGGAGCCTGTGGATGTGCGAGGCACAACCCCGCCCCCACACAGCTCCGCGCCTTGCAAGGGGTTCTCACTGGGGCAGAGACTGCGGTGGGGTTCTTCATGGGAACCACCTACCCCGGCCCCCCCCCCGCCCCCCGCCGCTCCGACCACAGGGCAGGGAATGTTGACCCCAAGGACATTTCAGGGTTGAAGTTTGGGGCCAAGGAGGAGAGGGCCCTGGTATTCTGCCCACGCTGACGTGACTCTTTCTCCCTGACCAAGGGCTCCATCTCCCCCACATGGAATCAAACGGGAACCGTGACCGGGAGACTTTCGGCCAAGCACCCCGTAAGTCGGCACCCCGTTACGTCAGCCACTGTTCCTGGGCTTGAGGGCTGCCCAGACTGGGCTGCACGTGCCCCCCTATAGGGCGGCTGGGCCTCGTGGGTTGGCTCATCCAGCTGATGTTTATTTAGCACCTGCTGTGCCGGGGTGGGGGGGGAGCATGTGGTCCCGTCCCTCCTGAAGTGTTAGGTTAGTGCGGGGCTTCTCCGCCCGGAGAAGGGGGGTGCCCAGGGTGTCCTCCTGTTGTCGGTCCAGCTGGTTTCTGGGGGCTGGAGATGGGCCTCTGTGCAGCTACTTGAGGGCAGTGAAGGTTGGAGTGGATGTGCTGACTCTTCGGTAACACATCAACAGGCGTGTTTGTGAGCACCTGTCACGATGATGCCCGCTGTGTGGCACTCGCTGGCCAGAGAGCACTTGTTTCTTTATTTAATGTAACTGACATAGCAGTTTCAGGTGTGCACAATGGTTTGATGTGCGTTTAAAGTGCAGGGTAATCGCCACAATAAGCTTGTTTAACATCCGTTACCACATACAGCTACAGCTTGTTTCTTGAGATGAGATCTTTTTTTTTTTTTTTTTTTTTTTTTTTTTTTTTTTTTAATAGAGGCATGTTTTATTTATTTATTTGTTTGTTTGTTTGTTTTGTTTATACATGCACTGGGTACAGTCAGAAGCGCGGGAGGGTGAGAGAATTCACCAGAGCCAGAGCGGGGAGCAGAGCAGGCAGAAGGACCGAAGTACACTGCTGAGGGGAGCAGCGGGCGGCAGGAGAGGTCTGCGCGCCATGTGGGACCCTCCTCTGGTGGCCGGGGAGCAGCCGGGGATCGAACCGGCACCGCAGAGGCTGCGGGCAGCTTCGCAACCCAGCGCTCAACCGCTGCGCCACCGGGGAGGCCCGAGATGAGATCTTTTAATATCTACTCCCTTAAAACTTACAGACATACCAACGGTATTATTAACTACAGTCACAGGGCTGTGCTTCTCTCCCCCCACGACACTCGCTGGGATCAGAGTGTTTATCTCCAGCATTGCTCCTTTAAAAATAATTTGGTTTTTTTTCTGGCTCTTTTGTGTTTCCTCATGGAGCTGTGGGAGAGGACTGCAGCCCACCCACACAGGGTCCACAGCCTGCCGGGGTCAGGGCCTGGGAGGGAGCTGCTCTCTGCAACTCCACAGGCTGAGCTTTCCTTGGGGAAGCAAGCTCCTGCTGGGGGCTCCAGCCTGGGGATCTGGGGGCTCCAGCCTGGAATTGGAGACAGCAAGCACCACAGGTGAATGTGATCCCAGAAAGTTCTGGGTGCAGATGGACAGATGTACAGTAATACAGAGGTAGCCAGAGAGGAGAAGAAGTAAGTGAAAACCAAACACAACAGTACACAAGATCAACAAAACAAAATCAGCAAATCTCTGACTAAAAGAAGAGATGAGAGAAAACTCTCACAAATAAAATCAGAAATAAATTGCAACAGATGTCTTAGAAATACAAAGGCTCGGGCCTCCCTGGTGGCGCAGCGGGTGAGCACTGGGTTGGGAAGCTGCACGCAGCCTCTGCGGTGCGGTGCCGGTTCGATCCCCGGCTGCTCCCCGGCCACCGGAGGAGGGTCCCGCATGGCGCGCAGACCTCTCCTGCCGCCCGCGGCTCCCCTCAGCAGTGTCCTTCGGTCCTTCTGCCTGCTCTGCTCCCCGTTCTGGCTCTGGTGAATTCTCTCACCCTCCTGCGCTTCTGACTGTACCCAGTGCATGTATAAACAAACCAAACAAACAAACAAATAAATAAATAAATAAAAAGAAATACAAAGGCTCATAAACGATTACTGTGAACAACACTACATGTCAATAAACTTGATAATCTAGAAGAAACAGAGACATTTTTAGAACTCTACAGCCCACCAAGCCTGAATCAGGAATGAACAGGATACTGGAGTAGACTGATCACGAGGGTGGGAATTGAAATAACAATCAAAAATCTCACAAAAATGGGCAGGGAGGGGAGGGATTGGGGTCTAAATAAGGGGGTTGCAATTGTATGGGGAATATAAAAATAAAATTTATTAAAAAAAAAAAAAAAAAAAAAAATCTCATAAAAAGCAAAACCTCCAGGACCAGAAAGCTTTACTCATATTTGGTAGCTTTACCAAACCTTCAAAGAACTAATACCCATTCTTCTCAAACTCTTCTAAAAACTTAAAGAAAGGAGAATAATTCCAAATGCAATTCATGTGGCCAGGATTACCCTGATACCCAAACCAAACAAGGACATCACAAACAAAGAAAATTACAGACACTTTCTTGCTGATAACAAATGCAAAAATTCTCAACAAAGTGCTAGCAAACTAAATTCAACAATACATTAAAATGGTCATACACTATGACTTATTCCATGGATGCAAGGATAGTTCAACATATGCAAATCAGTTTAATATACAACATTAACATAAGATTATGTTAAAATATTATGATCATATCAATAGATGTAGAGAAAGCATCTGACAAGATTCAGTGCCGATTTATGATTAAAAAAAAAAACCCTCTATAAAATAGAGATAGAAGGAACATAACATAATAAATTTCTTATATTGCAAACCCATACCATATTCAGTGGTGAAAAGCTAGAAACTTTTCCTTTAATATCAGAAACAAGACAAGGTTTCCCACTTTCACTAATTCTATTTAATTTAATACTAGAGCAATTAGACGACCACAAGAAATAAAAGGAGCACATATTGGAAGAAACTGTTGCTATTTGCAGATATCATGAATAGTATATGTAGAAGGGCCTCCCCGGTGGCGCAGCGGTTGAGCGCTGGGTTGTGAAACTGCCCGCAGCCTCTGCAGCCCTGGTTTGATCCCCGGCTGCTCCCCGGCCACCGGAGGAGGGTCCCGCATGGCGCACAGACCTCTCCTGCCGCCCGCTGCTCCCCTCAGCAGTGTCCTTCGGTCCTTCTGCCTGCTCTGCTCCCCGCTCTGGTTCTGGTGAATTCTCTAACCCTCCCGCGCTTCTGACTGTACCCAGTGCTTGTATAAATAAATAAATAAATAAATAAATAAATAAATAAATAAATAAAATCTTAAAAAAAAAAAAATAGTATATGTAGAAATCCTAAGGCTCCACTACGTTGGAAACAATAAATTATATAGTGAAGTGATGGCTACAAAATCAATATATAAAAATCTGTAACATTCTTATGTACAAACAATGCAATAGAAGAAAAAGAAGTTAAGAAATCCTGTTCACAGTCTCATAAAAAAAATTGATATGTAGGGGGGGAAATATAACAAAGAAAGTAAAAGACATCTACAATAAAACTACAAAACATTGTTATAAGATACAGAAGCCACAAAGAAGTGGAAAGATATTTCATGTTCATAGATGAGAATCAATGGAGTTAAAATGATCATTTTACCTAAAGTAATGTAGGGTAAGGTAAAAAGTATCAGGCTTTTCCGCCTTCCTGCCATTAGGATTGATGATGGAGCCTTGCGGTTCTGAATGCACGCCTGATGGCGGGCACCTGGAGTAGGGTGTGGGCCTATGTAAGTGGGTACACCTGGGTTAAGAGATTGGGCTTATAAGGGCGGCGTCACGGGGACGCCAGCAGAGCAAGAGGGAGGAACAACAGAGCGAAAGAGAGAAGAAAGGCCACGAAAGAATGCTGCAGAGCCCAGAAAGAGTGAAGACTTGCTGAGGGCTGGGAGACCTCCTGGCACCCCAGCACCCCTGCCTGCTGTGTACCGGTAAATCCCAATAAAAGCCTGAAAAAGCCACGGAGGGCTCCAAGACTCCTCCTTTGCTCGTCTGCTCGAATCATAGAGATCCTGCTCGGTGTCTTCCTGCTGCTACAAGTAATATACAAAATTTCTATGCGATTTTTTAAGGAAATAGAACAAAAGAAAATTAAAATGTGTAAGGAACCACAAAAGACCCCCAAATAGTTAGTCATCTTGAGAAGAAAAACAGGCATCACAGTCCCTGACTACAAACTGTATTATAAAATTACAGTAATTAAACAGTATGGTACTGAAATAAAAATAGACAGGCACTCAGTGGAATAGAATTGAGGGCCAAGTAACAAACCCACACATATCAATACTTAATCTATAATGAAGGAGACATAGAAAAAGGAAAATCTCTTTAACAAATGGTTATGAGAAAACCATTTGCAAAATAATGAAACTGGATCACTCTTTGCCTTCAGACACAAAAAATAATTTCATATTGTAGGGTAAGGTAAAAGCATCAGGCTTTTCTGCCCTCCCGCCATTAGGATAGATGAGGGAACCCTGTGGTCCCAAATGCATGCCTGATGGCGGGCACCTGCAGTGGGTACACCTGGGCTGAGAGACTGAGTTTATAAGGGCGGCATCACGGGGACGCCAGCAGAAGCCCAGAACAAACGGAAGCCGAGAGAAGAAGAGAAGCAGAGAGAACGCCAGGGAGTCCAGATAGAGTGAGGATTTGCTGGGGGCTGGAAGACTGTCAGCCTCCCGGCCCCCCAGCACCCCTGCCTGCCCTGTGCCTGGCAAATCTAAATAAAAGACCCGCACAAGCCACTGAGGACTCTCACTCCTCCTTGACCCGGTCTGATGGGTCAGAAAACCTGCTCCGTGGGCTGTCCTGTCCCTACACATATGAATTAGAGACTTGGACTTAAGACCAGAAACCATAAATACATAGAAAACTTTGCCAATATGTTGTGCATGAGCACTAGAGATGTCCCTGGGGACTTGATAGCAATGGCAAGAGAAATGAAAGCAAAGATAAACAAATAGGATCACATCAATGAATGGAAATATTTGCAGAAGCATATATAGTAGAATGAAGAGAGCCTAATAAATGGTAGAAGATATTTGCACATCATGCATTCGATAAAAAGTTAATATCTAAGTTATATAAAGAACTCATCCAAATTAACAACAAAGACACAAAGCAATTTACAAGTAGGGAGAAGATCTGAATAGATACCTCCAAAGAGTTCATACAGATGAGCAACAGACACATGAAA